CCGTTCAGTATCAGAACATCTGAGCTGGCCCGCTGGTGGGGGGGGGCGGACCAGAAAGCCAGTCAGAGCAGATGAGATGGCCCTGAGGCATTTCCGGAGGAAGCCTTTTCTAGATCTGGTTCAGGGCAAATGCAGCAACCCCAGAGGCTATGTCTGCCACCCCAGCAGATGGATCAGGATCAAAGGTTCTCCAACAGAGCTGGGTCTGGAGTTATCATGGCTTACACTCTGACGCGGACTTTGCACCCACAGATAACCCCAATACCAGCGTGCTAGAAGGAAGTCATCTTGCAGCCCTGTGCTCAAAGCTTATACCTCCTACAGTCAGCAGAAAAAAAAGGCTGGAGAAGACTCAACTCTGCTTATCCACAATGCCATGCCCGTTCCCAGGGAGCCCCGTGGGAGTTCAGTGCAAGCCCCCACCCATTTCTTTTAGGACACTCTTGTCAAATAACTCCTTAAAACTTATCTTAAAACTTGCTCCTTGGTGGAGCAAGGGGTTAAGAGGTAGCTTATGAAGATGTCTGTGGCCACTGAAGCATGAGTTCGATTCCTGGCCAGGAAGCTACCCACATGGCGCAGCAGACCTCTCCTGCCTCGCCCGCTGCTCCGCTCAGCAGTATATTTCAGCAGATCTACCTGTTCTGCTCCCCACTCTGTCTCTGGTGAATCCTCTCACTCCCTATACTCCTGGCCTGTATCCTAGCTCTTATATGCATAAATAATAAAAAAAAAAACTTATCTGAAAAGTTTGGAAACATGGAGCTCACTATCCTTCGAGTCAGCTCAACAAACTTTGGGGCAGAGATGACAGAAAGTGCTTCATGATGTGAAAGCAAATGTCCTCCCTGCAACTCTAGGCCTTCCACACCAGACTATCTCCTCCCTCCCCCCCTCCGCCCCCCTGCCTCTCAACACCAGACAGATCTACTCTAGTGGGTCCTTCCTTCCCCTGCATGCCTCCTCTCCTGAGAGCCGAACAGCCCCCATCCCCCAGGTGGGTGACAGCCTGGCAAGCCAGCAGAGGAGCACCAGCTGCGGAGGTGATGCCACCAACGCTCCAGAACAGGCGTGCTTAAGCTCACTAGGCCGAGCACTCTGTTATGCCTCCTTAGAGATGTCTCACAAAACAAACGGGGTAGTTTTCACCAGGACACCCACTTCCCAGATGCCAACCGCCAAGGTGAAAGGCCTTCCCCCCAAGGGAGTTGCACATCAAACCTGGTTTCCAGATCCACAAACTTTTCCCGCCTCGATGGGCATCTCACCTAACTCTGGATACTCTGCCCTCAATGCAGCTCAAGAGCCTGTGAGGCCACCAGCTTAATGACACTTGCAGCTCAGTGACAAGTTAGCAAACGACAGGCTAATATGATCGACCCAAGGTTTCTGTTTGGGAAGGACTATGGTTCTGAAAATTGACAGGTGAACCCTGCGAGTCTGCAAGGGGTTTTACGTGGGTAAACGGAGGCCACTGCTGAGGGCCCTCTGCAGGGACAGGTTGTGATAGAAATAATTTAGGCAGAAGTATCCAAAACGAAGGCTAATAGCACAAAATACTGGCTGGTTTGCACAGTAGTAATAGTGGGAACCAAGCCAAGGAGGAGGCTTTAAATAAATTGTGGTATGCTCTTAGTTTAAAAAAAAAAAAAAGAGGGGGGCCTCCCTGGTGGTGCAGGGGTTAAAGACACAGTGTTTTCAAGCTATTGCCAGCCACTGCATCCTGAGTTCGATTCCCAGCCAGGGAGCTGACCCACATGACACAGATCTCTCCTGTCTCCCTGCGGATCCCTCCAGCAGTGTATTCCAGTAAATCCACTTGTTCTGCTCCCCACTCTGTCTCTGATGAATTCTCTCACCCTCCGCACCTCTAGCCTGCACCCTAGTTCTTTTTTTTTCTTTTTTTATATAGACGCATGTTTTTACTTATTTATTTATTTGTTTGTTTGTTTGTTTTGTTTATACAAGCACTGGGTACAGTCAGAAGCGCGGGAGGGTGAGAGAATTCACCAGAGCCAGAGCGGGGAGCAGAGCAGGCAGAAGGACCGAAGTACACTGCTGAGGGGAACAGCGGGCGGCAGGAGAGGTCTGCGCACCATGTGGGACCCTCCTCCAGTGTCCGGGGAGCAGCCGGGGATCGAACTGGCGCCACAGAGGCTGCGGGCAGCTTTGCAACCCAGCGCTCAACCGCTGTGCCACCGGGGAGGCCCCTGCACCCTAGTTCTTGTATGCATAAATAAACAAATCTTCGGGGGAAAAAAAGGCCACCCCCGGGCTGTAACTTCTCTCTGCAGGCTGTGATGAGAGCGGGCAGGTGTGACACGCTGGCCCAAGCACCACGGTGCCCCTGAGTGATGTTGAGACTTGTAAATAGGCTGAACAATGACTTACAGCACTTTTTTTGTTTTTTGGCTTCAGCTACAGTTATTTTTCATAAAAATGGGATTTGTGTCAACATGCAATGAGTTTACTTTCTTAAATATTCAGTATTTTTTCTCAGCTTTTGCTCAGCTTCTAACACAGAAACTATCAATAGGTAAAATCTACAGGAAGAGAAGCTCTTTGGGAGCCTCAAACTTCCACTGTATAAAGAAACCAAACGGTCCTGCGCGTGGCTGGAGCCAGAGGACGCAAAGCAGGTCTTCAAAGCGCCAGGGCAGGAGGGCGCCACCTCGTGGAGGAGACTGTCGTGACAGGGACCCGTTCGCAAGGAGGTGAACCCGGGGCCACTGAGGGCCCTCTCCAGGGACGGCCTTGGTAGAAACTGCACAATTTAGGCAGAAGTATCCAAAGTGAAGGGCTAAGGATACAAAATTACTGCAAACTGTCAACTGATGTAGAACTCACACGTGCCAGATGAGCTCCAGGGCAGCAAGGGGCCGAGGTGGAAGCCCGGACGAGGACTGAGCAGGAGCACAGAGGACTCCTGCCAGGGACCAACTCTGGTGGGTGCAGATGCCACAAGGATTCGGGGCCTTTCTCTGTCCCCCCCCTGAGGGGCGGCTGCTAGCCCCGGGGGGCTAGAGGACATCTGAGTGGGTGAGCTCTGTCTGCCCTCTACAGCCGCACTCCAGGAGTTTCGTGAGGGTTGGCTGGGCTTTGTGCTCTGAGGGCCGAGGGTTCCCCGGGGGAAAGGACAGTGTTCTCTGAAATCTTTCACGCCACAAGCAAACTTGAAATCCGAGTGGCTGAAGGAGGTACAGTCAGGCACGCCAGCCACAGCCAGGACAAACCACCTCTTTGCAACCTCCACGTGGGACCGAGAAGGGGGAGGCTGAGCACTAATAAACTTCTCCCTTCTGCCCTTTTTTTGGGGTGTGAGGGGCCTGTTCTTCCTCTTTCATAAGGGAACGTCACCCCCAGGGGACTGGCTCTTTACACAACTGTATTCTGAGAGGGTGACAGGTAAGTGCAAACATCCTGTCCTCCAGCCAACTTCCCCAGGAGGCTCCAGCTCAAAGGCCGGCAGCTCTAACCAAAGAGGCGCTGGCCTCCCACCCGTTCCCTCCACAACTGACGAGTCAACCCTTGGCCGTTCCCTCCACAACTGACGAGTCAACCCTTGGCAGCTCCTGGGGCTTATTTTATGCCCTAAGATCAACACACCCCAAGGACTAAGACAGAAAACGAACACTGTTACTATAGACCATTTTCCTCACGCACCCCAAGCAGTGACCCAGGCCAGAGATGCGCCTCCTGTTGGCAAGGCCTGGACAGGTTCTTAAGCTCATGGTCTCACTTGGCACAGAAAGGAACTTACACTCACCATTCCCAGAGTTCATCGTTTTCCTTTCTCCCGCATGCTGGCACTAAAACTTTCCTACTTGAAAAAGACAGATGTATCATGCCTGCATCACCCATGGCCTCTCCGGGGTTACCCTGTGGCCGCACACAGGTTTATACAGCCACAGAGTCTGACTTGTTCCAAACTGGAATAGCTCATGCTGTTCATGACTACTGTTTTTGAATTTAATTGGCTGTCATTTTCTTTCTTTCTTTCTTTCTTTTTTTTTAAACATTTATTTATGCATACAAGAGCTGGGGTAGAGGCCAGAGATGCAGGGCTAGGGGTGGGTGGGCGGTGAGAGGATTCACCAGAGACAGAGTGGGGAGCAGAACAGGTAGACTGACTGAAATACACTGCTGAGGGGACCAGTGGGCGAGACAGGAGAGGTCTGCTGTGTCATGTGGGTTGCTCCCTGGCCGGCTGGGGATCGAACTCGCGCTGCAGAGGCTGTGGATTGCTTCACAGTGTGGTGCTTAACCCCTTGCACCACCAGGGAGCCCCCTGGCTGTCATTTCCTTAAATGTACTAGAATCTTCCTAATTCTTGAGGGCTTCAGCTGGTTTCAAAGCAGTATTTTATCACAGAACTTAGTCCCTCTTCCCTGGGCCTGGCCTGCTTGGAGTCTGCCCGAGGACGCTTCCTCACAGGCACACATGGTGAATGTCCGCACCCAGCACAGCAGGCCCACCCAACGCAGGTCAGAACCTCCATCCTGACAGCTGTGGGACTAGAAACACTAACTTCTCTCACTGTTCCAGGGATGGAAATAGAAGAAACGGTCATGTTGTTTCAAAAAAGACCACGTTTAAAGGAAAACCCAGATTGGGTGCAGCACCCCCATAGCTGGTGGAGGCCCCACTTTGCCACTCATAGGGCCCTTCTAGATGACTAAAGAGACCCTTAGTGCACACAAGGCAGGCCTTATGGCTTTCAATTCTAGAAATATCTCCACATCTTGCCCACCCACAAGGGCAGTGACTCCACAAAGTCCACCTAGATGCACAGCCTAGGTCACCTGGCTGCCACTCAGCCCCAGGACTTCCCATTCCAGGGAGCCTACAGGCTCTTTCTAGAGCTGGTTTCATCCCAGAAAATGGACACACAGTTGTCCAATGTGTTAGGTGGGCAGAGCTCACCAGACACATGGACTGAGCCATCACATTAAAATGCCTTGCTCGCATCCAGGCCACTCCCTCCCCACCAATCACCATACCTTTTGGTCATCAGCCTCAGGTTTTTCCGTCTCTGAATCATCATCTTCCTACAAGACAAAGCATTTAGAGGGTTAAGTTTAAAGGAGTGGTCAGAGGGTTCTCACGTGTGTAACTAGAGGTGAGAGCAAATTTACCCAGCCTGGATCATCCAGTAAGAACCCCTCCCCTACCATCTGATCTAGAATGAGAGAAAGTGGCGGAAAAGGGGATGTTGAGGGGTGAAGAGGAGTGTGTGGGGGGGATCAGAAGCTCGAATTCCACAGGGGATCCAGCAGGGCGGAGTGCGCATCAATGAAAGTGCCTGAGATCAAAGTCACATACATAAAAATAAGGCCAGGCCCTATATAACAGCACATCGGTGTTTCCAGTGAATGTCAATTATTTAAAACCACGAATGTGAACCTTTTTTTCCTTTCATACAAGCACATGTAACCCAGACCTACAATCTTTTTGACACCATTCACCATCACCCGCACACAACTAACTACACCCCAGAACTTCGTCCCAGCAGCACCTGCACCAACATGGGCAGCAGCAAGGTAGGTGTCAAATGACCCAGGCCAAGCAGGACTGAAGGGCAACTGAGACCCTTTCCTGGGTCCCAGCTGACTGTGTCCTGCCTCCACGCAAGCTCTCACAGCACTGCCCCCGCCCATTCTATGTAGCCTTGCTCCTCATCCAAGTGGCTTGACACAAAGGCAACCTCTAGAGTGTGCACCGGCCTCACATAGCTAGTCACCCCCGGCTGAATGCTAACAAAGGTCAAGATCAGCTACGCTATCAGACAGCTATACCGGTGTCCTTCCACTACTCAGGACACGCCGATGCATTGGGGTCTTGAAACAATTAAGTTTCATTCGAAGTTGTCTTTTTTCAGTCAAGCTATTCTTTAACCCAAATATTAACTAGCACTCCAGGTGTGAATATATTATCATCACCCGAGATGCCTGAAACAGACTGATGATTTGAGATTTAACTGTCCTGCAAGGTGCTGGTGAGTCAAAAGCTTCCAAAGCACTCTGCAGAATCTCCTTAAAACAGAGCCAACGATGCGAGATAATCAGCTATGCAGCTCAGCCAAACACAGTCCATTTTAGAAAGCCTACATTGGGAGGCGATGAGAGCATTTGACTAAAACGATGAAAATTCTAAGCAAAACAAACATGGGCCACTTTAAAGACACACATCATGCAAACGTATGGGAGGAAATGGTGATGTTGTCAAGCCAGCATGTATGGGCTTAAGAAAGTCAGGAAAAGAAAACAACTCGCAAAGTTTCTCTAAAATTTCTCTAAAAATTCTGAATGATGAGCATTAGTGGTAGGGCTAAGGACATGAAAATTTCTCCCCAAAGAGCATAAAACACAAACACAATTTCGTTTAATTTGAAAATATGCTAATGCTAATGTTTACGTGCAATAAAAATTCAAACAAATCATAAAATATATGGAGTGTCAATAAAGTTGCTGCTAAATAATCAGTTTCTAGATCTTGACTCAACTTTGCCTTTGTGCTAAGCCTGAGCCTGAACCCTTGTTTCTTCTCCCAAATTTAAAAATTCTGACTCATGATGCCAAGGTGACTTTGTATCTAAAGTCTTCCTTGTCGATGAAAACACAAGTTCTCTTTTCTCTGTTTGCCAGCACGTACTAAACTTCCAGCAAGAGCTGTGGTCAAGAGCGAAGAGCACTCTGATAAAAGTGCCCAGTAAACTATAAAGAAGCTTAAGAAAAATAAATCACAAGCGAAGACAAAATAATTGTCCTTTATAACCTTTTTACTATATTGATTTTACTATATAAAGATTTGAATGCATCCCAACCAAGTTTAAAACTAGCAGAACTGATTGCAGAAAAAAATGATACTGATTCGGACCTTTCACTGTTACAAAAGGAATAAAGTAGCAAAACAGGGAAAATGGACCTAAAACACCCATTGATACCTGGGATTAAAAAAATAAATCCACCATCTTTTGCCCCAAATTTCACTTCAAAGGCTAATACAAAACAAAACAAAATGAAAAAACAAAGGTTAATACACAATAGTCCAGGTAGGTGAAAACGAATTTAGTTTTCAAATAGAACTAGTGATATCCAACCCAGTTTTCTCAACCAAGATAAAACAAAAGGGGGGGGGGGCGGCGCGGGCAGGAAGGAAACAGAACACTGTAGGTGCAGGTCAAAAAGTTTCTGACAAATGAAATACTGCTTTGGGTACCTCTGGATCTGGGAACAGATTATTCCCTTACCGACTGTTTGCTGTTCTCATCCTCTTCCTCATAACCATCTTCATCACCCCCAAGGCGAGAAAAGTCATCTTCTCCATAGGCTTCAGATACCAGTCCACCTTTCTCCTCTGAAACAGAGGAAAGAAGGATTAGGAATGAGGGGGAAATGCAAGAAAACTTTTCAGTTATTTGCAGGTCTGAATCTCTGAAAACGAAAGGGCAATCTCAATCTCATGGACGTGACCAGAGACCCAGATTCTGTCTTGGGGAAGGCCACAATCCAGTGGATGAAGTCATTGAAAGAATAGGCAATAAAAGGAAAAAAAGCAAGTACAAAATTCTCTTTTAATGCTTCCAATCTAGCGATGGCAACCAAAGCCATCCTTTCTCAACACCATTACAGCACGGTTGTCTGAACACGGCTTTCTACACGCACATCGCTACCTGCATCACAGGGCATGGCAAACTCGTCTTCTACAAGACAAGGACTGTCTTCCTCATTTTGGGTGTCCTCTTCTAGGAACAGGGCCTTGAGCAGGGGCTCCCTCTGAAGGGTTCCCAATCACACCTCCTTGAGAAATGAAATCCTTCTGTAAGTTTAAAATAAACTATCATCTGGTGGGGTTCCCATGAGGGAACCTCCAGATGGGAAGAGAACAAACAAAACAGAGTAATTCACCTAATCCAACCCCTTGCATTTTCCAGATGAGGGAACTAAGGCCCAGATACTAGGTAACTTGATGTCTCGCCATGGTCCTGAAGAAATCTGTTCCCATTTCCTGACATTGTGATTCTCAATCTAAGACAACACTGTCACTGACCAGCTGGAACAACTAAAAAAATAATGCAGGGGCCTCCCTGGTGGCGTAAGGGGTTAAGCACTGCACTATGAAGCAATATGCAGCCTCTGTAGCACGAGTTCGATCCCCCGCCAGCTAGGGAGCTACCCACATGGCGAAGCAGACCTCTCCTGTCTCACCCGCTGCTCCCCTCAGCAGTGTATTTCAGTCAGTCTGCCTGTTCTATTCCCCCACTCTGTCTCTGGTGAATCCTCTCACCCCCTGCATCTCTGGCCTGTACCCCAGCTCGGGTAGGCACAAATAAATGAATCTTTAAAAATAAAAAAGTAGGACCTCCCTGGTGGCGCAGCGGTTGAGCGCTGGCTTGCGAAGCTGCCCGCGGCCTCTGCGGCGCCGGTTCGATCCCCGGCTGCTCCCCGGCCACCGGAGGAGGGTCCCACATGGCGCGCAGACCTCTCCTGCCGCCCGCTGCTCCCCTCAGCAGTGTACTTCAGTCCTGCCTGCTCTGCTCCCCGCTCTGGCTCTGGTGAATTCTCTCACCCTCCCGCGCTTCTGACTGTACCCAGTGCATGTATAAATAAATAAATAAATAAATAAATAAATAAATAAATCTTTTAAAAAAAATAAAATAAAAAAGTAATGGAACCACGGAGGAGCCTTAAAAAGCTCACAAAACGTCCATATCCTATTCCAGATACACAGACTCTCTGGCTGTGGAGTCGAGCTAACTGTATTTTTTAAAGTTCCAAGATGCGTCTAGGGCACAATCCTAATTAAAAGGTATACATGGAACAAGACACAACCTTTATCACCTCCGCGTACGTTTTACTCATCGCTCCCCCACCCTCCCATCAAACGCGCCTGGAGGGAACAGGCAGAGGTTCAGTGAGCATCCTTCATCCGTCCGTCAGCACAGCACGGAGACTTCTAGTAAGACTCGGCAGAATAAACGAGACGAGGAAGGGGTCTGTCCATTCTTACTACAGAGCGCCTGTCCCACCCAGGATCCGGATCGCGCCTCGGGGCTCGGGGCCCCGACTCCCGGGGGCACAGCGACCATCCTTCCCTCTTTCCTCGCTAGGGAAGCAGCGTTCATGGCAGGCACCTGACTGCCCCATTCCAGCTCCCCACTCAGGCCTCACCAGCCGCGCTGCCCGCCGTTTCGACCCCAGTCTCGCCGTCGGACTCAGGCTCTGAATCTTCCGCGTAAACTGCCAGAGACGACAAGACATTCTTCTTCCCCGCCATCTTATTCCCACAGCCCCGGCGTGGCTCACTTCTATGACTCCCTAGGCCGACTTCCGTACCGAAAGGCGGCTGCTTCCGGGTCCCAGGAGACCCCGCGCCCATTCCGGACAAATGAACCAATCAAACGGGTCGATTCTGCACCTGATCCCGCCCCCCCGCACGAGCGCTAACTCAACGTCATCACTGCGCGCCGGACGAGCTTGTGTGGCTATTACCTGACAGTGAATTGGAGCCGTTTGGTTTCTCAGTTGGGGGAGGCACATGGGGGTCTTCTCGTCGAGTCACCAGCGGCCCGACGAGATCCCTTCGCTCCTGGGCGGCCCACGGCCGGCTCTGATATCTTGGAGTGAAGCGAGGGAGGCTTCCGCTGGGGAAGGGAGGAGAGAGCAGATCTGGGAGTCAGAGGAGGGGAAGGGAAGAGCTCGCCTCCGGGCTGTGAGGATAAGAGGAGCGAGGTCCCGGGGGCACGGGGAGGGGTAGTGGTCAAGCCTGCGTTTATAGAAGGAGCAAAAGGTGAATTTTAGAACAAAAATCCACCTTCTCCAATTATGTTTCTTCTTGTGATCTGATTTCTTGCTCCCTGCGATGCGGTGCCTTGGGCTAGTTTTCAGTGGTTTTATTTTCACTGACCGTGAAGTGGAGATGTTCATTTACCCAGGAATGTGTTGCTTGAGGCAGTTCACCTGAGGCTGTATTGCTTTTTTAAAAATGTTGGAACATAACAAAGCAGAACAGAGAGTCCTTGCAGCAACCATCTGATCATCGCCTTTGCCCTTAACCTTTGGCCACTGCCTGTCGCTAAGATGAGCACCCGCTTTCCCTCTCCTTCCGACGCTGAGCGTCGAGTCCGGAGCACGTTGAAGAAGGTCTTTGGGTTTGACTCTTTTAAGACGCCTTTACAGGGAAGTGCGACCACGGCTGTGGTGAAAGGTAATGTTGCCAAACTGCCTGCCTTTGCGTTCGTACTGGCTATATCCTAGCAGTGCTGCAGAACGCCCTCCTGACCCTGCCTGCCCAGCCTTGGTCCACAGTTGGTTTTGGAAATCTTGTAGTCCTGTCACCCAAAGCTTGCAGTTTTATTGGCAGAGGCACCCAGCTGTTCTGAGTCTTCCAGAGCGATAAGATCGCCTTGTAAACTGTTACAGATTCTCATTCTTGTTCCTTTGTGTGTAGGGAGTAGTGGGGGATGGCAGGAAGAGCCTAACACAGTCACTGACTTTATGGGTAATCCCCTGGTTGAAAACTGAGTTGTCTGGGTCCCAAATAGGGAAGGAAGGAGTATATCAGAAACCTGAGTTAGTGACAGATGCAAGTTGTGAAGAATGTAATGTTATCTGTATTATAACTTTTGTAATCAAGACCTCTAAGTGATGACACTTCCATATCTACACAGCCATGCCCGCTCATCTAGAGCTATTTAGCTTTCATGTTTGGTTTGCTCTTCCATATCCCAGTAAGCCCAGGCTTCTTAACCTTGTAGTTATTGCCATTATCAGAAATGACTTGTGTACTTTTCCAAATCTTTCTGGATGCCTGCCCTTTTCCTAGGAAGGACGTTATACTGAGACCCTCCCCTGTGCTTCACACTGCTAAGTGCTTTTCCTACATTCTCATTTAATTTTTAACAGCCTTGATGAAGGAAAGTGATAAAGGGTAGGAAGGCTTGAGATGTTGTCTTCTTGTATTTTGCAGGTGACAGGGATGTCTTTGTGTGCATGCCCACGGGGGCAGGAAAGTCCCTCTGCTATCAGCTCCCTGCTGTCTTGGCGAGAGGCATCACCATTGTCATCTCTCCTCTCATTGCTTTGATTCAGGTGAGGCCTAAGGGAATGCAGATGGGAGCCCGGCATATTTAGGGGAAGCTTATTTATAGCTGCAAATGTCACTTCTCCTTTTTTTTTTTTAAAAAAAAGATTTATTTATTTATTTATATATACAAGCACTGGGTACAGTCAGAAGCGCTGGAGGGTGAGAGAATTCACCAGAGCGAGAGCGGAGAGCTGAGAGCAGAATAGGCAGAGTGATGAAGTACACTGCTGAGGGGAGCAGCAGGAGGCAGGAGAGGTCTGCGCACCTTGTGGGACCCTCACCTGGCGGCTGGGGATTGAACCGGCGCTGCAGAGGCTGCGGGCAGCTTCACAACCCAGCGCTCAACCGCCGCGCCAGCGGGGAGGCCCCACTTCTCCTTTCTTTAGTCTCTGCCTCTCATCTTCTTTGATTTGCCTAACTTCCTCTCTGTGTTGGGTTTCTGGATTGCCCAAGTATGGGGTTCTCTCATGAGTTATGAATGGGACCGTCTGGCCCCACAACTTGTCCCCACCGTTTCACCTTCGCTACTTCTTACGTGCAGAAAGGACACGGAGGGTGGGAGGAAGACACTTTCCGACCGCTGAGTACTCCCTGTAGTCACAATGACTTTTACCACTGGGTCTTGAGGGGCAATTGCGTGCCCTCTACGGCCTCTTCCCTCTTCTGTCCTCAGGACCAGGTGGACCACTTGCTGGCCCTGAAGGTACGAGTGAGTTCCTTGAACTCAAAGCTCTCCGCACAGGAGAAGAAGGAGCTGCTGTCTGACCTGGAGCAAGAAAAGCCCCGGATCAAACTTCTGTACATCACGCCAGAGATGGCGGCCTCGGCCTCCTTCCAGCCCACCCTGAACTCCCTGGTGTCCCGCCACCTGCTCTCCTACCTAGTGGTGGACGAAGCTCATTGTGTTTCACAGTGGGGACATGACTTCCGTCCTGACTACTTGCGTCTGGGCGCCCTGCGCTCCCACCTGGCACACATCCCGTGCGTCGCTCTGACCGCCACCGCCACCCCACAGGTCCAAGAGGACGTGTTTGCCACCCTGCACCTGAAGCAGCCGGTCGCCACCTTCAAGACGCCCTGCTTCCGAGCCAACCTCTTCTATGACGTGCAATTCAAGGAACTGCTCTCTGACCCCTACGGGAACCTGAAGGACTTCTGCCTTAAGGCTCTTGGACAGAAGGCTGATAAGGGGGTGCGGATGCTAAGTTTGGGGGGGGAGTGGCCAAGATACATCCCAATCGGGGTGCTAGCTGCAGCCTGGAGGTGGATACTGGTTTTCTAAGATCTGTGCCTTCTTTAGCTTCCTTAGCCAGAGTTTCTGAAAATTGGTGCACAAAGAGAATTGTCATTTTGGTCTCCTGCCATGTTCCCCTTCCTGGAGTACCCTTGTTCTGGAGTCCTTCTGGGGGAGACCAACAGCCAGACCCCCTGGAGGAGGCCTGTGCAGACCAGTCAACATTTGAGGGGAGGAGTCAGAGGGGTTGTCTTGAGTTCTGGGCTGCTCTGGCCCTGTCTGGTAGAGACTGACAGCCCTGCTGGGTGTCCTGCCTCAGAGGAGGCTGAGGCTATTGGGAGAAATCACAGAGCTGCCTTTCATGCGGGTGGTGGTAAAATGGGCTTATTTTTCACTTCTCCCCAATGTTCATTTTCCTCCTGTGTCTCCCCACTCAGATGTTGTCCGGCTGCGGCATTGTCTACTGCAGAACCAGAGAGGCCTGTGAGCAGCTGGCCATAGAGCTCAGTTACAGGGGTGTCAACGCCAAGGCTTACCATGCAGGTAAGGGTTGCCCATGCCACCTGGTCTTCCTTCCCAGAGGCCTCCTTCTCACCATCTCTTGTTCCTTGTGGTTCCTGGATAGCCAGGCAGTCCCTCGTCTCATCCCAGCTGCCCAGACAGAGCTCAAGTGATTCACTTAAATCCACTAAAAGGAGTCTCATTGCAAGGTTGAAAGGAGAATCGTGACTCCTGAATTATTTTTCTGTCCTGTACACACCCAGAGGTACTGCGTTTTCATAAGCCAGGCCAGAGGTGCTGCGTTTTCATAAGCCTGGCCTGGTTATTGGTGGTGTGGAAAGGGTGATGCTTTGGAGGTCGAAGGCTGTGGGTTTGAATCTTGGCACGAGCATTTGTTGAGTACTGAATGGGCTAAGTTCTTTATTAACTCAGGCTCAGGGAGGTTGAGAGCTGGGCCAAGGCCCTGCAGCTGCTAAGTGATGGGTTTGGGGTGTGTGGACAGTACCTGGCACGGTGTCAGACCCAGGTAGACCCCAGGGGAGATGTGAGCCCCCTTCCCTGCCTTCCTCTCTACAGGGCTGAAGGCTTCTGAAAGGACGCTGGTGCAGAACGAGTGGATGGAGGAGAAGGTCCCTGTGATCGTGGCGACCATTAGTTTTGGGATGGGAGTGGACAAAGCCAATGTCAGGTGAGCTGTGGTGCTGGTTGGACTTCCCAGTGGGTGCTGGGCTCAAGCGGGCTGCCTGGTGGCCTGCGCAAGGCCAGGTCCCCGTGTGCCTTGTACAGGGGGAGGGGAGGGAGGCCCAAATCATGCACTCCCCAGGGACAGCTCGTTCTGCTGTCTCCCAAGAGAGAGGGCAGCATGCAGACGTCAGGCTCCAGGCTCATCCTCTGTCAGCACAGCCCTGTTCACTCGCATCTTAGCAAAGGTCTCATTAGTGTCATTCCTTGCTGCTGCTTATGGACATTCCAGAAGAGATGGGGGTATCCCAGCCTCCTTCCCCACAGACAGTTGGGACATCTTAACCGCTAACTCCATCCTGACCTTCTAGCGGCATTTTGGGCTGTTGTATGAAGCCCTTTGCTCTGATTAACAGCAACAATAATGCTTTGTGGGGTCTACCAAGCACTTTGGCATACTACACGGTTAAGCCTTGTAGTGACCCTGAGTTGGTCTAGGAATTACTCTGTGTATGACATTTGAGAGGATGTGGACTTTGGGAATCGGAGTTGAAACCCTGGGTTAGCTTGTTAGGGGCCACAGCGAAGCCAGATAGCCCTCAGTTCAGGTCCTGGCTTTGTCTCCTGCCCCTGGCCCCTTGTACAGATTTAACTCTGAATCTACAAAGTGCGGCTGTCTCACGTGGTTGTGAGTGTTAAAATTAAGTAAGACAAATGTATGAACTGACCAGAGTAGGTATTTCACAAGTGTTATCCTTTAAGTTTAATATTTTTTCTTCTGGGCCTCTAGTTGTGAGGGTTTTTTCTTACATGTACTAGAATTGCCCCCTTCCCCCAACTCTTGCTGTGGCCTCTAAGCTGGGCTACTCTGAGTTAGGGAGGCCTGTTGATGGATGCAGGCACCCTCGCCACACTTACTCTGGGACCCCCTCTGCCTGACTACCTGCCAGTCGCCTGCACCAGTCCCAGGAGAGCCCTGCTGCCCGACTTGGTTACACCTCTCAGCTCATCTGCCACATCTCCTGCTGCTTGTCTCTTTGGATCCTGCAGGTTTGTCGCCCACTGGAATATTGCCAAGTCTATGGCTGGGTACTACCAGGAGTCTGGCCGGGCAGGCAGGGATGGGAAGCTGTCCTGGTGCCGCCTCTATTACTCCAGGAATGACCGGGACCAAGTCAGCTTCCTGATCAGAAAGGAAATAGCAAAACTCCAGGTAAGTTATGGGCCGCAGGACCCCTTCCTGCCCACACCCACCCCTCTCCAATTCACGCAGCTATTTCTGAATCCGGATGGAGCCCCTTTAAGCTAGAGAGGTGCTCCTGGACCCAGCGGGCAGGCATGAGGATATGTGTGCTGGTGGATGGGCAGTCTGCAGCAGGCTAGGCTCACTTTTTTCTTTATGGTTATCTTTTTTATTTTTATTTAATTTTTTTAAGGAAGTACCGTTATCTTACATCCTTGTTAACTTTTTGATTTTCTTTTAAATAAAGGTTTGTTTGCTTTTTTTTTTTTAAGATTTATTTATGCACACAAGAACTGAGGTATAGGCCGGGGGGGGGGGGGGCAGGGGACAAGAGGATTCACCAGAGACAGAGTGGAGAGTAGAACAGGCATACCGACCGAAATACACTGCTGAGGGGAGCTGCAGGGAGACAGGAGAGGTCTGCTGCGCCATGTGGGTAGCTCCCTGGCTGGCCAGGGATCGAACTTGTGCTGCAATGGCTGCGGATAGTGTCATAGTGCTGAGACTTAACCCCTTGCACCACCAGGGAGGCCCCTAATTTTTTTATTTTTATGTTTCTCTTAATGGTCTTTCGTGTGCACATTCTTGTACGTCGTCATTATGATGCCCACCTTGTTTTAATTAGCGTTGTTACAGAAGCCTTCCACATGATGTCTTAAGTTCTTTGCTTTTAGTCTGGTTGTACATTCTTTGTAGAGAGTCAGAAACAGACCCAAGTATATAAGGAAAGTTGGTGTGTGATAGATAACATAAAAACCAATCGGAAAAGGATGACCTGTTGAATAATAGCTGCTGGGAAAGATAAAATCAGATTTCTGCCTCATACCATACACATGGAAATCACTATGTGTGCCTTTGAGAAAGGGAAGGGTGTGTCAAGATTTTCAAAGCAGAAACCATCCAGGAAGATTTGCTCTTTTATCTGAAATTAGACAAGGAAAACATCTTGGTGAGGTGATTGGGGATAAGGTTACTTAAACTCACTAACACAATGAATTACAAGAATTCACACCAGGTTCATCATGGAGACATTTGAGATCCTTTGAGATAAACAGAAGCTCCAGAAAGCTTCTGGAAAGCTGATGTAGGAAGGACTGGGAGCCAGAAGAGCATCAGTGTCTCCACTGTCCACCACAAACTAGACAGCAATAAAATGGTGCCTTTCATTTCTGAATGAATTGAAAGAAGCAGAAAGTTGATAATGCCTCTCAGGCGTCCATGGCCTATTTTCTTTACTTTTCTGTGGTTTTAATTTCATAATTTTTAGAAAACTTGATAAAATATGTTTAAAAAGGCAAGTCATGACTTTCAGAAGTACTCACTGTTAACACTCAGTGTACTGCACAGAGGCATGTTGTTCCTAATACCGACGTGTGTACATTTGTGAGTCCCTACATACACGCCCAGTGCGTAGTGACTGTTGAATTAGACCATGCCACACAGTGGTTCCTGAGTGCCACTCTGGGTCCTTTGCATGAGAATCATCTGAGCAGCTTTTTGAAAATATAAACTCCCCAAAACATTGGTTCCAGAGAGTTTGGTCCGGTAACCTAGAGTGAGCCCCAGTTCAGTCTTTTAAAGGTTCCCCAGGTGGTCAGGTTTGGGGACACTGTAACGACTCTCTAACCATCGAGTCTTTTTCTCTGTCATTATTTTTTGAGCTACTAAAAAGTCTAAGACTTTTTCTTGTCTCCAGGAAAAGAGGGGGAACAAAGCATCTGATAAAGCTACTCTCTTGGCCTTTGATGCCCTGGTGACCTTCTGTGAAGAAACGGGGTAAGTGACTTATTTCGTATCAGAGCAGGGTGTTAGTGAGATCTGAGATCTTCTCCCCTAACCCACACTAGTTACGCAGCTAAAGTAAGGCAGCCATGGGCCACCAAGGGCGCTGCTTATGGCAGCCATTATGTGGGGTGTCCTGTCAAGCAGCATGGAAGCTGGTACCAGAAACTAGCAGTGTGAGGACTCATTCAGTGATTTGAGGGGTCATCCATCCACCCCACACCACCTGCTGGCCCCAAGAGTGATGCAGTCCTGAGCACATGACCTCTTCTGAGCCACTGGCACGTCCCTGATCTGGGCCATGGCTTCACTGAAGTAATAGTCATGTGTACCTTGGACCCACACAGGCCAGTACCCACTTGGAACCCACTTTCCTATTTTACCTGCACCTCCTGTTGGAGCAGGAGGGGACATGATGAGCCTGAGAGCTGCTCAGTGGCGGGGAGGTTGTGGCGGGGTGGGGTCTGGGCACCAGCAGTGTGGTGTGGGGGGTTTTCCGGGAGTGACTCTGGACAAACTAGGAGAACTTGGCGTTTGTGCAGCCCCTTGGTCTGTAAGAGCCCTTTGAGCCTTTGAGCCCTTCTGACTCAGACGAAAAGCCTGGGTCCAGAGAGGTCACGGAGCTCACGTAGATGTCTTGAATCCCACGTCTTCCATCTCCAGTGACGTCATATTTGCTTGCACACACCATCTTGGTTTTTGCAAGAGCTGAATTTGAAGCATGGAGTTGGTAAAGAGCGTGGCACTGGTGTCTGTCTAGCAGATGTTTGGGGGGCTCCTCTGGTAACCAGAGGGATATTACCTGGGTGGTGTGCTTTCACTCCCACCCCTCCGTGGCTCCTGGCCTGGACTGCTCCTTTCTCCAAGCAACCATCCCTCATTAGACCTCTGGGCGGGGCCACGCCCAGCAGAGGCGGGTGGCTGCTATGCCAGAATTGCTCTTGCCCATAGCCACCGTGACCAGAACCTTGCTGGGCGCTAGTTCCGGGGTCGCTCCGCTGGCCTCAAGCTCCTTGGGAGGGGCTTGTCACCACAGGGCCTGTCCACGCAAGTTGTCAAGAGTCCCTCTGCTGGAGACAGCCCTGACGCTTCTTGTCTGGGATGAGTCTGAGGAAGAGCCTGTGGGGCTCTTGGGTTGGCTCAGCTGTATCCCTAGTGGCTGCAGCATCCGCCCAGGCAAGAGCACAGGGCCTCCAGGGCCCTCCGCCTTTATTTCTCCTGTCTCATACCAGGGGGCTGGAGGCTCCGAGTGCATTGTGGGTCACCCAGTGCATCAGGGGACCTCTTAGTGCATTGGGGGCCTCCTAGGACACCTGGCAGGGAGGGCTGACCCTGGGATGGAATAAAGACCGCAGTGTGGCCAGATTTGAAATTGTTCTTTGTGTGAGAGAATGTTTCTTTGCTGCATGCAGGAAAAGCCCCTTTCCACCAGGTATCTGTCTGCTAAGAGTAGTCCTGGCTTGAGGTTGAAGTTGGAACAGCTGTGCTGTAGGGGCACCTGGGATCGAGGGTCAGGCCAAGACAGTGACTGACTGCCAGGCCCTTTGGACATGGGGGTGACAGTGGTGGCAGAGAGGACCCCTCTCTGCTTGTTTGGTCCAGTAGGGACAACACTCTGCACAGACCCCCTTTTAGGGTCTGGGGCTCCTGAGAGACGCACCTGGTACCTCTGGACCAACGAAAGATGCTCAGGTCATCCCAGCCAGGCCTAGGGGCGTTGTGGTTTTCCTCTCTCCTTCCTCTTGAGTATGGCCTCGGAAAAGAAATGTTGATTATTCATGGCAGGGCTTTTTAAACTCCTAGTGTGGAAAGGAAAAGCGATTAGGTCTGAAGCAACCTCGAGCCAAGAGGCCTTGCACTTTGTGTGCATTGGGCTGGGCTGGGCTGGGCCGTCTCCTGGGACCGGGCTGGGAGCTCAGCAACCAAGCAGCCTTGTTGTGTTCTTTGTGTGCTCGATGATCATTCGTTCATTTCTCCATCCAGCAGATGTTGATTGCTTCTGACTCTGTGCCCGGCCCTTTGGGCGTGGGGGTTTTGGTAGTGGCGGACAGGACCCCTCCCCTGGTCCAGGAGGGAAGACAGGCACTCACCAGCGAATCACATAAAAAATGTATAATTCTAGACTGTTCAAAGAGCTTGGGGGAAAAGGTACATGGTGTATGAGAGTGTATAGTAGGTGACTCCCTCTGGGTCCCCTAAAAGTCAGTCATTGCTCTTCACACTTGACCTTCTCCAATGGAGGGAGGACCCCAAACATCACCGCAAACAAGATGAGGAACAGGACCATGGAGATGAACAAGCTGATCACGACCAGGCCCCCCTGGTCCCAGGCGTTCTGCCAGTACTCCTCGTTCCACTCTGCTTTCTCCTCTGCCAGGTTATCCATGTGAACCTGGAAAGAGGGTCAGAGACCTGAGTGCAGGGGCCTCTCCAGGCCCTGTCCCAGGCACTGTCCCTCCATAGCAGTCCCAACTTCACCCTCCATAGCAGTCTCAGAGGACAGCTCGCCCCCCACTGCAGATCGTGATACTGGGGGGCAGGGAGGTGGCAGGTTCCTCGGGCTTGGTGCCTCCTGCAAGCAGCACATGCACATTCCTCCTCTACAGAGGCAGGAGCAGGGACTGGCACCAAGAGAGGGGCCCTCGGGTGCTGCCCAAGGCTCCCTCTGGACTCTCCGGGCCTTCCCCGGGTAGCCCTGCTCTTGAGGACTCTCCTGTCCCTGAGACCCAGTCAGGTGGAATCTCGAAAACACCACACTAGATCCTTCCTATTTCTCCCGCCTCAGTTGCCAAACACTTGGGGAAGCATTTTGAGAGGCCAGCACAGGAGCCAAGCCCTCAGCAAACTGGAAGCAGAAGGACTCACTAGTTTTGAAAGCTGAATGGCAGAGGGCTGCCGCCGCTGAAGGGCAGTGGAGAAGAGGGGGTGCCTACCTGATTGCTGGGTCCTGAGAGGTGAGGGCGACCCTTCGGCTCCACGCTCACCACACAGATCTGCGCCCCCACTCAGCCACAGCTGTTGTGAAGGAAAGGCGTGCGCACTGCCCAGCGGCCCCGACCAGGCCTCATTGCTGTAACCAAAGCAAACAAAGGTGGGCTAGGGCCAGTTGCCTAGCAACCACATTCCCTTCTACCCTTTCACAGTCACCCCACAAGTGCTTCTGCCCTTTTGTGATGTCACTGGGGGGCAGCTCGGGGTACAATTGGTGAGTGAGCCTCGCTGAGTCTTGAGTTGGGGTGCAGGGTGACCAGTAGATCAGGACCACTCTGCTGCCTCCTCTGTGGCTGGGTCCCACCTCTCCTCTCTGCCGGGGTGACCTGTCCTGAGAGGCCAGCCCAGCGCGGGAAGACCTGGGGTTGTCCGCTTCCTGTGGTGCTGTTGAATGATTAACTGCAGCTCTGCCTGGCACCTCCGGGAGCCAGTTCTGGGTGGAGGTGATTACCACCCTCCAGGCCCTGGGTGCCTACGGAGGGAGGCCTGACTTCTCCCTCAGCGCCTTTGCCTGCCTCTCGGCGGCCTGACCTCAGCTGCTGCTGCTTTATGTGGTTGATTCTTTCCCACGGCTGTGATGGGTGCTAGGAAGCGGGGAGGAGCAGTACCTTGAGATTGAAAACCACCTCTGACTCTTAAAAGACAGAACTTGCATGCCTGCTCTGGCCAGGAGCTGCCACTGGGGCTGCGTGTCTAGTTGTGAAGGGAGACGGGCCCGCCCTGCCCGCCCAGTGCTCACATTCTATGCCCCTACATCCCCCGCCCTGCTTGTTAGTCATCTGGGAGCTTCTCTGAGTCTCTGGGTCCAGCCGGCCCTGTCCCACTTAGAGCAGCATTCTGTGTGCACCCCGCAGTCAGGCTGCGAGGCCGCAGGCCACGGGCAGGTTCCACAAAGCCCTTAACTATCCCGGGCGGCCCTGACCCGCTTCCCTGCTCTTCGCGCTCCTTCTGTAAAACACACTGACTAATGCCCTTGGCCTGCTGGACACTCCCAGTCAATAAACTGGTCCCCAGTGCTCCCTCCAACTTCCACCCCAGCAGTGGGGCGAGATGCTTCTCAGGAGAGGGTTGTTCCCAGGCCTGTTTGTGGCGGTGGCTCTTGTTGCTGCAACTATGTGTTTGCATTTACCATTACCAAAAAAATAAAAGCCACAGTCGTAGCCCAAACCCCAGTGTTTCAGCTGGGGGCAGGCCCAGAGGCTAAGGAACTCGGCAGAGGCCGCCTGGCCAGGAGCTCAGTGCTGGGCAGGGGTCTGGGCCCCGCTGTTCAGCTCCGCTCCCGCTCAGCACTGCACCTCGGGGTGGGAGGAGAGCGGAAGTCGTCCTTTCTATAAATACTTATTTGACCATTTGGAGTGACTAATAATATTCCTGTCAGAACAGATGTGGACAGCTGTTAAGCATTTTGTAAAAATCTGTAAGCCTTTCCACGCTCGGATTTCTCTGCGGATGGCTTCCAGTTCTGTCTCACAGAGCCAAAATTAGCAAACAGACAGAACAGGGACTCTGGTCAGCACCCCGCACCTGAGAAAAGACCCTGGCTCTGGCTCTACCTCAGAAGGGTGGCCCAGGCCACCCTTAGAATGTGTGTGCCTCCGTTAGAATGAGGTGTGTGGAGACTGTGGCGTCGACATCAGGGTCGCTCTTGTCCACTTTTTCAGTTGTGGGCCCTGGTCACAAACCCAACCGGTGTGACATTCCAAGACCAGCTTAACGGGGAGGGAATAGGTGCCTTGGGTACGGTGTCTCCTGGCGGCCAAGGGGCGTCCTGGTCACAAGTGATGTTTAAGTCAACAGAAGGCTGCGTCAGAGCTGGAGTTCAGCGTCAGCAGCCTTCGGGAGGCAGGTGGCTCCAGAGGGAATAGGTGGCTTTTTAGAGGACTGTCCTCAGTTTTTTAAGGCCTGGCATTGGCATTAACCACATCAGTTATGTCATGTGAGAGTTGAACTGTAGATTGCTTTTGTGGGGGAGAGCAGGCGAGTCCCCCGTCTCCTTTAGGTTCTTCTAGACTGGCAGATTGGCAAGAGAAAAATACCCCAAAACAATGTGTGTCCCTCCTGTGCACATAGGAGAGACTCAGCAGAGTGAGCAACTTGCCAAAATGGCTTAAGTCACCTCTTTAAGAATTCAGAGAGGGATACAGGATGTTGGGGAGGAGGGGAAGCCTGTTACGGGCAGTCATGTGGGAAGGCCCAGCAGAGGGGGGCATGACTGACAGCAGATTACCCTCCTCCACTGATAAGAGTTAAAGACTTAAAGGGATCGGGTCTTCCTGAGGCCGAGGAGCCAGCCCTCACACGGGGCGCGTTTCCCTTCTACATGAAAGTGTCTCTTACAAAGGGCAACCTGCACCCCACTGTCAGAGTTCCCCCTAGGAAACAGTCCTTATGCCAGAGAGACATTTTTGGAGTGGCAGATCTTGTTCCCCCACCGGGTAACATGTTCACATTTGAGAAAACATTTAGGAGAAAACTGGTCTGCTGGTGCCAAGTTTTGCGATGAAATTTGTGAAGCGGTAGCTTGGCTGAGGCTTCCACTAGGCATGAGGTGCGGACAGCAGAGGCACGGATGTGAGGTGCCACCCTTCTGAGGAACCGAGACCTGTGTGTGGTGCAGCAGAGACCGCAGCTAGGAGGGGGAGCTGCCGGGGCCTGCTGCAGTGACCGCAGGTGGACGTGGATTGTGGCGGCCCTGGGCCAAGTGGCCAGTCAGCCACTTCTGGGCTCAGCCTGGAGGCCGCCCTCCCGCTGTGTGTCTGTTTCCTTTCCTGCTGTGGGGAAGGGCTGCCTCCTCTCCAGGCGCAGCTCCCCCAGCCAGGCCTGCGCAGGCCAGTCTCCCGTCATGCGGAGCAGAGCTGCTTAGGTTGGGTGGGGTGGAAGCCTGTCCGGGCCTTGGCCTATAGCTGGGGCTGCCTTTGGTGGGGGGCTCCGTGGACACCAGTCAGCGCTTTGTGGGCAGGGACAGCATCTTCTCGGACTCAGGAGCCTGTGCTGCCTGGCCTGGATGAGCAAAATGCAGACGGCCACTGGGCCCAGGGCTCTGCCCCTCCACAGCGGGACGGGGAGCTGGGTCTTTTCTAGCCCAGAGGCTGGGCCTCAGCGGCCCTCAGCAAGGGACATTGCGGATGCTGATGAAAGCGGCTTAAGGAAAGTCACAGGGAGCTCGGGCGGCTGAGCTGTCGGAGCCTCTCCTGGGGCTACGCCGCTGTGGGCTGAAAAGGGGCTGAAAAGGGCAGGGCTCTGTCTGTCCCTCCTGCCTTCCCTGTGTTTTGCTTCTGGGAGGGAGACTGGGTGGGGCCCACCCAGCTCTTCCGGTCTGCGCCCCGCCTGCTCACAGGGAAGTTATTTGGAGATGGTTTGAGGTGTGGGTGTTTGGGATGTGGGATTTGCTGGTGGAGGGTGATGGAATCAGAGCTCTGTCTGGATGCCAGGCCGTGGTGCTGAGCCCGGGCTGGGAGTGGGGCCTGGGAGGCCGACTGCAGCTCCGAGGTGGCTTGAGCTTGGGCGAGGTGCTGAATGTCAGAAAGGCCCCGTTTCCGCGCCTCTAGAAGGGAGGGTAGTGAGGTGTTTGTGTGAGGTAAATGCAGGTACCTGCATCAGAATGCTGAAGACCAAGGCTGAGCGTTCACAGGTGCTCGGATTTTCGCCGTCTTGTCCTCATCGCCGTCATCCTTGCGATCGTTTCCTCGGACCCCAGGCGGACCCCCGGCTTCTGCGCGGTGTGTCCGGCACAGCAGGCCCTTGAGGAAGCGCTTCCTCTCTGGGTTGTCAGCCCAAACCAAACTGGTCAGACAGGTCCCTGGACACCAGGAAGTGAAACCAGCCTGAGAGTGCCACCCGCCTGCCAGCAGGAGAGGGAGGGCTGGGGCTGGCATCCCCTCGCACCCCCTCTCGGCTCCCTGATTTAGCGGGTGCTGCCCCGGGCAGCCAGAACACTGACTGCTCCGATGTACACAAATGCAGGTGCTTTCTGGCTCTGGGGACCCTTGGGGAGAGAGGGGGAGGTACCCCGGGGGCCTTCTGCTTCCCTTACCCTCTTCCCTGGGAGGGTAGCTCAGCCTGGAAAGTGCCCTCGGAGACCAAGCGAACTGAAGGGAAGAGGCAGGCAGTTGCTCCTCGGCAGGGCCAGGTTGCCCCGGGCCAGTGCCTCATGTGGAGGGCACATGATGATGGGTCACCTCTGCCCCGCTCTGAGGACACAGCAGCTCTGTGCCATGTGTCCCACCCAGGTCACCCGAGTTTGTCCTCACAAGCTGCCCCAGGAGATGGGGACTGGGTACAAGGCCCAGGGAGGCCCCAGGAATGACCTGTGCTCCCTGGCGAGGTTCTGCACCTGGCAGTGGCCAGGGAGAGGGTGAGGGGGGCAGGTGCAGGGGGTGGGGGTGTGTGTGCCAGGAGCCCGGTCTCTTTTCAAAGCCAAAATCCCCCAAGTGCAGATGTTTGGGGAGCCCTGGCCTGAGCTGCTCATGGGAGTCATGACCGTGGAGTGTTTGTGGGTTCCTGAGCCAGCACCGGCCCAGGGCGCGCAGTCCCGTGTCGTGGAGGGGTGCCTGGGAGCCGGGGCTGAGCCCGTTACAGCCTGTGCTCCTCAGGAATTTCCCTGCGCCCTTTCTCTGCATGTTTTCAGCTTTCACGGGCACAAGAGGAGCAGAGGCCTGGAAAGGACAACCCCGGCCCCCACCCTTCCAATGCCCAGTCCAGGGAGCTGGCACCACAGAACATAGAACCCAAAAGTTTTTACTGGGAAAGAAACAGGCACATACTGGGGAGATCACTGACGTGCCTCCCTCCAGCAGGCCCTGGGTCCTGCAGCTGTTGCTCTGGCCCCTGCCCTCGGCCTGCTCCTCTTTGGCTGGGCTGGCAGGATCCCGAGGGCCAGCCCTCCAGAGGTGCAGGCCTTCTTCCACCAGGTCGCTGCTCCTCAGCGCCCAGCGGCCACTGACAGGGGAGGGTCAGTGGGCGCGCCATCCCATTTCCTCACTGAGGGCCCCGCTGGCTCTCTGGGTGTCTCCTCTCCAGCTTCTCCTGGTCCCCTCCGTCCTCAGCGGGGGGCCATGGGCTGCACCTGGCTCTTCCTGCCCCGGGCGGCGGGGCCACAGCAGCTGGAGCAGCAGCAGCTACAGGCGATCAGCAGCAGCAGCAGGACAGTGGCTAGAGGTTGGGAGAGCACAGAGCGGGGATCTCGGCAGTGGGGAAGAGGGGAGACCCACCCAGCCTCTGAAGAAGCCCTCCTGAGGTGCGGTGGCCCACTGGTCAGAAATACCCGAGTCTGACAGAGGCATTGGGGTGCCCAAGCCGGTCAATGGGCCCTGACCTTCCAGCCCTACCAACTTGCTGCCCAGAGCTTTGCACCCTTCATCCCTGGGCTGGAACGCTGGGGGTGCCTGGCCTTCAGCACCACCCCATCACTGGAACAGCACGCTGAAGGGCTGGAGGAAATCCTGTGGCCTCCCCAAGGGATGTCCCTGCTCTCCCTTGGACTGAGGTTGTCTGCTGCCTCCTCCAGCCCTGGCTAGCACCCTGCTCCCTCGGCTGCTGGGAAGCGCAGCGGGCTGGGGAGGTGGGCGCACTGACCTGTGAATAGGATGATGGCCGAGAAGGCCACGATCTCCACGGGCTCCGCCTGTGGCAGCCTCTGCAGCTTGAGCAGCAGCCTCTCGCCTACCTCCTTCATCTCCTGCACGAAGTTGGAGGCCCCCATGCTGTGCTGGGTTCCAGTGGGGTTCCTGCCAGGGTTCCTGCCGGACTGTGCTGAGCAGAGAGGACCTGGAGTCCCCAGGCTGGCCGAGATCCCGCCCTCACCTCCAAGGCCTGCAGAACGAGTTTGTCAGGTCTCACCCATCTCACACTGTCTCACTCCAGTGAGCAGAGAGCCGGAGGCCCCTCAGTGGTTCTCAGCCCCTGCCTGGCTGGCACTGCCTGGGGTGAGGGAAGCTGGTGATGACAGAGACTGAGACCCTCTGCTGGGGCAGCTCTGTCAGCCAGTCAAGGTCGGCCAAGGTTTCTGAGCTGGAGCTGGGTGACTTCACTGTCACATTCCTTTGTCTCAGATACCACTCCTAGGTTTTGCCTGGTGCCCACGCTGGCACGGCTCCCCAGGTGGCCCCTGGGCCATTCAGGACCTGGCTCAGACCTGCTCCTCTGGCCTGACCAGGGCAGTCCCCTCCGCTCCCACCCACCCCAGGTATGTGCCCACTCAGGCCTCCGAGCCCCAAGGCCAGAGCCTCTTCCTGTCTGGGGTGTCCAAGAGCCCAACAGCAGAGGGCCAGGCTAAGTCGGGGTGTGTTTTGCACTGAAGCTGCTTTCTTTGCTGCTTCCCTGTGGGTGCCAGGGGACCCGGACAGTCTGGGATCAACCCAACCTGTTTACCGGGAACACTCTCACCCCAGGGAGGGGGACAGCTGGCCGGGGTGCGTGGCAGACCTTGGGCTCTAGTTATTGTTGCCTCGTCCTGGTCTCAGCCAGGCCGAGCTCTGAGGCAGCTGTGGTCCGCAGGGCCGGTCACTCCCTGTGCTGGTCACTCCCCGTGCCGGGGTACAGCTGCCCTAGAACCGGCCAAGGGTCGTCTTCTCTAGCCTCTACCCATACTGGGCTCCCTGGGCTCCCCTGCCTGGCCTACGGCCTCCGCTTGAGCCCCTCTGGGGGAGGTGGGAGTTCCACCCTGTTCCTTCTAGGGCAGCTCCAGGCTCGTAGGAGGTGGGGCCTCCTGCTGGCCTCAGGTTAGTCCCACTGGTGGTTGCTTGGTGCACTCCTACCCCGCTCACGCTTCCCGGGCCTCGGGGCCTGGCTGGCAGCTGCTCCGTGTGCTCAGCCGTCCCAACAGAATGTTGCTGGAATCACCCTGGGTCTGAGTGTGGCCCTTTAAATCCTTTGTGACCCGGACGGGTCATGTCATCTTGCTGAGTGAGACTGTTCTTTTCCTCACTTCACACACGGGCCAGAGCAGCCTCCCTCTCGAAGCTGCGGGGCGTACCACCTGACAGCTCCTGCCTAGGGGGTGCCCAGCAGTGCCAGTGACCTTCCCAGGCACCTTGGGGGAGTTTCATTTGTGACGAATAAGCATCCTAGGCTGTTTATGGGGTGCGAGGTGGAGGGGGGGAGCTCTTTTAGGAAGTGGTGATGAGGGCAGCAGGCAGACACTGGTTCCTGGACAACACAATGGTTTCCTGCCGGAAGCAGGAGGCCCCTGGCGTTAGCTCCTAGTGGCTCTCACCCCACTGCAGGGTCAGCAGAGAGATTCAGATCCCTGTTTCCAAATGTGCCGAGAAGCACTAGATCCTCGGAGGCCACAGGTCACCCGCTCGCCCCTTTTAGCACGTGGGGCGATGGAACAGAGGCCACACAGGACGGGGGCCTGGCAGCCGCCCCCGTGGGGCCCCTCTGTCCCTTTGTCAGCCCAGCAGCCCGCTGAGGGCCTGCCCAGCGGTGACCAGGTGCCAGGCCCAGCACCCCTGAAGAAGGTGGGCTTTGTGTAAAGCTCAGCCCCACCCCGCCTATCGAGTCTGCAGCGGGCCTTTATCAGGGCTGTCACCCAGCGGGCAGGGCCAAGCCTGATCCCTGAGGGCACCCGTGGCGCTTGTCACCTAAGGGACAGACCTCCTGGTCTTGTAGCTCGGGTTCCTTGCTGAGCACCCTCTCCTGTCACACCCAGGGCCGGGCTTGTACAGGCAGGTGGGCCTTTCCGTCGTGGTTCTGGGCCTCTGGGCCATCGCCCTCCAGGTTTCTGGCTGGACAGGAGACCCCTGGTCTCCGAGAGGAGGGAGCCCCGGGAAGGTTTGCGCATTTCTAGACACGGGCTGCCTGGCTCCGCCCTCTCCACTCGTCCTGCTTCTCAGCCTGACAGCTCTGCGCCCGCGTCACTGAAGGCGGCCAACAGAGACGCCTTAGGTAGCCTTTTTACTTGCCCCAAACTCTGGGAGACACGGAACCCAGATCAGTTGAAGGGGGTGCTCTCCAGGGAAGGGAGGAGGCAGCAGCTTGGGCCGAGGAGATGCAGGAAAGTGGGCTTGATCAGAAGCTTCAGCTCCAGGTTGGCCATCCGTCCTCCAGGGGACTTGGGGACTCCAGGCCCCTTGGGGACGTGCGGGTGCATGCGGGCGGCAGGAGCGCTGGATGACGTGGCGGTTGGACGATGTGGCGGTCGCAGCTCGGCACCCGGGGCATCTGCTGGCATTGACCACCTGTACCCGGGCTGTCCCAGGGCTTGCTCGCGGGCTCCCCGCTGCGCCAGGCACAGGAGTGGGCGTGCTTGACGCAGCTGAGGAGACCCCAGACGCTGAGGAGTCCCCCCCATTGCTTTTCAGTAGATGTGTTGTCGTTTCTGCTGGGGTTTGAATGCTTAGTGAGGACTGTGGGGGAGCGGGAGGGGCCTTGTGTGCCTGGGGGCGGGGGCGGGGGCGGGTGGGAGGGGGCCGATGTTAGGGTACATTCCAGCAGGTCCCAGGCTGAATTCCCAGAGAGCTATTTAAAGCGAGGCCCAGAGGGTGCCTGACGCTGGTGCCCGATATAACCGGCAGCTGTCAGGTGACCGAGCGCCGTGTGCCCCAGCCATCGGCCTATAGGGAGCCCTCCCGGTTACGGCCGGGGGGACGTGGGTGCTGGGACCTCCAGTCTCGGGGAGGCAGGCAGGGAACTCGGGGCTGTTCCCCAAACTCCTTCCCGGACTGCTGCCTGCCCGGGAGCCAGGAACACCAAAGTCGCCTCCGCCCCACAGGAGTGGTGGCTCCCTACCCCCGGAAGGGAGAGCACCCCACCTGCCACGGGGGCTCTTGTGGCCACGTTTGAGCCCGTGGAGGGGGCACCTGGCTGGAGGGCAGCCAGGAGGGAGGAAAAGTGAGCAGGGCAGAGAGGAACTGGCAGAGCTGGAGGGACTAGAGGACGTGGCTTTATGCAGCCTCCACTGGCACCGAGGGCTTCTGGGTAGACCAGGCAGGCTCCCTGCAGGCTGATGGCTGCCACTGCCACGGTACCCAGGCTTCCCTTTTCCTTTTTGACAAACTGACACTCTCCGGCCCGAGGGCAGGCGGGTGTGTGAGCGGCTGATAAGTTGATAAGTCCACTGTGTTGTTGGCTCAGCCCCGGCTTCTTGCTCTGCCCTGGTGGTGGGCTGGAGCCTCCCACCCGCTCGGGGTTGCCTGAATGGCGTCACAGCTGGAATGGCAGCACTACCATCTTGGGGCGCTTGTGGAGCCCAGCGTGTGATCCACAGCGCGGAGGAGCCCACTGTGCCCCCACAGAGCCTCCGCACGAGGCCCCTTCCTGGTGCCTGGGCCTCGCCGTGCGAGAGGGGACGGTGACAAGCAGCCCCGCGGCACTTCCCGCGGCCCAGAAGCCAGCACCCCCCTTCTGTCCCAGCCCACAGTTACCCCACTGACTCTCATCTATAAGATGCCCCTGGCAGGCAGGCAGGGATCGGGGTCCCTGCACCCAAGGAAGGGACACAGGTGGTCGGGGCCCCGGGAACAAGCTGTTCCCAGGGGGCATCTTATAGATGAGAGTCAGTGGGGTGACTGTGGGCTCCGCCTGACCCCCTCCGCCCTGCACTGCCTGTCACTGTAGGCAGGAACTGAGTGTCCCCAGCCTCCAGCTCGGGCCAAAGCCCACAGCCAGTGCCCGCCCGGAACCCCGGGGCTGACCGTGGGTTTCCACTTCTCCCGACCTCATTTTCCTTTCTCAGTAGACGCCAGCCTGGGCGCTGGGAGGCAGACGCCTGGGGGGCGGCGTGGGGAGAGTCAGCCCAGTCTAAGCACGGGGAGGCAGGAGGGAGGAGTGGGCAGCAGCCCCTGCTCACAGGCCTGGCCCCAGAGCTGCCCGAGGAGCTGCCCGGGGGTCCCCATCGTGGTGGTGTGGGGACGGCCCGACTCCAGGGCGGTCCCTCCCCGCCCGACGCTCACTCTTACATTCACGGAGATTTGGCGGCTCAAGGGGGGCCTAGGCGTGCCCAGGGATACGCGCTGACCAGAGCCCTGGCAGTGGACAGCCCAGCCCCCTCAGAAGGTAGCAGCTGCCCCTCTTGTCCTGGACAGAGCTGAGATGGGCAGACCCTGTGCTGAGCCCCCAAGACCGGAGAGGGGTGGGGAGGGCGTGCTGCCTTGGCCCGGGGAGAGGGAGACGCAGCAGCCGCGACGTGGTATCCCGAGCCAGGGGCCGCATCCATCAGCAAACGAACTCGCGAAGGGAGCAGAGCCGGGGCCACCTCTGCTGTGGCCCAAGTGCTGGGTCCCAGCAAGAGCAGGGCATGCCCAGGCCTGGCCAGGAGCTGGGAGACGGTGACCTGGACTGTCCTGTCCTCCTACCCCTGACGTCTTGGCTCCGGGGGCTCCTGATGCCTCCTTCCCCCCCCCCCCCCCCCCCCCCCCCCCCCCCGGGCAGGCGACGTCACTCACCTGGGAGCTCAGGTGTCTGGCTTGGGGGCGTTGCTAGTGCTGGGGAGCCGAGGGCGTCCACGTGCTCCCCTGGCTGCCACCTCTTCCTTCCTTCCAGACGCCTCTTTCCTGACCTGCTGCTCCCTGGGCGCCTCTCCTCAGTGCAGCGGCAGGAGCTGCTGACAGCCAGCTGCTGTCTCGGCCTCAGCTTTTTTGTTGTTGGTCGTCCAGGAGATCCAAGTGTCAGATTACACGGGGCGGGGCGGCCCCTGAAGGGGGGCAGTGCCCCCCAGCACGGGAGGGAATCCCTGCTGAACTGGGCCCTGAAGCTGCAGGTTCTGGTGCTCCCTGCCCTGAGCTCTGCACACTCCCGCTGCCGCTCCTCCTCCTCTTCCTCTCTCCCGCCTGTGGGCTGGGCCTGGGCGGTGTGCACATGAGAGGAGGTGGCCTCTGGTTCCCTGGCGGAGGCAGAGACCCCTGGGAGGCTCCACCTGAGCCAGTGCAGTGGGGGGATGGGGGGAGGCCCTGCAGCCCTCCTAGCCCTTTGTCCCCTCATCATGGACCCTTTCCCCCCCCCCTTGCCCCCACCCCAACCTGTCCCTCTGACAACTCCCGGCCTGCTCCTCCCTGGCCTCTCCTCGGGAAGAAACTAAATAGTGGGGAAGCTGCTGGACCACCCAAGCAGCAGCTCCTTGGGGAGAACCTGGGAGTCCCCCGCGACTTGGGAGATGCCTGGGCCTGCTTCTCTGGCAAGGGGCCCTATAGTCCTTGGGGTCCCAGAGGAGGACAAGGCTGGTCTTAATCTGGCCAGTGTCTGCTGGGGCCTGTCCTGCACTCCAGGCCCAGCTACAGGGAAGGCCTTCATGGCCCAGTAGCTGATGGCCCCTGACATTTGGTCGTGCCACGCAGCAGTCCGGGCTGTGCCCGAGCAGGCAGGAGCCGACCCCAGCCCGCATCCGCGAGCTGTCAATGGGGCCCTTTGAGTGTGAGCACAAAACCCCAGTGAGTCAGGGACTAGAGGGAGGGCGCGGGGGGAAGGAAGCCAACCTTGTGGCCACACCACTTGGATGCCAGAGGCGGGACAGGCGGCCCCTGTGGACACTGGCACATTGATTTTCGGAGTGCTGGGAACAGCGCCCTCTGGCGGCCGCTCCGTGTGGGCCGTGCAGAGCTGCGCTCCCCGCCCAGCAAGCCAGGCTGCCAGCCTGCTTCTGTGCTTCCTGGGGGCAGCGTGGCCTTTGCTCCTGGAGTCAGCCAGGGCCCTCAGCTCCTCAGTGTCTTGGGAGCCCCAGGCAGTGCTCACGTGGAGGGGAGTTCTGGTTAGACCTGGCTCCAGCTGTTCTTGTCCCAGGATGTGACGTCAGGGAGGGGCCAGGACATCCTTGCCTGTGCTCTGGCATCTCCCTGGCTCCCCAGCCCTATGCCACAGTCCTTCAGCGGAAATGGCTGTTGTGAGGCCACAAGGGGGCCTCTGCACCTGCCCCCAGGTCCCAGGAGCCATAGCTGGAAGCTGGTCACCTTGCTGCCCACACAGGGACTGGCATGTGATGCCGGCGCTCTAAACTGCCTGCTTCCTGCTCACAGGCCGCCCCGGGACTCAGGCTGCGGGGACAGAAGGAAGAGGTCACTGAGGGACTGAAGCAGGCCAGAGTGCTGAGGCCAGGGCCACCTCCTGCTGTTCCCTCCCTCCCCACCTCCGCGGAAATGGCCAAGAGTAGTAATAGCAACTGCCCTCGCTGTGTGCCAGGCCCTCACACAGCCCTCAGGGCTGGTGCTGCTCACTCTGCTCTGCAGGTGGGCGTGAGGGGCTTGAGAGGGCTCTCCCCGAGGGCACAGCCCCAGAGGGCTCAGCCCAGCAGCAGCCTCAGAACACCCCGGCGCTGGAGGACCGGGGAGAGGGCATGGAGGCGGCGGAGAAGTAATCTGTAGAGAAGCAGGACAGAACGGGGTTCATGCCCTGCGTCCTCCGGGAACCCCTCTGGGTTACGTGACCTTGGGAAAACTCCTTCATCTCTGTCCTCATCTGTAAACTGGGTAAACAGATGATGTTTTGTGAGGCTCATCTGAAGTGAAGGGTGTAACGGGCACCTAGCCACGCTCAGCTGGAGTGGAGGGGCTGGGTGCCCTCACCCCTCGTCCCTGCTGGGCTGCCCGCTCCAGGTGCCGCCACGCCGCCATTGCCAAGTACTTCGGGGATGCCACCCCAGCCTGCGCCAGAGGCTGCGACCACTGCCAGAACCCCACGGCCGTGCGGAGACAGCTGGACGCCTTGGAGCACCGCAGCTGGAGCAAGACCTGCATCGGGCCCTCCCAGGGCAATGGCTTCGACCCCGAGCTCTATGAGGGCGGCCGCAGGGGATATGGGGGCTTCGGCAGGTGCGGAGCTGTGAAGCGGGGCCTGCTGCCCCCTGGGAGGAGTCTGGTGTTCTCTCCAGGCGCCAAGGGTAGATCAGAGGCAACAGTGTCGTGGTTCATCCCCCTGTCCGAGGGCCACGAGGGGGCCGGGACCTCTGTGTTGCCCCCAGCAGCCAGGACCTGGGGGACATCACTGCCCCAGCAGAGGGCAAAGCCCAGATCCTGGGGTGCCCACACGCTGCCTGTCTCTTAGGTATGAGGAAGGTTCTGGAGGCAGCGGGGACGAGGCCAGAGAGGAGGCCCACAAGAAGGAGTGGAATCTCTTCTACCACAAGCAGATGAGCCTGCGAAAGGTGGGTGTGGGGGGCGGGAGTCTTAGCAGAGTCCCTGGTGACCCCCCACATATATACCCCTTAAGTCCCTTACCTGGCAACGGACTGGCACCTGTCCTACAGCCAGGCAAGATGCTTCATGGACCCCTCATGTCTTGCAGGGCAAAGACCCGAAGGTGGAAGAATTTGTACCCCCAGGTCAGTACAGAACCATCCCCAGAGGGTGGGGGCTATTCCCAAGTGCGGAAGGAGGAGGCGTCTTTGGGGGTTGGGGATTCCAGAGAGCAGAACTCAGAGTGGAAGCCCCCTCCTCCCCCAGATGAGGACTGTCCTCTGAAGGAGGCTTCTAGCAGGAAGATCCCCAGGCTCACTGTGAAGGTAAGAGGGGGGCCCTCCTCACCCCCCCACTCAGGCTGCTCCCTGAGCCTCGGGGCTGGTGTGACGACCTCCCTCTCTGCGCAGGCCCGTGAGCACTGCCTGCGGCTCCTGGAGGAGGCTCTGAGCAGTAACCGCCGGGCCACTGGCACCCAGGGGTGAGTGTCCCTGCCCCGGAGGTGGGGGGGCTGGGAGCTTCCTGAGCAGGGCTCCGGGTTCCTGTTCACTTGGGCAGCAAGCCCTGGCTTGCTGGAGAGCCCCCTCCCCAAGCTGACCCATGCTGCTGGAGGGTCGGCTCCCCTCAGCCCCACCGGGGCAGGCTCGGCAGGGGCCTGTGCGTGGCTGTCGAAGGGGCCGTAAGCTGCAGCATGGTCGGTGAGTCCGGGTCAGAAGTCCCGGCCCAGGCCACTCCCACGCGGCCCAGAAGCCCCTCTCCAGCGTCCCTGGGGGGAGAATCCAGCAGGCGCCAGCAGGGCAGGTGCCCGGGTGCCCAACGCCTGCTGCTCATTGCTACCCTCAGACCTGACCTCCAGGCTGAGGCCGTGGAGCTGGAGCACCAGACCTTCCGAAACGCCAAGGTGGCCAACCTGTACAAGGCCAGCGTGCTGAAGAAGGTGGGTGGGGAAGGGCGGGAGGGGCGCCTCTGCACACCCCCCCAGGCCACCTAGCCCCCCATGAGGCCTAGTCCCCCATTAGGGGGAACCTGACTTCCCTCCCTTGCCAGTGGGGAGGTGTTTCCTGCAAACCCCCCAGGACCAGAACCTGCCCGGTGGCCAGCTGCCTGCAGCTGCGGGCCGAGAGGCCCCTCGTGGGAAGCCTGGGGTGGCGGCTGTCGGGAGCCAGCAGCGCCATCCCTGCCCGTCCTGTCCCAGGTGGCCGAGATCCACAGGGCCTCCAAGGACGGGCAGCCGTACGACGTGGGAGGCGCTGCCCAGAGCAGCAGGCCCCAGGCCGGGCCCCCGGAGCCCAGCGAGCACGACATCCAGCCCGCCTCCCAGGTGTACTCGGTGAGCGGCGCCCGCGGCTCCCGGACCCGGCTCCGGCCGTGTGCCTTTGCCCTCGGCCTCTGCCCTCCCCTGGCAGCGCAGCCCTGGCCCTTGAGCGTCCTTGCTCTGCCGGATGCGCCTCTGCAGCCCTCGCTCTCCTCTCATCAGCCTCACCCCGAGTGTGTGCCGCCCGGCCTGCCCCGCCCCCACGCCTAAGAGCCCTGCCTCGTCCACCCCTGTAGCGGCGACTGCCCTCCAGGGCCGGCTGGTCAGACCCTCTCTCCTCACAGCTCAAGCCCAAGCGGGTAGGAGCTGGTTTCCCCAAAGGCTCCTGCCCGTTCCAGACGGCCACGGAGCTGATGGAGAAGACTCGGGCGGTGCAGCAAGCGCCCCTGCCTGAGGGGGGAGATGCGCAGCAGCCCCCTGCCCAGCCCTGCAGCCTCCAGGATGAGGACCACAGTGAGCCCCGCCCTGGGCCCGGAGCAGAGGCCCCTGGAAGCAGTGCCCACGCTGGGGGGCCCGCTCCCGAGAAGAAGGCGAAAGGCCCCTCCCGGGGCAGTCCTGTTGCCAAGGCCCGGGCCAAGAAGCAGCAGCTTCTAGCCGCAGCGGCCCTCAAGGACTCTCAGAACATCGCCCGCTTCTTCTGCCAGAGGCCCGCGAGCCCGCCTCCACTGGCCCCGGCCCCGGGGGCGGAAGGTGCCGGCCCCTCCTGTGAGAAAGTAGGGGGGGCCCTGATGGCGGCCCCAGAGAACACAGGGGAGGAGACTGGAGCCCTGGGACGCTTGGCTGTCCCCCTTCAGCCCGAGGAGTGCCCCGGGGAGGCGCCAAGGTGAGGGCCCGGGTGGCCTGGGGATCTCGCACTGACCAGGCGGTCCCTGCACGGGCTCTGCAGGGCCCCTGGGGTGAGGGGGCAGCTGGGACCGGCAGCTGACGCCTGCTCTCCCTTCCCGCTCAGACACCCGGGGCCCCCTGGAGGCCAGCACAGCCCCGCAGAGGAGACGCAGAGGGGCAAACGACCCAGACCCCAGCAGGTGCTGACCGGGGTGAGGCCTGCGGGTGGGGAGGACAGGCGGGTATGGCACTGCTCTGGGGTAGGGATTTGGGAAAGTCTTGTCTTCTTTCCCTTAGCCCAGGGGAGAGGGGGCAGGCAGGAGGGTGCTGAGGCCCAGTCTTCCAGAAGGAGGGGAGAGGCTGGTGACAGGGAGCCCAAGAGTCATCTTCTCTTGTGGCCCCGACCAGGAGCACCCAGAGAACTGGGCTCAGAAGAGGCTTCGCCCTTCAGCCCAGGCCTCCATCTTGGCTGAGGCCCAGGGCAGCATCTCAGCTGGCCTTCAGGGCACCTTGAACCCTGCGGCCCATGGCTCCTGCCAGCTCTCAGCTCCTGGCACATCCCTGAAGGAGGCGGCGAATGTTGTAGTCAAGTGCCTGACTCCCTTCTACAAGGAGGGCAAGTTCGCCTCCAAGGTAGGTGCTGCAATATGGTCAGCTGCTGTCCTGCTCGGGGTGGGGTGTGCCCCCTCCCTGGGCCTGGGGGTGTGGGTGCAGTGGGGTGGCATACTACTAGTCCCAGGACCACACAGGGCAGGCTAGCCTGGAGGCCGCGGGCCCTCGGGTCCTGGCTGTAGGTGGCTGGGGCAGGGCAGGGGCCTGTGCCCGCCGCTTCTCTCCACCCTTTGCCTCCAGGAGTTATTCAAAGGCTTCGCCCGCCACCTCTCTCACCTGCTGGCACAGCAGACCTGCCCCGGAAGCAGCGGTGAGTGCCTGCAGTACTGGGCCAGGAGGCACTGGGGGGGGCTCTTCAGGGAGGAGACTGGCCCTCACGCCTCCCCACCCCAAATCTGTAGTGAAGGAAGAGGCCCAGCACCTCATCCAGCAGTTTTTCCTTGGCCGGGGCCGCTGTGAGAGTGACGCGGACTGGCTCAGCCCACGTGACGCCCAGAGATGATGGACGGCTGCCCCTCGGGGCCAGCGCGCGCCCCCTGCTGCTGGGGCCTCACTCAGCATGTGCACAGGCCTGTTGCCACCAGGGCCTCATCTCAGGTCCTGCCCCCGCCAGCTGCACCTGGCGTGGGGGAGCCCAGACTCCTGTCAAGACCAGAGGTCAGCCCCCTTTCTCGGAGCCTCTCTGTCTCTCCTGGCCCTTGTGGTTGGGTTTTCTGGGCTAGTCCCCCCAGATCACTAGGTGGTGGGTGGTGTGGATGCTGCCAGGAGAACAGGAAGAAGGGGTGTCCCCCACTACTTGTACTAAATGAGTCTAAGCTGGGCGAGGCATTGGGGCCTACTCAGGAAGAGCCCCTGCTGGCCCCGGGCCCCTGTTCCCCTAGCAATGCTTGCCTCCTACCTGGCCCCAGGTGAGGTGGGCAGCCAGGGCCTGTTCCCTGGTGGCACCTGGTCAGGAAGGCCAGGCCGGACCCAGGTGGTTGGCAGAGGAATAAAGTCCTGCTTGTTCTGACGCAAACATGCACACAGCCCTTTGCTCTCCGGAGTTTTATTTCCCCTGCAGCTACTTCTCCCAGGCCTGGGCTCCTGCTCATGTTGAGCCAGGGCCTGGGGCTTGTAGGCCAAGCCAAGTTCCTGCATCTCCCACCCCAGGCCAGGCCCGGCCTACAGGCGGTTCCCTGCTTGCTTTCCCAGTGGGCGTCACCGTCTCTCCTCATGGCCGCCATGAGGTTCCAGAACAGCCGTGTGAAGTCCAAACTCAGTGGCCTGAGGGCTGCCAGGGTGGCCTCCGGAGATACAAGGTCCAGAGAGAGGCCCCTTCCTGGTTTCTGCCCCTCCCCTACGCCTCTTGGGTGCGGCCAGGCACTACGCAATGCTAGTGCCCGAGCCGCTGGCCAGCAGGAAGGAGATGGTGTGCTTCAGCTCCTGGGCCTGCCGGGCACCGCCTGTCAGTACAGGGCTCTCTGCCCCACCCCCACCACGCCTGCGCAGGCATGGCCCAGGCGAGGCCCTCACCACCTGCCAGGGGGCGCAGAGGCCAACCGCTCACCTGCAGCAGTTCAAACCAGATGGTCTGCGGGCTCTCAGCTGAGCCGTAGTTGAGCTCCAGGCCGGGGCTCTCTCTGTCATCCAGGGGGCTCATCAGGTGGAGCCTCTGCAGGTCCTTCAGGGCGATGGAGCGGCATGGTTTCTGGGGAGCAGAGACCGCAGAGTTGGGCCCTCTCGGGAGGGGTCAGTGTGGGTGGTGGGTGAGGAATGGCCCAAGGGTGCCCACGCCCACCTGCTTGCTGGGGTCCAGGAGGACGAGCTGCTGGCGGTTCAGCCCCAGAAGGCAGGGCCTGGGCAGGCCGGGCTCGCTCGCGCGCAGCACCGTGTAGATGGTGTAGCCAAACAGGGGCAGCTGGCTCATGGCCTCTGAGGACGGAGGCAAGGGTGGTTCTAGCCGCTGGGGCCCTGGGCCCTGCCCTGCTTGAGCCCCAGGGCCGGTGCACGTGTGGCAGGACCCGTGGCCCCCACTCTCCACTCCTCCCACCTCCGGCCCAGCAGCCCCCTTGGCCCAGACCCACCAATGAAACCGATCTGTGCCTCCTGGGAGCTGGAGCCTTGTAGCTGCCTCAGCTCCAGGCCCACCAGGTTCTTCAAGGCGGCCACGTCCACCTGCTCTAGCAGCGGCTTCGGCAAGTAAGCCAACAGGTCCTGCCTGGGGCACAGCTGGCCGTCAGGGCTGGCCAAGAAAATGAGCCCGAGGCTTCTGGGGGTGGGACTGGGGTCTGGACCTTGCCTTGGGAAGTGTGGGGAGGGGGACAGGAGTGCCTAGCCCAACTCCGCAGGCCCTTCTGCTTAGAGCCAGACGGGGGGCTGGGATGGAGGGTAGAATTGGGACCTCTGTCCCCTGGGACCTTGGAGGAGGGAGCAGGGGAAGGTGAGCTGAAGGGGAACCCTTGGGATGGGCGCCGAGTTGGGCCTCAGCATCAAGAGGGACGAGAGGGGCCTCCCTGGTGGCGCAAGGAGTTCAGAAGCAACCTATGAAGCTGTCCGCAGCCTCTGCAGCACGAGTTCGATTCCCGGCAGGCCAGGGAGCTACCCACATGGCGCTGCAGACCTCTCCTGTCTCCCTGCTGCTCCCCTCAGCAGTGCATTTCAGTAGATCCACCTGCTCTGCTCCCCGCTCTGTCTCTGGTGAGTCCTCTCACCCCCCAACACCTCTGGTCTATACCCCAGCTCTTGTATGCATACATAAATCAAACCTTTAAAAAAAAAAAAAACGGGTGAGAGGGTGATGGGAGGTCTGGGTGGCCGCCTGCACACTCACTCTGAGGGGGCGTCCTTGTGGGCCTTGCTGAGGTGCTGCAGGGCAGCCAGCCTGGCCAGCTGGGCATTCTCGTGGGCGCTCACCGGCAGCTTCCCCTGCAGGTAGTCGCACAGCACCTGAGAGGGGAGAGGGGTGAGGGGGCAGCTGTGTGCCCAGTCTCCCACCAGTTGGTGGCTCCCAGGACACACACCCCTTCCTGCCACCATCCCTTCTTGGGGGTAGGGAGGCTTGGCGCCCACCGTGAGCAGGGCTGACCTGGTTGTAGTGGGTGCTGACGTAGGTGGGGTTGTCAAAGTGCAGCTGCGTCTCCCAGCAGAGCCTCCTGCAGTGCAGGCTCACACCCTGCTCCACCGCCACGCCGTTGAGGTACTCTTGGGGCCGCAGGGGCCGCACCAGCTGGACTGCAGGGGAACCCAGGGCCTCAGCTCACCCACCGCCCCCAGCCTGCCCCGGGCGTAGAGAGCCCCTACAGAGGAGGCCACCTCCCCGAGCCCAGCCTGGCCGCCCTCCCTCCCGGGCAGGTGCTCGCCTTCTTCTTTGATGAGGAAGAGGGCAAATTCTCCCGCTTCCTGGGGGTCCGCGATGCCCATCTTTCCACACAGCTCCTCCAGCACCTCTGCCACCACCTGGACACGTGGACAGGGCCTCAGGGATCAGGGCTGGCTGGGGCCTCCCCAGAATGGATGCCCGTGACCCCTCTGTCTCCCGGGCCTCGCGTGCCCCACCCCTCACCGTGAAAGTCCGGACGTTGGTCTTGTAATCCACACCCCCGGGCAGGTGGACTACAAGCAGGCGGGTCATTTGCCCTTTCTGCAAGGCGGGTTGCAGCGTCAGTGCCCCAGCGGACAGAGGCCCCAGCTCTGCCCCCGCCCAGGTTGTCCCAGTACCAGGAATGCCTGCATCTCGCCCGGGTAGGGCAGCCGCGGGCGCCCCCCATATTTGACTGTCTGCTGAAGGTGCTTCTGGCTGCTCCGGGCCAGCTCTGCAGAGAGGAGCCGGGCTGGGGTCAGGGACTCTCCAAGCCCCACCCCAGGCCGCCCAGACCCTGGCCAGGAGGGCCTCCCTCGACACCTTGGCTCAGGCCTGACTCTTGCAGGAACGTGGTCACGTAGGGCATCAGCATATCTGATGGCAGGAAGAAGCCGGTGAGGAGGCTCAGGAAGCTCCAGCCCCTGGCACAGCGTTCCCTGCAGTGCAGAGAGCCCGGATTCAGGCCGGCCAGACCATGACACCCCTGGCCCTGAACCCCCTCCCAGTAGCCCCCTCACTCACGGCTGGGGGTGTCCCGTGACTTGCTTGATGACCTGGCAATAAATCTCATCCCTGAGGCTCTCCTCCCGACACAGCTGGGAAACAAGGAGGGCAGCAGCGGGTCAGGGGCGACGGGGTGGGCGCAGGCCCAGCGCTGCTGGGCGGTGATGTCAGGGGGAGCCCCGCCCACAGGCTGGGGGCCAAGTCAAGGGGACTCCAGAGTCACCTCTCGGCTATAGTCTTGCCCGGCTCCAGCACCCCACGCCCGGGCACGCGCCCTCAGCCCTGTCCTCTCCGCTGGCTCCGCCCGCGGGGCCTCCGTCTACGCGGGCTCCTTCCGTCAGCGCCTGCCTCCAGCCAGATGCCCCCCCTGTATCCCAGAGCTTCGCTTGAAAATGGAGCTCCCAGTGCTCACACGTGCGAAACAGACCCCCGCGCCAGCCCAGCCTCACCCTCGCCGGCTCCCGCGCCACGCTGGTCACTGCGCTGCTCCAGGCTGCCCTGACAGCCTCTCTCACGGCCACGCGCCGCTCTCCAGCCAGCCTGCTGCTCTCCCTCCCTCCCGCGACCTGCGCCCCCGCCGGGCCAGCACCGCTCTCACCCCGGGCCAGACCACCCCGCACGCAGGCCGAGTCTGCCAGTCCCTCCGTGGCTTCGCTTTTCTCTCAAAAAACCCGAGTCCTGACCACGACCTCTTCGTGCCTCTTCAGCCCCGGCCCCCTGACCCGGCGGCCCTGCTGGTGCCGAGGCTCATCTCCTGCCAGGCCAGCACACGCCCCCGTGACCGGGCCTCCCTCCCTCTCGGCCCCAGCGTCACTCTGTCACCAGCTGCTGCCAGTGGCAGCCTCTTCCCCCGCTTGTCCTTCTCCACAGCGCTCGCTGCTGGACACATTAACCAGGGTCCACCACCTTCCCCACAAGACTGGGGGTCCCGTAGACACCCCGGCCGGCAGGTAGCAGGTGCTCAATAAATACCTTGAGATGACTTGAAGGAACCAAGACGAAGGGAAGGAGGAGGGTCCCATTCAGACCCTGGCCGGGGAACGGGCCCCCGGGCCCCACAGGGACTCCCCCCCACGCCCCGCCCCCCACCGTGCTCTTCACCTTCAGCAGCTCATAGACAAGGTCCATCTCGTCCTTGCCTCGGGGCTTAGGCTGGTCCCCCATGAACTGCATCAGAGCTGCGGGCAGGAGAACCCGGTGAGCAGGACGGGGCCTGGCCCTGGCCCTGGCATCTCCCGCCATCTCAGGCCTTGCTCAGAAACCGCGTGTGAGCGGCAAAGTGGCCACTTTACCAACGAGGAGACCGGGCTTAGAGATGCTGTGGGCACCCACAGCCGCCCACCGCCACCCCTCCCCTCCGGCCCGGGCTGGGGAAGTGGCCAAAGGCCCAAGGCCACCATGACCCGCCCCCAGTCAGCAACCCCAGGAGGGACAGCGGCCAGGCGCCGAGGGACAGGGCTCCGCAGGCAGGACCCAGGGTCCCGGGGCCACTCACCCCGGAAGCTCTCCACAGCCTGTCTGCTGGTGTCCTCGTTCTCAAAGCTGATGAGCGACTGAGGGATGGGGGCCTGCCGCCAAAAAGGCTGGGCTGAGTCTGGGGGCCGGAGGGCGGGGTGCACCCACTGGCCGCTCCGCTCCGCCTGCCCCTTTACCTTGGTGTACTGCACCAGGCTGGCCGCGCCCTTCCCCTCTGCGCCTGCGCCTGTCTGCTCCAGCCTGAGGGGCAGAGGGAAGCACAGCCTGCTTGCTGGGCCCCGGGCTGAGAGCACCAGCCTGGGCGCCCGTGCGGGAGGCCCCCTTCAGGGAGACCAAGGGCAGACGGGCACTCACAAGGTCGGGGGCTTCCGGAAGTATTTCAGGGCAAATTCCTGCATGGTGTAGTGGTGGGAGTCCTCGGGCAGAGAGGGGGAAGAGGGCAGGCTGGTGGCCTCCAAGTGGTCACTCTGGCTCTGGATCCAGTTGTAGTCAGGGTGCTGGGTGCACAGGAGACCCGCTGCCACTGGAGCCCCACCGCCCCACCCCCCCAATACCTGCCACCTGCCCGGCCCGGCCCTGCCCGGCTCGGCCCAGCCTGGCCCGGCCCGAGGGACAGTGTGAGTGAGCAGCCACCGGCAGCCAACAAGGTCAAGAAGTGTTTATTGAGCATCTGCTAGGGCAGCACTGGACTAAGTGCCACGGGGGACACAGGGGGAGGCACGGCCCCGCCCCCCGTCCCAGGAGTCAGGGTCTGACCGGGGTGACAGGCAAGACAGCAGGAGAGGGCGGGGCCCGCATCGGACCCAGCGCTGCCCACCAGGGCAGGGGTTCCTGGACTGCTCTGTGGCCGCCGGGCCCCTTCCGTCCACCACTCCTAGTTGGGCCTGGCCTCCTTGCCGGTCTGCCTCACCTCCGGCGCCCTGTCCCTCTGAGCCAGCCCTGGCTCCCCACTCTGTGACCGGCTCCTGTGCCGGCTGCGCCTCTGCTCGGGCGAGAAGGAGAAGTCAGGAGCCGCGGCCGGCTGCACTAGGTCCCGGGGAAAGAGTCCGGAGTGGCCCCCGCTCGAGCCAAACTGCCAGCCTGGAAGGCAGCCAGGGACGACGTGTCACCCACCTGGCCGGGCCCTCGGCCCCCAGAGGTCCCACCGTGCCGCCAGCTCGCCGGCCCCCAGGGACACCTTGCTCCAGAGTGGCCACGGGCAGCAGCTTGATGAGGTCCCCGCGGTGGAAGCTGAGAAGGCTGCAGTCGTCGGTGACGTAGCTCCGCAGCGCAACCACGTAGCCCGAGTCCTGCAGGCCGGCGGGAGAGTGGGCCCGAGCCGCCAGCCAGACAGCACCCCCGCCCGCCGGCCGCATGCTCCAGCCAGACCTCAGGTCGAAGGACCCGGCCTGACCTCCAGCCCCGCCCGGCAGCTCAGGGAGCTTGGCTGACAGCCCCCAGGATAGCCAAGCCCGTGGGGCCTGCATGACACACGGGGAGGCCCCAGACCCACGCTTGCCTTTGTGAGCTCTCGCAGGAACAAGTCAACCATGGCCTTGATGGCGCCCGCCCGGGGCGTGTGCAGCAGCAGTTGCTCGCTCTTCAGCACCAGCGCCAGGGTGGAGGTACCCGGACACTCCACACTCAGCACATCCGCAAAGCTGTGCAAGGCGGGGGGCGTGAGTGGGGGCCAGCCCGCCGCCTGTCCTGCCCTCCCCCAGCCCAGGCTCACCTGTATGAGCAGAGAATCTTCAGCTGGTTGGGGTGGAGGCTGGAGCCTTGGGTCATCTTGAGCAATCTCAGCCCGCGGTGGGACACCCCCAGCAGCTGCACATCGCTGCCACTCTCGCCCTGTGGGGTGAGTCACAGACAGGCCCCTGGTCCCCCTGCCCCGGCCAAGACATGGGGTCGGGGGGGCTCTCTGTCCTTCCACTGGGGACCCCCGCCAAACCCACCCCACAGCCCCCAGCAGAAAGCCTGCACCGTGAGCGGTGGGGTACAGGCTGGGGTCCTGCCATCGCTGGCCCTGCGCCCACTCCACTGACCGAGACGGGGAAGATGCGGGAGAAGTAATTGGCCCAGTTGTCCCTAGCGGCCATCACGATGCGCTTCTTGACACTGTCCTCCACGGCATAGAGGGAGTCCAGGCCCACCTTCAGGTCTCCTGCGGGAGGAGCAGGCCCAAGCTGTCCTCAGGCTGCCTTGCAGCGGGGACCCCAGAGCTTGAGTCCACTCAGCAGGCCCAGCCCCCAGCACCCCAGCTCCCTGGCCGGGCCGGGACCCTACCCAGCAGGTCTTTCATTTTGCGCCTCTCATCCTGGGAGATTCGGATGCAGGACTCAGCGAAGGTGTCCCGGAGGATCTGGGGGCAGAGCCAAATGGTCACCCCAGGCCCTAAGGTCGGAATCCGCCACAGAAGAGCCACGAGCTGCGATGCTGGTGAGCCCCACGGGCATGGGTGGAACAGGCAGGACGAGGGGCCTCCCAGCCCTGGGGCCACACTGGCCCAGAGCACCCACTTGCCCCCTTGTGCCCCTCCATGCGCCCAGCTGAGATAAGCTGCCCTGAAGAGACAGAACTGGTGGAGGGTGGGTTACTCGAGCATTCGGGGGAACAGCGGTGTGGTCTGGGAGTCTCCAGAGGTGGCAAAGGAATAGCAGCCAGTGAGCACCTGCTGTGTGCAAAGCATGTGTGCTCCTGCTGAATACACTTGACTGGTAATCCTTGCTGCAGGCCAATCGGGGACCTGACTTCCAGGGGTGTTATGAGGATACACAAAGGAAAGCAGGACCAGAAACCCACAAGTGCCCCATAAGCCTGGCTGGATGGTGCCCCTCCCACAGCTGGGAGCTGCCTCAGGGGTGGGCGGGGGTCTGCGGCCTGCACCAGCGGGCAGGGCTCACCTGCTCACAGAGGAGCCTGAGGCAGTAGGGGTGGCTGAAGTTCTCCCTGGGGTAGAACACCTGTGGAGGGGAGAGGGCGTGGGGCTGGGGAGGTGGCCCAGCACCTTGATCCTCCCTGGTCTGCAAGGGTGTGGGGAGGAGAGGCTGGGGTGCCTGGTCTGCCCCCCAGGCCTGCCTCCGGGCCTACCTCCTTGCGTAGGAAGAGCTTCCAGGGTGGACTGGCATAGGAGAAGCTCACGCTGCCGGAGGGCACAAGCAGCTGGGTGGAGACCCCCCGGTCCTCCATGGGCTCCCTCAAGCCTGGCAGGGGGAGCATCAGGTGAGGAGCCACCAGGCCCGGAAGGAGGCGGCGCGGTCGGCCCCTCGCTCTGCCCACAGCCCCACTCCGGCCTCCAGCTCTCCCTGATGGGCGTGGCCCTCCCTGACTGGGTCAGCAGGGCCAGTGAATTCCTGAAGGAGCTGTCAAGTCTGGTCAGGGACAACACCCTGGGTGTGACGGTCCCTCCGTGCCAGACAGGCCCCGAGGTGTCCAGACCCTGCCCTGGGCGGGAATGTGGAAGCCCGAGCTGCAAAGTCCAGAAGCTGGAGCAGCTGACCTTGGCCATGAGTGCCAGGAAGCTGTCAGCTGGGCATTCTGCAGCCACCGGCCCTGGGGTTCCTCACCTCGGGGCTCGGCTGAAGGCTTCCCCGGGTCCTCTGGTGGAGGCAGTGGAGCTGGGGGAGGTGGGGGAGCCAGGGCAGTGGGTGGGGCCTTGCCAAACAGCTGTTGAAGGGGCCCCTGCTTCTCCTTGATGGTACTGGAGGGCCCGAGCCGTCGCGGGGACTTGGGTCGAGGGGCCACAGGTGGTGGAAGGCCCTTCCCGGGGCTGGGGGACAGCGCCTGGGGAGGCGCAGAGAAGGCACACAAGTTGTATCCAGGGGCGAGACCAAGTTGACCCCAGAGTCTCAGACCCCCTGCAGAGCAGCTGTGTCCTGGAGGGGACCCGATGGGGCCTCACCGGAGAGGGGGAGTGGGCACCATTGATCCCCAGCTTAGCCAGAGCCTCATCCTTGGGGTCGTTTTTCCTCGGGAAAGGTTTGGTGGGCTTCCTGGAAGAAGGAAGAGGTCATGAGTCCACAGGGTGACTCCCCAAGGGGCCGCCACCTGAGCCCCCCACACCTGTCCCCAGGAGCACCTGGGCGGCTGCACCGGCACGGGCACGGGGGCGGGCCGGCTCTGGTACATGCGGATGATGTTGCGGATCTCCTTGCTGGGCTCCTCCCTTGCTGCGGGGCCTGAGCTGCGAACCACAGCTCTGTCCTGGGCCGGCCCCTGGGGCGGCCCCTCGGCGGGCTCTGCCTCAGCCTCAGCCGCTGGTGTAGCTCTGGCCCCTCCTCGGGTCGACGGCTTCCTCGCTGCGGGGGAGGAGGAAGGGACGGCGTTGGGCAGGAGAGGAAAGACATGAGACCTGTGCAGACCTGCAGGACCCGGCCCTGCCCTCCCCCTCCCCAGCACCTGCTCTCGAGAGCTCCTCCTCCTCGTCCTCGTCCTCGTCCTCCTCCGCCCCCTGGGGGATCTGCACCTTGGCGGGAGGCTTCGTTGTCTTCACCTTGAACTGCTGCTGCCCTGCAAGTGCCCCAGATGACCCTGGCAGTTACTCTCCACCGGGCCCACCCATCCGGGCCCCTGGACAGGCCGCACGAACCCAGCAGAGCAGAATGAACCTGCGGTGACCGAGCCTCAGCTGGGTCACTGCCCGAGTTTCTGCTTGGGCTTGCCACCCCCGTGTCCTCACCCATTTTCTGGAAATAGTCCCGTTTCTGCTGGAAGCTCGTGGGTGTCCTGTCTTTGGGCTCCTGTGCGGTCTCCTGTTGGCAGGAAAGGAAGAGAAGCGGCTGACCTGACCGCAAGCTGCTGCTCTGCCAGTGAGGCCCCTGGGATCCCCAGGCCTGGGGCCCAGACACATCTCGGCATCTCTGCTCCCTCCACCTGTGTCTCCCGCCACGCTGCCCTCACCCTCCGCCTGGCCTCGGCTCCTCCACCGCCGCTGGCACCCACCCTTTCCAGCTCCCGCTCGGGCTCCTCCTGAGAGACCAAGGGCTTCTTAGACTTGGGGGTGGTGGTCGGGCACGGGGCTGAGGAGGCTGCCTCAGGAGCCTGGGCCTGGGCCTGGGCCTGGGCCTGGGTCTGGGCCTGGCGCTGGCGCTGCTGTGCCTGTTGCTCCAGGGATAGGCTCATGGCCTGGGTGGTCATCTGCTGGGCCTGAAGCGGGAGGGGGGTGGGTCGGATACATGCAGCCTGCCTCTGTGCCCCCTGAAGCAGCCCTGGCGGGGGCAGGGGCGAGGCAGCTCCTGCCCTCACCAGGATCAGCGCCTGCTGGTTGATAAAGTTCTGCTGCTGGGCGGCCAGCTGCCTCGCTTCCAGGCTGGGCAGCATGGGTGGTGGCTGCTGCGGGGGTGGCATCATCATGGCTACAAGAGTGGCACAGGTGGGCAGGGTGGGTGAGCACCATGGCTGAGCCCACAGCCCTCTGCCTGCTGTGCCCTCTGGGGCACTGGCAGGACCGCCCCTTCTCTGTCCCTATCTGAGAGGGACCCTGGGGCCTCCCTGTCCAGCTGTACCTGGCATCATGGGCATGGGTGCAGGCATCATGGCTGGCTGGTATCCGGGCATCTGCATCATCCCTGGGTACACTGAGGGAATATGGCCCTCCCAGGTCGGTCCTACCAGGGCCCCGAAACTTCCTCCCTGCAGCCCCAGGCAAAGGGAAGCATATCTGCCACCAGGGTGCTGGGCTGGGGGAACCGGCTGGCGCTCAGCCTATACTCACCCATGGGGTAGCTGCCCTGATGCATGGGCCCCATGGAGCCCCCGCCCTTCATACGGCCACTCAGAGCCTGGCCTTGCTCCAGATCCTGAAGGGACAAAGATCACAGAGCACAGGGTTGCACTGGAGGCCCGGGAGGGGTGGGCGCGTGTGTGCAGGATACTCACGCTGTAGCCTGGGGAGAAGACTGACTCAAAGAGGTTGTCCACGAAGCCATCCAGGCTCCTCGGGCTCCGGTACTCACCTTTGGGCCAGAGGAGATAGTGTCACCTGCTTGGGGGACACTTATCCCTGTTCCCAGCACTCTGCCAACCTGAGTGTGCCCACTCTGGCCTTACCTGTGTGGCCTCTGCCAGGCAGCATTGGGGGTGGACCTGGAGGGGGGCCTGGAGGCAGTGAGGGGGCCTGGATGCTGGGGGCGGGGGGGATGTCCTTGGTTCTGCAGGAGACAGTGGGCCCAGCTAAGACGGTGCCCAGGCCGAGGCAAGGTGTAGAAGCGGCCATGGGGGTTGTCCCAAGGGGGCGAGAGGAGGCTCAGGGGGAGGGATGGAGCCCATGGCAGCCCCTGTGACCCCAGGGTGCTCCAGGGCAGGGATGGGGCAGGCCAGGAGCAGTGGTGCTGGAGCAGGGGGAACCTACAAGTCACGAGGGGCGATGGGGTAGCTGCGGGGCTCAGTCAGGTCCCCCAGGTCCTCGGTCTGGCCAATCAGGTCCAGGACAAAGTCACAGCCAGGCAGGTCCTGCCAGGAATCCCCGGAATGCAGTGACACGGACCAGCCACGAGGGGGCACCTCCAGGCCTCTGGGTGGAACAGGAGCACAGTAAGAGACGCCCCAGATGACCACCCTGGGGGCTGTGGAAGGGAAACCTGGGCGGGGAGCAAGCTGGGGTGCTCTGACTGCCCAGTGCTCCCGAATTTCTACCCCTTTTCCTGAGACATCTCTCTGATGCTATGGACCGAGTGACCAGAATCTGGACCTTGGGTGTAATCTCTACTCCTCCCTCCTTGAACCGACTGTGCACCCTGCCCATTTGCCCCCACCCCTTGCCCCTTGCCCCCCATATCCCCCGTTTGGGGGAGCAGGTTTTGGATTTGCACCTACAGGGGCAGCTGCAGGAGGGGCATGCACGCGTGGCTAGGTGGACACAGGGGCACAGGAGGAGGATAAGTGTCCACACCTCTCCCATCCCAGACCCCCACACCTGCTCTGAAGGATCCACCCAGCAAATTGCTCCCCCGTGGTCCAGGACTCCACCTCGGCCGAGTAGCAGTCCTCTGCAGGGACAATGGACAAGTGAGGGCCAGCGGGACCCCGACAGGAAGGGGCTGTTGTCCCTAGAGAGTAGGGGGCCCAAAGGCAGGCTAGAGGGGAGGCCAGGATCATGGAGGGGTGCGGCAGGAGGGCTGAGGGAGGAGAGGCAAGGTGGGCAGGAGGTGGGCATCACCATGGAAGGTGAAGACGTCCAGGGCCATGCGGCCTCTCCGCCATCCCGCAGTCCACTCGAGCTGGGTGGGTGGGTGGGCCCGTGTGGCCCCGGGGGCCAGCTGCACCTGCTCCAGGGCCCCCAGCAGTTTGTGCTGGCACAGCGCAGCCATGCCCTTGGGTGCCTGATCTGACACAAACCTGCGGGGACAGCACAGGGCTGCTGTGGGGGCAGGGTGGCCGGCTGACCCTGCCCGGCCGGGCCCCGCCCTCCTGGCCCCTTACTTGAGCAGTGGCTTCTGCAGAGCCGGCCTGGGGGGGAAGGCACTGAGCAGGACGGCCATGAGGGCCCAGCCGCGCTGGTTTTGCTGCTCGTCTGGGTTGTGCCAGAGCTGGGCCACCAGCTGGCTGAAGAGCTCATCCCGCAGTCCTGGCCGGCGCTGACCGTGCCGCACCAGGTATGTGCCTAGGGTCTGCTCCTGCCAGGGCGGCAGGGACCCATCCTTCAGGAGCCACAGCATCTGCAGACACAGATGAGGTGAGGGCAGGACAAGTGTCCAGCCAGCACTCAGGAGCCAGGGCCCAGCCCAGCCTGCCCTGTCCCCGAGGGGTCACTCACCACCTTGTTGATATCCAGGGCTTGCTGGGGGTTCTCACCGTCCAGCCGGGTCAGGGGCTGGGTCAGTGTCTGCCCAGGGTGGGGCAGGGACGGTTCCTGCAAGAAAGGAGGTGACGCAGCACCTGAGCAGAGGCTGGTCTGAGCAGCGCCCCTGGGGACAGAGCAGGGAGCCCCAAGGGAGGGGGAGGATGGCCGGGAACACCGCCTTGAAAGCGCATCTTCGCTGCTCTTCCCAATTGAAAAATTGATGGAGGGCCTCCCTGGGGTGCAGGAGTTAAAGACAGCACTATCAAGCTATCTCCAGCCACGGCAGCACGAGTTCGATCCCTGGCAAGGGAGCTACACACAAGGCGCGGCAGACCTCTCCTGTCTCCCCGCTGCTCCCCTCAGCAGTGTGTTTCAGTAGATCTGCCTGTTCTGTTCCCCGCTCTGTCTCTGGTGAATCCTCTCACCCCCCCACAACTCTGGCCTGTACCCCAGTTCTTGTATGCATAAATACATAAATCTTAAAAAAAAAATCGATGGTGATGCCTGCAGAAAACTCAGAACACATGGAAAAGGAGACAGAAGAAGGCACACGGGTAGCGAGCCACCGTGGAGATATCTCAGCCTCCCTTTCGGAGTTTCTGAGCGACCACTGTGTTGTTTTTCTGCGCAGTTTTGGATCCCACTGCATCCGACACCACAGCCCGGCCGTTTCCTTTGCTCTAAGGACACAGCTGAAGTGACGGGGCCATGCCAAGGGGGTCGCAGGGGTGTGGCACCAGGCCTCGCCTAGCCAGCGAGGCCTTTAGGTGAAGGGATGTTTTCAGAGCGAAGCAGCCCCAGTGACAGGAGGGGGAGGGGCAGGGGTGGGTACAGTTTCTAAGGGTGCCGCGGAGTCTACCCTCTGGGGAAGCATGGGCGTCACCCACGGAGCAGAGGCCTGGGGCGCCCACCTGAAAGCTGGTGGAGATGAAGCTGGAGAAGGGGAAGCGGTCGATGTCCGGCGGGAGCGTCAGGTTGGCCCGGGCAGGCACCTCCGGGGGCAGGGACTCCATGATGCTCTCGGCCAGGGCATGCTGAGAGCCTGGGGCAGCGCCAGAGACAGCCCAGACAGAAACTCCCAGGTGAGTGCCGGCTCCGTCCCTCCTCCAGCCTCCCATTAGCCCAGAGGGAGGCGAACAGCAGGCTTGGGGAGCCCAGGGCACCATCAGAGCCACAGCAGGCAGATCCCCTGCCAGGAGGGGGGAGGGGCTCATGGCCAGAGAGAGGCCAATGGACACTCACCTTCCGCTTGCTGCAGCATGACGGCCAGCTCGGCCGGGATCCCCATGCGCCCCAGGTCCTGGCAGAGGAGTAAGTAAGAGGTACTGGGGCGGGGGGTCAAGCGGCCCAGTATGCTGCTCACCCCCAGAACTGTAAACTCCTCCCAAGGAGCCTAGCCATTCAAACAAACAGGGTCTTGGAGCTCTTGAGGGGTAACCAAGGGCACCCCATCCTCTTCTCAGAGGACACAACAAGGCCCCAGAGGACAGGAACCAGCGGCACCCCTGGGGCCCCATACTTTCCCTCAAGCCCGGTTCAACTGGTGGGCACCCCTCCAGCATCCAGGCTACCTACCATGCTTGGCGCTTTTTCAGCGATCCCCCCGCTGTGCTGGCTGCACCAAGGCCTGGGCTGCTGCGGGACATGCAGGAAGAGCCGATGCCCCGTGAACAGCCCCCGCGAGCCTCACAGGCCAGCTGCCCCTCCTGCTCTCGGTGGGGGGGCGAGCCCCAACACCAGCAGAGGAGCAAGCACAGGCCCTGGGGACCCCTGGGCCGCCAGAGCCCTCACCAGCCTCAGCCTGTGGGCGCCACTGCCTGTCTGCCAGGGTACCGGGAAGTGGGCAGGAAGGAAAGGAATCATCCCGGGACAAAGTCCAGCAGGGAGGGACTGGTGAGGGGCAATATATGGGCATTGACCTTTGAGCCGCTTTATGGCCCTCCAGGTGGAGTCATCAGGCCAGAGAAGGGAGTGGGTGGGCCCCCAGGGAAGGCAAGGCACCCAGAGAGGGAGCGGACCGGGCCCAGGGCCGGAGGGCAGCACTGGGATGAAGGAAGGCAGTGATGGCCTGGGCGGCCCACCGGCCTGGCTTCTCCGTGGGGTGCCCAGTGCGGAGCCCCACCCAGGTCTGCACCTGCAGTTCCTGGCGCCTCCGGAGCAGGGGCCGAGCCACCAGCAGGACGGTGTTCAGCTGCCCCAGGGCCGCCCGCCGCCGCAGGTACCGCTTCCTGGAGGTGGGGAAGTGGGCGTGAGGGTCTGCAATGGCACCAGATCCTCCCAGCTAAGACATGTAAGAGCTGCCCCTGGGCCCCAGAAGGCCACTCTGGAAGAACAGGGACCGCAGGCTGTTTAGCCCACGGGGCCAGGAGCACAGACCCTGCACTGAGGACCTGCAGACGCCCCCTTTCCCCCAGTGTTCACGTATCTGGTATCCCCTGCTGCTCACCTGGGTCGCTTATCTGAGTCGTGGTGTCAGAGAAGTGACCTCACCTCTCTGGTTTAGTCTCATCACTTGTAAAGTGAGGCTGATGGGCGCGCCTGCCCCGCTGTTGGATCAAGGAATGAACATAGAAGCAGCGGGACATAAAAATGACAAAATGCCATCACTGGAAATCTCACAGGAGATCCCAGAAGGGACAATGTTCAAATAAAATGTCAGGATTTGGAGCCCCCCCCCGGAGGTGCAGGGGTTAAAGCCTCAGCACTACGAAGCTATCCACGGCCACTGCCGCCTAAGTCCAGTCCCCAGCCAGGGAGCTACCCACACGGCGCAGCAGACCTCTCCTGTCTCCCTGGTGCTCCCCCTCAGCAGTATGTTTCAGTAGATACACCTGTTCTGCTCCCCACTCTGTCTCTGGTGAGTCCTCTCACCCCCTGCACCTCTGACCTACACCCCAGTTCTTGGATGCATAAAAAAGTAAAATAAATCTTTAAAAAAACCAGAATAGGCAAATGTATGAAGACAGGAAGTAGGCTGGAGGCGACCAGGGAAAGAGAGGGCAGGAGCCACAGTCCTGCTGGAGGACACCTCAGCAGCGGGCCCCATGCGACAGCGGCCCCGCAGGCTCCCGGCGGCCCGGGCGTGCACTAGCCAGACAGCCAGGTCTGAGCTGCGCCGCACAAAGCTCACACCACCGATCCCCTGGGAAGGCTTTCCCAGAGTGCACCCACGTCATCCGGGGGTGACCGTACCGCTGAGGGCCACCGAGTTTCTTCTGGTGATGAAAACATTCGGAGACAGCAGTGACGGACGGTCACTCCCCGGCGGCCTCCCAGGTGGCCACTGCACCGCCTTCATTTTGTTCTCAGCACTTTTAACATCATGCTTGGGGTGACTGCAGGCCGACTGATTGTCTGCATCTGACTACCCAGCTAGCCTGGGGGACCCCATTTCTGCCCTCACCCCAGTGACCCAGGGCAGCTGGAGATGAGCCAAGAGCTGTCGAATGAGGGGGCCGAATACACTGTGACAGCGACTGGAAGGGAGCTGAGGAGGGGGAGGGGCCAAGAGGTGCAAAGAGCCTGGAGGGCCTCCCTGGTGGTGCAAGGGGCCTAAGCACAGCACTACGAAGCTATCTGCAGCCTCTGCAGCACGAGTTCGATCCCCGACCAGGAAGCTGACCCACATGGCACAGCAGACCTCTCCTGTCTCCCCGCTGCTCCCCTCAGCAGTGGATTTCAGGGGATCTGCCTGTTCTGCTCCCCACTCTGTTTCTGGTGAATCCACACCTCTGACCTGTACCCCAGTTATTTTTTTTAAGATTTATTTATTTATTTATGCAAGCACTGGGTACAGTCAGAAGCGCGGGAGGATGAGAGAATTCACCAGAGCCAGAGTGGGGAGCAGAACAGACAGACTGACGAAATATAGTGCTGAGGGGAGCAGCGGGCGTGGCAGGAGGGGTCTGTCGCACCATGTGGGACCCCTCGTCCTGCAGCCGGGGATCGAACTGGTGCTGCAGAGGCTACGAGCAGCTTTGCAGCCCAGCGCTCAACGGCTGCACCACCAGGGGAGGCCCTACCCCAGTTCTACCACCCCCTGCACCCAGTTCTTATATGCAGAAATAAATAAATCTTTAAAAACATTAAAAAAATAAATAAATAAAAGATCGTTCTTGCTACACAGTGGAGGACAGACTATCAAAGAGGATGCGCAAGGAACTGAGCCTGCAGTGGGCTGTGTGGTCTCAGCAGTAATGAGCTTCTCGTGACTGGGGGTGTCCAAGCACAGTTGGCTACATCTCCCTGCCCCTGTCCCGCCGCCTGGAGGAGGCCCACAGTCTCACCCCACCCCCCGCAGACCTGGCCTGGAGCCCACGCACTCGCGCCTGCATCCGAGGCAGGAGGCGGAGGCGCTGTCGGGAGAGGCAGGTGCGGAGGCCTCGGTGCAGGATGAGCAGGGCCTGGGAGCGCCGCTGGGCCCACCGCTGCTCCAGCTGCTGCCAGCCTGACACCTGCAGCAGGACCTGGGGGCAGAGGCTGCGGCTGAGGCCACTGGGCCCACCCTGCTCTTCCCCTCAGGCCTCGGCTTCCTCCCTGCCAGCCAATGCATCCTCCTGGGACCCCAGGACACCCGCCGCTGAGCACTGTTCCATCTCCGCCCAACAGAGGGACCACCAAGTCCTGAGTTTGTCCCTGTGTTCCCCAAAATGCTCCTCTCTCTCTCCACCCCCGCCCCCTGCCACGCACACCTACCTACCTGGGTGACGCCGAGGTGACAGAGGGGTGACTCGGGCCCCAGCACCTGACTCAGGATGGCACCACACCTCTCCCGGTCAGAGGAGTCTCCCTGCCCCTCTGTCCCCAGCGTCCGGAACCTGCCCCAGGACAGACAGCAAGGTGGGCACAAGGATGCACCTCCGCCTGTTGGACACCCCAAGCCCCTGGGGGGTCTCTGTTCAGTCTCTAAGTCATTCGGACAATGTCTGGAAAGCTTCTGAATGGAGGGGTGGCGCGGGATGCAGGAGGCGTGGAGGGCGGAGGGCTCATGAGCAGTGAGAGGAGAGGGAGGGAGGGCAAGCAGGAGGGGGGAAGAGAGGAGAGGAGGAGGGGGCAGGGAGGGGAGGGAGGGGAGGGAGGGGAGGAGGGGAGGGGCAGTGCGGGGAGGAGGAAGGAAAGGAAAGGAGGGAGGTAGGAGTGGGTGCCAGGCCCATGCTCCTGGGAAAGAGGGTCTGCCAGTCACCCCAGGGGCCTTCCTGGTCAGCCCTAGCCCTGAGGCACCTTGACACTCAGCTGCACCATCCTGAGGCCCTACCTGGCCAGGAAGGCCTGGAAGGGCATGCGCACGGGGAAGTTGGCACTGCGGGTGCAGATCATCTCCAGGACACCGGCCTGGCGCAGCTGCTCTGCCACGTGGGCCACATCAAAGAGGCCTGGAAGCTGCAGCGATGGGACAGACCGGGGGGGCTGGACTCAGGGCCTAAGACTGTGGGGTCTGGGGCAGGGCAGGGCAGGGCCGGGTAGGAGGGCTCTGGGGCCAAGTGTGGGGAGCTCACCTTTCCAGGGTTGGGGTTGAGGCACTGGATAAAATGGACGTGGCTCCTGATGGGTGGAAGGGGGGGTCACCTGGGCACAGACCAGCCCCCCATCCAAGACCTGGGGCATGGGGGACACTGTTCTCACCTGCCCAGCTGGGCTATGAGGTCCCCTAGGGACTGCTGGAAGCCAGACGCCAGTGTGGGTTTGCCTCGCCGGCCCCCCGGCTGGGGTTCTGCCTCCTGGAACAGGCTGCCCACCAGCTACAGGGCGGGAGGCACCGCCTGCTCCATACTGCCGTGAGCTGGGGTGAGCCAACCCGAGGCGCCAGCCCCCAGCAGGTGCACCCACCCGGGAAGGGCAGAACGGGGGGACCGAGCGTGGGGGGTGGGGCCTGGGAGGGCTGGCAGGCACCTGCAGCTGGCTCTGGGCAAGCATCTCCACCACAGCTGGGTCCAGATGATCCCGGTTTCTGTTTAAAAACTTGTGAGCCTGCAAGAGACATTAAAGGGTGCGGGGAGTGGGGAGTCAGCTGGGTCTAGGGGCTGGTCCTTTTGAAGAATCCAGCCTCTCCCCTCTGAGTCAAAAGGCTGCCTTTGCCTCTTCAACAAATGGCACTGGAAATCCACATGAGAAAGGATGAAGTTGGGCTCTTATCTCCCCAAATATGAAGGCTAACTCAAATGAACGGATCAAAGACCTAAATCTGACACCTAAAACACCGCACCTCTCAGGAGCAAACCTAGAGAAAGCTTGGCATGGGCAATGATTCCTTGACTGGCAATGATGACGCCAGGCACATCACACGCACAAGGGAAAATAGAGAAACTGGACTTCCTGGACATACAAGACTTCTGGATACCTGGACACTGTTAGAGAGGGCAAAAAAAGAAAATCCCACAGAAGGGGAGAGGATAATTATTTATTGCTCAGTGATTAAAATCCAGGTTATGTGAAGAATTCCTACATCTCAGGAAGACATTTCTCCGACAAGACACACAAGCGCCAAGGCCCACCACAAACACACTCAGGGTCGTCGGCTCTTAGTGGAGACACAAATAATCAAAACTGCAGTGAGCTGTCACTCTAGGCATCCAGCCACGAGGATGACCACGACTTAAAAAATCAGAAGAGGGGGCTCCCTGGTGGCGCAGGGGCTAGTGTCAAGCTATCCGTAGCCACTGCGGCCAGAGTTCGATCCCCGGCCAGGGAGTGACCCACATGGCGCAGCAGACCTCTCGTCTCCCCGCTGCTCCCCTCAGCAGTGTATTTCAGCAGATCTGCCTGTTCTGCTCCCCACTCTGTCTCTGGTGAATCCTCTCACCCCCCATGCCTCTGGCCTACACCCCAGCTCTTGTATGCATAAATAAATAAATATTTTTTAAAAAGAGAGAGAACCAAAGGTGCAAACAACTCAAGTGTTTACAAAAGTGGTGTCAGGCCCCATCATGGAATATTACTCAGCCATAAAAAGGAATGAGCAAATGGTTGCTACAAATGGTTACGTGCTACAGACTGTTGAAGCTTGGAAACAAGTGAAGGGAAACAGGTCAGACACAAAGGACTGTGCATAGGCAGTGCAAACCATGACAACTGGTTTTCCTTTTCTGATGCAAGTCCCTGACTTAAGCTTTGACGTCCGGGTATCACCTCAAAGAGGGCCAGCTCGAGTAATCACAAGGCGTCACAGGACTGGATGAGAGCCTGGCCGCCCCCACCCCACCACCGTGGCTCTGTGTTGTACACAGAGTGGACCAGTGGGCTGACATGTCCTGCTGCTCCTTCATTTCTTTTTTTATGGTCTTTGTTCCCAAGCTTCCTGTGCCCCTCTTATGTTTTACATTCCCCGACAGTGAGCCCAGGAAACCTGAGATCCCCTCCCTGCAGTCCCAAGCCCACACTCTCCCCCTCTCCCCTCGACCAGTGTGGCCCAGGCGTGTTGCAAAATTTCCAGTAAGAAATCTCTATATTTTGGGCCTCCCCGGTGGTGCAGTGGTTGAGCGCTGGGTTGCGAAGCTGCCCGCAGCCTCTGCAGCACCAGTTCGATCCCCAGCTGCTACCCGGCCACCGGAGGAGGGTCCCACATGGCGCGCAGACCTCTCCTGCCGCCCGCTGCTCCCCTCAGCAGTGTCCTTCGGTCCTTCTGCCTGCTCTGCTCCCCGCTCTGGCTCTGGTGAATTCTCTCACCCTCCCGCGCTTCTGACTGTACCCAGTGCTTGTATAAATAAATAAATACATCTTTAAAAAAAAGAAATCTCGGGCCTCCCCGGTGGCGCAGCGGTTGAGCGCTGGGTTGCGAGGCGGCCCACAGCCTCTGCAGCGCCGGTTCGCTCCCCGGCTGCTCCCCAGCTGCTCCCCGGCCACCGGAGGAGGGTCCCACATGGTGCGCAGACCTCTCCTGCCGCCCACTGCTCCCCTCAGCAGTGTACTTTGGTCCTTCTGCCTGCTCTGCTCCCCGCTCTGGCTCTGGTGAATTCTCTCACCCTCCCGCGCTTCTGACTGTACCTAGTGCTTGTATAAATAAAAAAAAAAAAATAAATCTTTAAAAAAAAAAAAAAAAGAAATCTCTGTATTTTGCAAGTAAACAATCTCTATTTTTTTCAAAGTTTGCTGGTTATTGCTGAAGGGCATCTTGCAATCAGGATAAGAACCCCAAGATCAGTCTAGTCATAACACTGACTTAAAAGGGGAAATGTCTAGGGAAACCCACCCAAGCCAAGTGAGCGCCGCAGGCATGTGGCAATAAGCTGAGACAGACACAGAATGGGGTGTGTGTATTATGATGCCACTTCAAGATGCCTAGATCAGGCAAATTTACAGAGACAGAAAACATTTAATGGGTAGAGTTTCTGTCTAGGATGATGGAAAATTCTGGAACTGTATAGTGATGATGGCCGTATAACACTGCCCATGATGTAGATAAAGTCACTGAAGTATATACTTAAAACGGTCAAAATAATAAATTTTAGGTATATTTTATGACTTCTTTTAGGTGTATTTTTAAAAATTTATTTATTTATGCATACAAGAGCTGGGGTACGGGTCAGAGGTGCGGGGAGCGAGAGGATTCACCAGAGACAGAGTGGGGAACAGAACAGGCAGATTGACAAAAGTACACTGCTGAGGGGAGCAGCAGGCGAGCCAGGAGAGGTCTGCTGCGCCATGTGGGCCACTCCCTGGCTGCCCGGGGATTGAACTCGTGCTGTGGAGCCTGCGGACAGCTTCATAGGCTGCATCCCAACCCCTTGCACCACCAGGGAGGCCCTATTTTTTTTCTTCTTTTAAAGGCCACTTTGTTAAGTATCTAGTTTCTACATATGCACTCGGGTCTGTTATTGGACTTTCGACTTTGTTCCATTGATGCATCAGTTTATCAATGACGCACACACAGTTACTAGAAAAAACACCTCCATCATCTTTTGCCAGGCAATATCTTATAGGTTATCCTCAAACATTTCTTTTCCAGACCGCGCTTCAGGATAAATTGTTGAAACCCATTCCTCTCTTCTCAGAGAAAACCTCATTTGTTTTTGACTTGAATTGTAGTATTTTTCTTATCTGATAAGCAATCAACAATCTTAGGTCTCCCCAACAGAAATGGGACTTGTTTTCCACTTTTACATTTTCTTTTGTGACCTTCAATACAGTCTCACCGTTTTCTTTGTTTAATCTCCTCGTGTTTCTGGTTTGGGTAACTCCTGGGAAGTTTGTATTATTTCTCTACAAACAGAGCTTGTCACCACCTCCGGGAAACCTCTGACTTGCCCCACCAGTCTAGACTGTCCTAGCCTTTTGGCCCCGCCCTCTCCTTTTGGTGCCTCCTCTTCTGAGCAGGCATGCAGTTGCTGTGAGACTCAGAAAGGGAAATGAGAGCCCTGCAGGGGCACCCCAAGTGGTAGCTGCCCGGCCCCAGCTTCTCTTAAGTTGTCCAACTTAATCCTCACCCAGTGCTGTGCAAGAGATTTCCGCTCCCATCTTACAGATGAGAAAATGGAGGCTCAGAAGGAGACGGCCTGCAGGAGCAGAGCCAGGTCCCACTCGATGCTCTGCCCTTCTCAATCCGGAGCATCCCAGGCCTCAATCACCCCACCCCATAATTCTCAACCAGAGCTCAGTAAATCATACTCAGTACCGGGTGGGGCTGAAGATCCAGGTAGGGACAGATGGCCAAGCCCTGGAGGACCTCCCCTGCCCTCCATCTCCTCCCCGTCAGGTGATTCAGCTTGGGAGATGATACCAGGGTCACACTGCCTGCTCTGATACACCCTGGAGTCTCTCCGTGGGGCCAAATACCTGGTAGGTGACGGTCCCCGCGTAATGTCTCACAGAGAAGATGGGAAGGGGTAGGTGGGGCTTGGTGTAGCACGGGTGGTCGCCATGGTGATAGTGGCACTTCTGGAGGAAGGTGTGGTCCGTGGCCTGAGAAGAGGAATGAGTGGCTAAGGCCTTCGCGCAGGCCCGCTGCCTGGACTTGCCCCTCCTTGCGCCCCCAGGTACCAGACACCAGACGAGCTCTCGCTTTGCTCCCCAGTCTTCCTCCTCAGCCAGGAATTGTCACCCCACATTCGAGTCCTTAAAAGGGGTGTGTTCTCTTCCCAGAGATGATTTCAACAACCAAATGCAACTCGAGGACACCAGAGGCTCACACACAGAAACCACCAGTCAGCACGAGACGGAGGCTTGTGACACCTCACACAGTCGCTGAAGAGAAATGACAGATTCAGCCACGTGGAGGAGAGGGTGGTCTCGCAGGGCCAGGCGCTTCTAAGCAAGGCCTTCAAGCTACTTTGACAAGTCACCCGGCGAGAGGTTAGCACCAGCAGCTGAGAAACTGGAACAGCTCCACAGAGGGAAAGCTGCCTTCGGGTTATAAAAACAGAAACTGATGGTTTGGGGTAGCAGCAGCCCAGGTCAACACCCAGTTCAGACTCAGAGTGCTGCTTCAAAGAACAGAGCCCTGAGTGATGCCACTGAGCCCCCAAAACCAAGCTGGGTGATTCCAAAGTGGCCCTGAGGGGTCAGATGCCCGTGGCGTTTTAATAATAAACTTCAATCCTTTCAGAGTTAACATGCGATTGTCTGGGGAGGGGTTTCAAGTATGTATGAACGTTACAGGTTAACATGACACACCGGTATACATATTACATGTACCATGCATTCATACTTATTATATATTTGTCAGGTAATAAATTTATTAATGAACCATCATAATCCTGTTGGGCCATTTTACTATTATTTTTCATCTTTCATTTTCAATTTCTCATTAGGAAAATAGGGGATCATCTTATTCCTGGGGTCGCGAGTGAAATTCCAGAGGCCCAAGCCCCGAACAAGTTCTGGTGGCACCACATACCGCCCCCAGAGATGGGCAGGTGCAACCTTCTTTTTGGCCATGTGTGTGATTCACATCTCTCTCTTGCCTCATCAAAGGGGGGGACTGGGTCCTTTTCGCTCCCTCTTTTATCTCTAGCACAGTTCCTGGCACACATATTCATTCATTCCTTCAAGCATTCATTCCTCGCCCTTAGTGAGCTCTTAACAAAAGCCCTTCTCACAGGGTACCAGCCCTGAGGGAGCTCAGTTTGTGCAGGGAGCGTCAGTGACGATGAATGCACATTGATTGCAGCAGACACAAGTGATGTGAGATGGAAAGTAGGGGAGGGGCTGAAGATAATGGGGAGTTGTTTACATAGAGAAGGATGGAAGGCAGTCAACAGTATTTGTGGAATGGACACACCATGTCCTGAGGCTGCTCCCTACTGGTCGGAGGCCAGCAAGACCTTGGCCCCAGGACCCAAGAAAGCCCTGCATAAGCCCTGCCCTGCCCTGTCCCCAGCACCCCTGCCCAGTCCAGTTGTCCTCCTTTTGCAGCGAGGACTTGAGGGGGTCTCAGAGAGCCTCATGCTATTACCCAGAGGCAAGATTTGATCCCACTTGCCTTTCCCAGCTGTGCTGAGGGGCTGGGGTCCCTGACCCCATATCCATGTTGCTCCCCTGAGAGGCTCTGCCAGCTCTGGTCTGGCCCCCAGGGCCTCTACACCTGTCCCTGCCCTCACCTGTGACAGCCAGGTCTGGGCATCCAGGATACTCAGGAGGCTGTGGGGCTGGTCCACCAGGAGGTCCAGGCAAGACCCCCACGGAGGCTGGGGGATGGACACCCAGGGCAGCGACTCTCGCCGACACTCCTCCTAGAAGGGCACTGGGTTGTCTGCAGAGCCCACCGCATTCATGGGGACCTCATGGGAGCAAGGGCCGGGTGGTGCTCAATTTTATACATAAGTAGATTGAGGCTCTGAAGGACAGAAATAGCCCAGAGCAAGGGGACTTGGGGCCTGAGCTCTCGGGGCAGTGCCCAGGTTAAGAGCTGGCACCCTGAGGTGCTCACACCGGTTCCCAGTACCTCCTCCTGGGCCAGCAGTGTCTGGTTGCAGAAGAGCTGCAGGCGTTCGCTGGCGAGGTTGTTGCACAGCTGCTCCAGGCCGTTCACCCGCAGCGCCTGGGGGTACACGGGCAGGGAGGTGGGCACCACAGGAGGTGGGGGCACAGGGAAGAGGTGGGGGGCTAGTGCACAGCCTGGTGCCCTCACCGCTCCCACAGGGGTTGCCTGCATCCTCCCCAGCACTCCAGGAGAGGTGGTGGCCCAGGGCTGAGGCTGCAGCGCACAGGGTCAAGTTCAAAGGCCCTGGCACAGCATGCAGGCCACTTCAGCCCTGCTTCACCAGAATCAGGACTTCCCACAACAGCCCACACCTTCTGCCCAGCACGACTGTGAGCTTTTGGGAGCCTCTGGTCATAGCCAACCTATGGTGCAGAAGGCACTTTTTCCTACAATCTAGCTTGCTGGCTACCAGAATCCCACATCCTCACAAACAGGGCTCCAGGCTGCCACCTCCAAGAAGCCTTCCAGCATTCCTCCCCTAGGGATTACAGACTTCTTCCTTTGTGCCACATAGCACTTCACTAATGGGTTCAGCAAAGCCTCCAATTCATGCAGCTTCATACAGAAGGTTATGACACACTCTAACACACACACACACACACACCCCACCAGGGCACACTGGAGAGCAGGTCAGAGCAGGGCCAGTGAACAGTGACTGAGGGTGGCCCTTCCTCCTTGCCCTGAGGATGCAGGATCTTCTAGAAAAAGTTTATGAAAACGCAGGGTGATCTGGGTAATGTCCCCTCTTCCCTCTCCTGTTGGTGCCTCCAGCAAGACTTCCTATCCTAGCACCTCTGCCCTCAAGGCTCCCAAAGTCTGCAAGGCCAAGAGTGACAGAACTCTCTAGAGACCATGTCGCCTAGACTCTAAACCTCAAAGACAAGGCCTGTGCCCTTCCTCCCAGCCCAAGGCCAGCTCAGCCTACATGAGCCCACGACTAGGCGGCAGGCGGCTCCTGAACACTGTCCACCAGAAAGCTGGAGCTGCTGGGGTCCCCAGCTATCCACCCTGTCCCGGGCCCATCGGGGGGACCTCAAAGCCATAGACATCCACGACGGTGACAGTGACAGTGTCAGAGCCGCCCTCCCCCGGCGGAGCCAGCTGTGCGTTGGTCCTCCTCAGAAGCCAGGCGAAGAGCCTTGCATACAGGGCCTCGGCCAGGGCGTCCCTGTGGGCAGGGTGTGTGAGCTGCGGGCACAGAGCGCCAGGCCCATGGTGGCTGGCCCCCACCCCCAGGGCACCTGGCGTCAATGGCACTTTCCACAGGCAGTGATCTCGAGACCGGGCCATAGGGCGTCTCCTGGAAAGCAGAGGAGCACAGGAGGTACGTGCACTGACCAAGCCTATGGGGTGCAGGCAGGGGGGCCGCCTTCCAGTTCCCCAGGACCCCAGGGCTCACCATGACCCGCTTGGTGACAGCCCCCTCCAGGCGCTCGGGCGGCACCCGGAGGAGCCGTGCTGCCACGTGGATCTCAGCCCAGCTGGACACAGCGGCCACTTCCTGGGAATCCCGCTGGATTGGGGGGGGGGACAGCACTGCCTAAGGAGCAGGGTCCGCTTTGCCCCGTGAGGTGCCTAGTGAAGGGGAGGAGTGGGCAGGCCCTGCGTCCCGACTCAGCAGCAACCCTCGTGCTAGTGTCCTGAGAAGTGAGTTAGAAAGAGCAGTGTGCACAGAGCTGGACACACGAACAACTCGGACAGTGCTGAACGCCCTTCTCAGGGGCAGCTCCGAGGAACGCGCCTTGGCAGAGCTGCGGACACCAGGGCTCCTCCATACAGCGGCTTCTGCCGGCTTTCCAGGGCTGCCCCGAGGCCCTCCGCATAGCCAGGGCTCTGTGGTCTCCTGCCCACCGGCGTTTGGTTATAAAGACAAGCTCCCACCCACCCCACAGCCCTGCCGGCCCTGCCCACAGGGGAGCCCACCTCTGAAGAGGAGAAGCAGATGTTCCCCAGCTGCAGGATGGCGGCCAGCACAGCCCAGATGGCGCTCAAGTCCTCAGGGCACAAGCCCAGCGCCCGGAGGGCCCTCACCAGCCCTGGGAAGCCCTGGGCGTCCTCTGTGCCCAGCAGCCTGCAGGCCCCGCCCTGCAGAGACCAGTGTGGGGAGCGGGCAGGGCCTGGCCACTCCTGAGCTCCCCTTCCCCCGGACTCCTCCTCAGACCCCTGCCTGAGGCCCTCCCTGGGTGGGCCCAGCACGAGTGGCCCTGTGGCTACCTGGTTGAGGTAGTGGTAAGTCTCTGGCCCCTGCAGGGAAAGGCACTCCCGGTCCACGGGGTCCAGCCCTGCCAGCAGCTCATAAAATACATGGAAGCTCCGCTCAGCCTGGGCCTGGGGGAACACTGGTTTAGGGGGAGCGCTGGCCTGGCCCTGTACCCCAGGGGAGCAAGGACAGTACCTGGGGAAGGAAGGCCTGGGGGCTCCCCTCCTTCCCACTCTGGGAGCAGGGCAGGCCTTACCTGAAACACCACCCTCGAGGTCTCAAGCAGATAATGTGACACAGACGCTCCCACGATAACCCCGCTGTGGGACAAGAGACTGGGTCGGGGTGCCCGAGGTGTATGCACCCCAGGGCTCCAGCTCAGAAGGAGACCACCATGGGCCCAAGGGCAGCAGCCTTAGGTTTCCATATGGCGAACTGATCATGGATACCCCTGTGCCCGCCTGGACCCTCATACTCACTGCTGCAGGCAGAGGTGTAAGACCTGGCCGAAGCGGCTGGCATTGGCGTTGAGGACGGTTTGGGCATGGCCAAAGCTGCCCAGCAGGGACAACGTGTCATCCAGCTGCATGGGGGAAGAGCAGTGAAAAACCCCTGGCGGCATCATGGTGCCCACCAGGGCCATTCTGCCTGGTTATTGGTCCATGGAGGGGGGTCAGTGCCTGGGGCTATCCCAAGACAAATCTGAGGCCTGAAGACCACCCTTCTCTTGACCCATAGGAATAGATGGCACCTCCGGGCCCCTGGGAAACGGCGGCTGTCCCGCACCTGGCATCCTCTGTCCCCTGTCTGCTCCTGCTCCAGGCTGCCTAGGAACTGCACGATCTTTTTAGCAGCTTCTGTCTTCCCTGAGCCGCTGTGCCCACTACAGAGGGAGGGGCTGACAGGTGTCCAACAAGGGGCATTTGGGTCGAACCCACTGAGCCCAGGAAGTGGGGATTTGCCCATCAGGAAGTGATGCGCACCCTAGAAGACACCCCCCGGAAATGCAGGAAGACAAACCCAGGGCATGGGGACCAGATAGAAAACAGCGCCAAGAGGGGCTACCCTTAAGGGGTACAGCAGTGAGGTGGTGAGCGGCCACCCAATGGTGCAGTGACCCAGAGTTCCAGTATGGACCTCACATCCTCCCTCCCAGCCCTCATGTGACCTGTGGGTCCAGCCCAGCAGGGCAGCCACACTCACCCAAGGAGGATGCACGTGCCCTGCCCAGTGCTCTGAGCCAGCCTGTAGGCTGAGGCCACAGTGGCAAAGATGTGTCTGCAGGGGAGATAGGAAAGTTGCCCAGAGGGCGTCTGGGCCCTCCTGGGTGTAGGCAGGGTGCGCCCACAGGCCCTGGGACCTCAGTCAGTGGGACACGCTGCGGCCTAGGAGCCAGGGCAGTGAGCAGAGGGTGGGTGGGGCAAAGTCACCTACGGGATGGTGTTGGGGGCCTTCCTGGGGTGATAGCTGGCCAGGACCTCAGGTGAGAAGAGAGGCAAAGACCGGCGGGGGTTCAGAGTGAGCAGGAGAGGGCCCCCAAAGGTCTGGGGGAGAAAGCAGTGGCTCTCATCAGAACATGGAGGGAGCAGGGGAACAAAAAGCCCCGCCCAACTCCCCGCCCCACGCTGCAGGGAGGTCCCTAGGGCGGCTTCAGCACCCAGCCCAGAAGCAGGAGCAGTGGCTCCAGGGGTGCTGAGGGCCCTCTCCCCCAGCGAAAGGGATCCCAGCCGGCCATCCCCTCCCGGGGCCCCATACATAGATTCGGCCCAGATGAAACCTCTTCTTAAGACACAGCAGCACCGAGCTGTCACACACCAGCCTGTGGGGATAGACGGGAGGACAGGGAGTCAGGGGGGGTGGGGACAGGGGGCCAGGGGCCGGGGGGACAGGGTTCAGGGGCCGTGGGGACAGGGGGTCAGGGGCCGGGGGGACAGGGGGTCAGGGGCTGTGGGGACAGGGAGTCAGGGGCCGGGGGACAGGGGGTCAGGGGCCGGGGGACAGGGGGTGGGGGCTGGCGGGACAGAAGCAGGGTGGGTGAGGGCTGCCACCGGCGGCAGCCAGGACTCCCTGCGCACGACATGCGCCCTCTCGAGCCCGCCGTGACACAGGGGCCCTGCAGTTAGGTAAGGTCCCCCTCCCGCGTGGGGAGCCCCAAGCACAGCCAGGTCGCTGGCCCAGGGGTAAACTGTCACTCCCAGAAGGAAGACCCAGGCAGGGGCAGCGGGTCTCCTGCCGCTTCCCGCCGCGGCCTTGCATGAGGCAAAATCCCTCGCAAGGACTGAATTGCTTTAAAATGGCGGCGGGGTGGGTTGACCTGGGGGTGTGACCGGCCCGGGCGCGCTCACCGCAGCCTGGCCAGGTCCTCAGCGTCTTCCAGGCCGTCCCCGGGGCTCCCGCCCCCCGCGCCCGGCCCGACGCTCAGCTCCAGACGCCTCTCCAGCGCCGCCTCGGCCTCGTCCTCCGGCTCCCACCGCGCCAGCGAGGGCCGGCCGGGCCCCGGGCCCCTCTCCCCTCGCGAGCGCGTCTCCAGGGCGAGGCGGGGCAGCAGCGCGTCGGCGCCAGGGCCCGGGTCCTCGCGGGGGGCCGCGCCCCGCGCCCAGTGCTCGGGAGCCGGGGCGCCCAGGGCCTCGGGCCCCGCCTCCCCGCCAGGGCCGCCCTCGCCGCCCGGGGGCTCGTCGGGGGCAGCCGGCGCGGGGAGGGCGCGGCGGCGGGGCCCAGCCACCCCTTCTTCGCGGGCCCCCCGCCCCCCGCCGTCCGCGGAAAGACCCGCACAGCGCCCCGCGCGCCCCTCCCCGGCGGGAACGCGCGCGGACGCCCCCTCGGAGCTGCCGCCGCTCGACGCCCGCCCCGCCGGGAGGATCCTGGGGAGCACCACCGCGAACTTGGGATCCGGGGTCTGGTCCTCGCCCTCGGAAGGGCCGTCGGGGGCTGGGCTCGCTGCCGCCTGAGGGGGGCGCGGGCTGCCGCCAGGGGGAGCCCCCTGCCGGGCCCGCCACGCCGCCAAGCCCGCCAGACGCAGCCGTAGACGGCGCCACAGCCCCGGCCCGCCGCCCCGCCCCTCGCCGGCCCCGGGCCACGCCCCCGCCCCTGCCCGAGGCCCCGCCCCCGCCGCCGCGCCTGCCCGTGGCCCCGCCCCCGCCTCCGGCTCCGTGCCTGCCCGAGGCCCCGCCCCGGCTCCTCGCCCTCCAGAGACCCCGCCCCTGGCTCCTCGCCCGCCAGAGGCCCCGCCCCCGGCTCCTCGCCCTCCAGAGGCCCCGCCCCAGGCTCCTCGCCCTCCAGAGGCCCCGCCCCCGCCTCCGCGCCTGCCCGAGGCCCCGCCCCACGCCTTTCGCCAGCCAGAGGCCCCGCCTCCGGCTCCAGCCCCACCCCCGCCTCCACGCCTGCCCGAGGCCCCGCCCCCGACTCCTCGCCCGCCAGAGGCCCCGCCCCCGCGCCCGCCCGTGGCCCCGCCTCCGGTCCCGCCCCCTGGCCCGCGGGCGGCTGCGCCCCCCGGCTCTCGCGCGCCAGCCGCGCCGGCCGCCGTCGCCACCAGCGCAGGAGCCCCACGGCCCGCGCTGCTCGCCGCAGCCGGTCCCGGAGTCGCGCGCTGCGGGGCGCGGCCACCTGAGGAGCGGGCCCGGCGCGGAGCCGGCGCAGCGCCGCGAGGGCGGCCAGCGGCGCGGGGCCTGGGGGCCGGCCCTGCCCTGCGGCCTCCGCGGCGCTCGCGCCCGCCGCCCCGCGCCCCCGCCCCGGCCCCTCGCCGGCCCGGCGGCGCCGATCCCCGGAGGGCGAGGCCTCGGCTCCCGCAGGCTCGGCGCCCCGCGGCTCGGCCTCTGGCCGCGCCCCGCCGCCACTCGCGTCCCGAGAAGCCCGCGGGCTGCGGGGCGCGCGCGAGCGGCTGCCCTCGGGGGCGCGGGGGGCCGTGGCCTCCCCGCCCGGCTCGGCCCCCGCGGCCTCAGTGACCGGGCTCGCCGCTCCGGGGGCGGCCTGGGGGCCCCGCGCGCCCCCTCCCCAATCCGCGCTCGCGGCTGAGTCTGTCCCCGGATCCTCGCTCACCCCCTGGGGCGCCGCCCCGGAGGGCCCCTCTCTGCGCTGGGGGCGCTCGCCAGGCTCCTGCGCCGACTCCCGTCGGGTTGGGGTGTCTGTCTGCTCCCACTCGGCTCGAAGCTCCGGGGACCCGCCGCCCCGGCTGCCGCTGTCCTGGACCTCACGGGCTTCGCTATCCGGGCAGGAGCTTCCTGCGTCTGCACCCGAGGTGTCCCCATCCAGGCCTCCTCGGGCTGCTTCGCGGCTCTGGCTCCTCCTGGCAGAGGGTCCCCTCCCTTTTCCTCTCCTGCGGCGGTGGCGCTCTCCCGCTGGTCCTCTGGGGAGGCTCTCCTCTTTCAGGCGACCCCCATGGCTGTCCCCAGACCGCAGACTCTCCCTGGGCCGGCGCCCACGGTTGCCGCTTCTCTCCTGGGCCCCTGGAGACCCAGTCCCTGGCCGTCTCCTGCTGCCATTCTCCTCCAGGCTGGGCTTCCTGCTCCCCTCAGGGGTTCCCTGGTCCCCCGAGGTGGCAGACTCCAAGACCCCTCTCGCTTTGCTGGTTTTCCCGCAGCCTTGTCGGTTTCCTCTGCGGACTGCCCCTTCTGTGCTGCCTGACCCTGATTCCTGTTCCCGCGAGACAGGCCTCCTGGATTCCCCTGGATGCCGGGGCACTTTGCCCTTGCTCCGGCCCATGGCCGGCCCAGAGAAGAGGGGCTTCTGGGCACCGTTTCCCAGGGATCTAGCTGCCAGCCACAGACTATACCAGTTCTGCTCCGGCGGGGCTACGGGCCCAGTCTGCACCCCAGGGCTCACACCCTCTGCTGGAACATCAATAATGCAGGTGGCAGCAGGTCCTGACCCCTTCAGCCAACAATGGAGCAGAGGCTGCCCAGGAAAGAGGAGACGCTGCCACTGTGGACAAAGGCCGTGGACAGGGCAACCCTGCCACTCTGGAGCCACTCCCAGTCAGGCCACACTGACACCCTGCCAAACCAAGGGACCCACACTCTGCCCCCATCTCCTGCTGGGGGGCAGTTTCAATGCCTCGGCTGTCCTCATCCTGGGGGAGATGGGGTTATCTGCCCTTCTCCTTATACCCACCAGGAAACAGGCCCTCTGCTCTGTTACATGGACGGTTATGCGCAGTTAAACCAAAGCAGAGTTGAAGGCTTGGGCTCCCGAGCCCACTTGAAGGACCCTGGTGCATGGCAGCTGCTGGGAGGCAGGCTCAGGGACACCCAAGAGGGAGCTATCCAGTCAGACTGTGACCTGCCCCGAAGGATCCTGTGTCCCTGCTTATTGTTCACTCTGGCCTCTGCTCTCCAGTGGCATCACCCAGAACCAGAGCGGAGATGGTGGCTCTTCCCTTGGTGGTCCCCGGCCCGCCGCACCTGCCTTACACCCCCTCTGCACACCTGGAGCCAGCCTCGGGCCTGCGTGGGGTGGGCAGCTGCACACTCACTACAGGGCCACATTATGCCGCGAGGCCTGAAAGTGACTTGCCTTTGTGGTCTCAGCGCAACCCAGCCTTCCAGGGAAGGAAGCAGCTGTCCCCAAAGACCGCAAACTCCGGGGTCACATCAATTTGCATGTCACTCAAAGCCACTAGCTTTCACTGTGAGAGCCTAGAACTGACCAGGGCAAAGGCAACACTGTCCACAGGGTGGCTTCTGGATCACACAGTGAATCATCTCATGCCCTGTCATCTCCAGCCCCCAGCAACTATATCAGTAATCTCACCAACATCGTGGTGAGCAAAGATGCCAGGCGTGAAGCGTCACCAACTGCCTACACTCAAGACAAAATGAAACTGATCTCTGGGGTGGGGCTGGGGCCTTGGCAGAGATGAGCAGAGTCATCAGGAAGCCCCCGGATGTGGGTGATGTGTTTGTTCAGCTTCTGGAGATTTATTGGGTCATATTTCTAGAGGTGTGCTCTCCTGCATTTTTTTTTAAAAAGATTTTATTTATTTTTAAGTAGAAGAACTTGGGTATAGGCCAGAGGATTCACCAGAGACAGAGTGGGGAGCATAACAGGCAGATCCACTGAAATACACTGCTGAGGGAGCAGCGGGGAGACAGGAGAGGTCTGCTGCACCATGTGGGTCAGCTTCCCTGGCCGGGGATTGAACTCATGCTGCAGTGGATGGAGATAGCTTCATAGTGCTGACTTTAACCCCTGCGCCACCAGGGAGGCCCATGTTCTAAGCACTTTTCTATGAATTCGTGTAAACCTTGAAAGCACTCTAAGAGGTGGGTGGCATGAGGATTCCCATTTTACGGGTGATATGACTGAGGCACATAGCTCGTGAGTGTCAGAGCTGGGATGCCCACCCAAGCTGCCTGGCTCCCAAGGCCCGGTTGGAGAAGGGGTGTGACAGCAACAACAGCTGCTAGAGGAGCTTGCACAGATCTGCCCAGTTACAATGTCCTGCCAGCTCCGGGGGAGGACAGAGGGCCCTCTGCCCCTCTGCCCCTCTCCAATCTCCTGCCTTCTCTGGTGCCCTTTTCTCCTTCCTGTTGATCCATGCCGGGCTTGTGTTTCTCCCAGCCGGGCAGGCACAAAAGCTGTTCATCTGCCGGGCCTGCAAACCCAGCCCACCATCACTTCACATAAACGTTCCCAAACCCTAGGGAGGAGATATGGTCCCACTTCACAGATGGGGCAACAAATCAGAGAGGCTAAGTGGCTGAAGGACAGAGAGCCAGGAAATGAGGAATTGAGGACCAGGCCCAAGCCCCCGGGAGTATCTGCTGCCCGAGCGCCTGCTATTCTATTCCCCAGCGTCCACTGCAGGGTTTTGGAACCAGCCCAAAGCCCAGCCGTGTGACCTCCAACAATCTCCCCGGTAAACTTGATACTGGATGGGAGGCCCTGCCCCCAAACCCAGTACTCTTGGCCTCCTCTCTTCATCACTCCTTGGACTGTTTTTCTCACAAGTGTTGTGAGCACCTCAGGTCTGTGCCAGCTCCCTCCCTCCCTCTACCACGTCCTCTCCGGCCTCACCAGCCATCAGCGTCCACTGTAACTGTCATGGATGGGTGTTTAGTAGCAGCCCGGCAATTTTACACTCTTGCTTAATCCTTACCTAGCTCTGGGGTAAGTGCTCTTACTGTGCTCCATTTTATAGACAGTAACTGGGCACAGCAGTGAGGCATCTGCCCCAGGCCCCACAGCCAGTCACAGGCAAGGCCTGTGTTCGGGGTGGAGCTGCCTGATTCCCAAGTCTAACTGTACACCCACAACTCTGGATGCAGAAGACCCTAGATCTATGTCTCCAGACCACTGTCCAGCTGCCCGGGCCCTTGGAATCAGCTGTGACCCCTCCCGCTTACTCCTCCGGGCAGCAGCAGATCCTCATCAACCCTCTCTCACTATGTCCATTTCACCTGCTACGTCATTACCTCCCCCGACTGCTGTTGCCAGCACCCCGACTCCTGTCCCTGTGCCAGCCCCACTTCCCTGACCTACTGTCTAGAGCATGTGGCAGCGTCCACCTGTGCACACCTATCAATGACCATCACTGAGGCTTCCCTGGTGGCGCAGAAGTTAGGTCTCAGCACTATGAACTTATACATAATAAAAATAAATCTTTAAAAAATAACCACTGGCTTTCACTCCCGACGTGTGAGGACGCGCCCTTAGACCTGAGCATGTCAGCTGCCAGCACACGATAATGCTGCACCTCCCCCTGCAGTGACCTTTAGGGCTAACCGTCCCTAGGTCCGGCTGGGCAACTAGCGTGCAGGGGGAGAACGGTAAAACCCCCTGAAGACATACCTGCTGCACCTCCCCCTGCAGTGACCTTTAGGAATGGCTTTTGCCATGGTCCCTAGGTCCGGCTGGGCAACCAGCGCGCAGGGGGAGAACAGCAAAACACCCTGAGGCAGGGGAAGTACAGCGAAGTTCCCTGAAAAGACAGAAGCTTATCAAAAGATAACGACCACCAGGAACCACTACAAGAATGCTAAAAAATCTTATCCCGTCTTTCTAGAACTACAAACTTTAATCCCTTATTGTCTTTCTAAACTTCCTTCTTTCTTCTATAAAGGTCATTGCTTGTTAATTAAAAAATCATATGAAATCCTTAAAACAAGGCTGACTCAAATGAAACATTACTAAACCCTGTAATAATTAAAATATAGTAGTTAATAAAAAATGCGATTATATAGTTTAAAAACAAAACTAATGGTCTATCTACTTAGGAATGAGGCTGAGTCCAGATGTAGATCACCTCCCTGATGGTGATAGGCTGAGCCCATGAGCAAGCTGATTTCATTGATATTCATTGTCCCTGTGCTTTTGGAAAACATATATATACTGGTCACAAACTCAAAGAAAATTACACTCAGATTTTCACTCTTGAAGTGTGTCTGTCATTTCTTTCACCGACGCCCTGACCACCCTGCACGCTTCTCTCAACCCTGAGGTGGCCTCATCGTCTACTGCTGTGCTGGTCCGCGGCAGATAACCCTCACACTTAGGCATTAAGGCCAAGCTCATCTTTCACCAGCATGGACGTAAATTCATTTTCAGAGACTTCCTGGGATTTTCAAGCGTGTGGGGCTGACTTCTTGTTCAATGTGGCCACCAGATCATGCCTGCAGCCCTGGGGCTGAAGCACAGCAGCACTGGCTCTGCTGTTTGCCTCCAATCCTGGTGCTTGTCTCCTTTAGTTCTGGGGTTCTTGCCTGAAACCTTTGGTTGCTCATCAATTTGTGAGTCCACCTCACTGGAGAAAACCAGCAACCCCACACCCACTCAAGTCTCCATAGGCTGGGGGTGGGAGCTGTCACCCCACCTTCCCTCTTGGTACCCACTTTTGGACCTGACTTAGTTTGCACCCCCAGTGTCAACCCAAGGTGCAAACAGCAAAGCTAATGTCTCTTAGGATGAAAAACCTAAAGAGCCCTGAGCATTGACCCTGACCCAAGGTTACCCCACTTTAACCCATTCACCCCCTGGGCTCATTAGGCACCTCACAACAGCTCCTGAGGGAACAGTTATCACCCCAATTCCAGGCAAGTAATTTGCCTGAGGTCACCGAGAGTGACCTGGCTGGGCATTAAACCACAGGGGTTTGTGGGAGAATCAGTCTTCTCCAGCTGCCCCCACTGCCACAGGATGAAGTCCAGGCTCATCTTGTGGGTGTGCACACCCCTTGGGCTGTGGCTGCTGTCACTGGCAGCCCTCATCCTACAGGGGACTGTCCCTCTCCATCCCTCTTGGCTCTTGGAGCCCCCACCTCAGTAAGCACCCCCTTCTAAGGAGAAACAAGGGGGCTGTCAGGGGGTGGGTAGGACTCTCCAAAGCTGGCCTCTGACCTCAGTGGCACCCCACAGCCCTCTCCAGAAGCTGAAAGAAGCCAGCGAGTCTGAGTTTTCCTTGGGAGGTTTCTTCCCCTCCTGAAGCAGGGAGAAGCCAGCCAGGGCCAGCGAGAGGACTCCTGTGCCCCACCCTGAATGCAGTAAGACAGACTCAGGGCGGTGACTGTTTGCTATTTATTCCCGCACAGAGAAGGCACAGTCGCGCTCAGATACACCCAAGCAGTTTGCGCTGATTCCAAGAGCTGCTGAGCGCCCGCCTGCTGCAGGGCCCCGGGCTCAGGCGGGGAACAGCTAACGACTGTTTCCAGTTAGGTGGGAAACTGCACCATTAAAAAAATCAGTTGTTGGAACAGTCCAGTGAAGAGGTAATAAGGTGTTTATTAAAAACTCACCCAGAGGCAGATAAAATTTATAATTTAAAACCCAGCCCTCTGCAGAATAGGGGGGCGGGGAGGAAAACTGTGCAACACTGACGAGAGGACCGAGACAGGCGAGGCCCAGGCCGGGCCCCCTCCCCCAGGCCGGGAGCAGCAGTGGCGTGGAAGCCGGACCCCAGCCCCTGCCCAGGCCAGCGCGCGGGCCCCTCAGCGGGCCGGCCCTCGGTAGTGTGTGTCCACCGCGCGGCGCGGGTGCGGGCACGAATGCTCACTCTGCTGTGGAAAGAGATGACAGCAGCTCAGGGGCTCCTGGCCAGGAAGGGGGCCTCGATCACCCACCTTGAGCCCAAACATGGAGGGTTCCAGGACCACCTGGGGCCTGTGTCAGGGCTAGGATGAATCCAAGGACCCTGTCACAGGGCTCTGGAGAGGAGGCGGGGGGTGGGGGGCTCCTCCTACCCCTCCCAGGGGCGCGACCTCTTAGCCACCCCTGACAGTGCCCAGAGCACCTACCTCCTCCATTGCTCAGGCTGTACCCCGTGGTCGCTCTCGGAGAACGCCAGTCGCTACAGCTCCTGCATGCAAAGGACAGTTACCAACCACGGGACTCGGTCCACAGAAGGGAACCCTCATCCCAGAGCCCTCCTGGAGTCTTGCGGCCCGGGCAGCAACTCACCTGCGGTCCCCCTCCAGCGTGCTCTGGATTTCCTTCAGGACCCCTGTGGGCAGGAGTTGGGGACAGATGCCGGGTGAGGCTGGCAGGGGCCGGGCGGGACACAAGTCCTTCCCTTGCAGGGAAAGCACCCTCAGTTCCACCCGGCCTTGCTCCTCATGCCAGCCCCGCCACCCCATGCGACTCACTCTCGTCATTGAGCAGGGCGTGCTCCATCACAGGGCCGGGCCTCCGCTCTGGAAGGCAGAGACCAGGTCAGGGGCGCCCTGGGCCCTCCCCGGCCCCCGCCTCCTCCTTAGGGTGTTGGGCGCAGGGTGCTAGAGCCAGAGCCCGGGACTAGAAGGGCTGCTGCTTCTGTTCCCACACCTGCTCTCCCGGGGGCCTCCCACCCTCCCTCCCCCAGATTGGGCCTCGGTGTGCTCTAAGGTGTGCCTCAGTCCCCACGCGCCCCTGGCCCAGAGGGGCCTGCCTTACCCTCTCCATCACTCTGGCTCCCTGAGTTCCTGTGGGGGGAGAGAGAGTGAGGACAGGGGCCACTAGGCTTTCCACTGTGGCTTGGAAAACCCCAGTCGCATGGAGCGTCCTGGAACCCTCAGCTGACCTTGCCTGCCTGAGCAGGGGGACCCGGGAGGTAGCCCAAGCCCTTCCCACAACAGCAGCGTGCAGAGAGGGGGCCTCTGGGGAGCCCGCCCCCCCCTCCCCCATGGGCGCTTCAAGCAGGATGGGAAGGGGAGCGGCAGGGGCGGAGACCACCTATCCTTTACCCACCTGGTTCGGCCCAAGGCCTTCCCCGGACCTGAGCCGTTGCGTGGCCGGTTATGCTTCTTGGACTCTGAATCCACCAGACACCGGGGCTCAACCAGCCATTTGGTGGAGAGAGAAAAGCGCTCAAACTCCGAGGGGGAGATCAGGTAGAAACCTGGGGGTGGGGAGGAAGCAGGGGTCAGGCAGGTTGAGGCCAGCCAGGAGTCTCTGGCCCTGTGGCTGCCAACTCCCAGGGGGCAGTAAGGGCCAGATGCTCCTTATGTTCCCCTGGCATGGGCCACAACACCCTGACTCCCTCCTGGCAGTCCTGGCAGTGGGGGGGACCCCCACACCTGCCCTGCTGGCAGAGGCCCACGATGCACACCTTGGCCGTATTTGGTGAAGACGCAGGAGGCGATGCCGCTGACGTCCTCCCGGCGGATGCAGCTGTAACGCACCTGGGGCTTGAGCAGGGGCAGCGAGACCACCTGGACATCGCCCAGGTTGGTGAGGACCGCCAGGTGATGCTCCCCGTAGTCCTCGGCCCGACAGCTGCCGAAGTGGGCCACGCTGACCCGCCGTACCCGTGAGCCCTCCAAGGCAGTCAGCTTCAGCTTCAGCTTGGCACTCACCTTGGGCAGTGTGAACACCTGGGGCACAGGGCAGCAGTCAAGGCCACGTCATTTCCATCCAGCTCAGCAAGGACTCCTGGCCCCCTGCTCCGACCCGACAGCAAAGCTGCCTGGCAAAGCAGCTCAGTGCGGCTGCGCCTGCCAGGCTGGGGGCACTAACTCCATGCCGGCACTCTCCGTCCCTCCCACAGACCACATCAGTGCCCCCCTGGAGGCCAGGTACTCATCCAACCCCGCCAGGAGGTGCCTCTGCCACCTTCACACACCAACTACAGATACAACCATGAGGACCAGACCTATCGCTGTGCCTAGGGCCTGCGTCCCCCATGTGCCAGGGATTCCAGGGGACCCCCCCCCTCTACCCGTGTGGCACCTTGAACTGCTCCTCTGACACGACAAGCAGCTGGTGGCTTCCCTGCATGTCTGGGCTTTTCGACAGGTCATGTGCCACCTCCAGGGGCTCAGGGAGGGGCACACTGCGCCCATCCAGCACCAGGATGCCCACCACAGGCGCTCGGTGCATCAGCTGAATTTCCTTGGCTATGGGAAGGAGGCAGGGGGTGGGGCTGGTGGGCCAGCAAGGCTGGAGACCCCACCCTGCTGCCCCCAGCCCAGGCGGGCAGCACCCTCTGCTCTCCCCAGCCAGCACTCACCCTGCTCGGCCCGCACCGGCTCATCCATTCTCCGTTCAGCAGGGGGCACCCGCAGGGAGAAGGCGTAGACGGTGCCCCCGTTGGTGCCGGCCCATAGAGAGGGGCAGTGGCGGGAGCCTGCCAGGAGGCAAAGGTTCATACCTAAGCCCTGGCTCTGGGGTCAGGTGGTGCCAGGTGACTGGGACTGACACGTAATATGTGACTCCATCTTGGCAGCAAACCCCGTGAGTGTCAGCTTCCTCCTCTATAGAATGGAGCTGTTGGGGACCCACCTGTTTCCAGGTGTAGACAGGAAAGGCAGAGGCTCCCTGACAGTTGAGGGCCCTGAGCATCCCTGATCCCAGCTCAGGAGAGCTGAGCCCTGAGATACAGCAGCAGAAGTCCCCACCCCACTCTTGCCTTGGTGGGGATGGGCTGCAGGGGAGAACTGGCCAGGGGGGCTTCTCTAGGGCCCACCGGAGGCCAGGGGGTACTGGCATCAACAACCCTCTCTGCCACTCATGAAGGAAGATGCCCCCCGCTGCTTTACAAGGAAGAAGCTGAGGCTCTGAGATGTTTAAGTGACATGTCCAAGGTCCATCTCGAGAGTGGGGGAGCCTGGACATGAAATCAAGGCAACCTGCTCGGGGCTCAGGCACCAGAGCAGGTAGGCAGGCTGGGGCCTGGTCTCCCCTGATCACAAGGGGAAACCCTTCCCAGGAGCCCACGAGCCAGCAAGCAGCAGCCTCCAACATGACCTCAGACCAGGGGGTGCTTGCCAGGGTCCCCATCTGGGCTGGCCACTCACTGTCTCTCAGATAGGTGTCGGCAAAGTAGAGGGTCCGGACAAAGCCAGTGAAGGAGTCCTCTGCTGAGCGGGCCTCGATCTTGCGCTGCACGGGTGCCAGCTCCATGTTCTGCAGGCCCGTCCGTTCTGCCCTGGCACTCCCCTCTGGCACCTACAGTGGGTGGGGCTGGGCCTGAGGGTGGGCTCTGGCCTCCCCTCCCTGGGCGGCATCAGGTTGCTCAACAGTCCTTCCAGGATGACTGGCTACAGCCCCACTAACCACCCGCCCCTAACATGTGTTGAGGACGTGACCCTACCCGCTGTAACTACTGCCTTTAGTGCTGTGGGGGAGGCACAGGGCAGTGGGCAGTGGGGCAGGGCGGGCAGCTATGGGAGCAGCTGGAGCAAGCTGGGTAGGAGGGGTCGTCTGGCCCCATTGCTGCTGCCTTAAGCTCTCCCTGGGCCCGTGGCTGCCAGGGCCTCCCCCACCTCTCCTGAGGATCCAGCTGGTCGCCGCTTCCGGCTGGACACCCGGCTGCGTCGTATCCGGCGGAAGGACTGGCGCAGGGACTTCTTCAGGGACTTCACTCGGGACAGCGGACCCTCCAGGGCGAGCTGGTCACTGGGGTGCAGGGTGCACCTGGGGAGGGACAGCTGCCATCAGCACTGCAGGCCCGAGGGACCTCACTGGGCACCAAGCCGAGACGCTGGAGCTGGCCACCTCAGCGGGGCTACTCACTTGACAAAGACCTGCCGCCGTTGCTGGTGGTCAAAGAGGCCAAAGCCGTGGCTGGTGCCGAAGGCCACGAGCCGCCACTCGGAGTGCAGGGCCAGGGAGGTGACCACCGCTGGGGGCTGACACTGCACCAGCACGAAGGGCTGGAAGCCGGGCTCAAAGCGCACAGGGCCGGGGCGGGCACACAGGCGCTCATGCCCCTTCCAGCGGTAGCCCTCCTGGTCCCGCAGCAGGTCGGCCTCCACCTGCTCCACGGCGTGCTCTGCCTCCTCGTCATTCAGTTCCATCACCAGCACCTGAGGGTGGAGGCAGGTTGAGGAAACCCCGACACCCAGGGACAGCGGGACCCCAGGGCCCTTGATGGGCAGTGGGGGGGGCGACAACAAAGCTGTGACCCTCACCAAGGCCCAGGGCCAAGCAGAGCCAGAAAATCTCATTTTGGTTTCTGGAGGAGAAACTGCCACTCCCAAAGGCCTCCTGTTAACGGGTTCAAGTAATCTCTACCCACTGTGCAAAGCAGAGCCACAGTGTCAGGGTGCTCCTGCGGCCCCCTGACATCACATAGCCCTCCCAACACCCAGATTCCAGCCCCCGCACAGCCCACCACCTGCCCTGCATACCTGCCCTGCAGTGCCTGCCACAGCCAGGTAGCCACTGTATTTGCAGAGGAAAATCTTCTGGATACCCAGCCGGGGGTCGTCGCTGTAGGGGTCAAAGGAACCGACCTACAAGGGACAAGAGGTCCAGGAGGGGCCATAGGGCCCGCCCCAGCATGGCCGCATCCCCCCCGGTTCCCAGGCTTCTGTCCTCACCTTCCGGAGCGGGGGCCAGTCGTCCTCGCCCTGGGCGTTGAGGCTCTCGCCGGGGTCGGTGTCAGTGAGGAACACCCGCACCGTGCTGAGTTTGTAAAGCAGCCGCAAGCAGACCCCTGAAGCGTCCCAGAAGCGTACTGTGCCATCCTCGTGCCTGTGGGCAGGGGTGCCTGAGGCCTTGAGAGGGAGGCCGGGCCGGGTGCCCGGGGCTGCACGCACCCCTTGGAGCTCTGCTCCACCCACACAGCGCAAGGACAGCACCACCCAGGTCACCTACCCCGTGAGCAGCAGGTCCCTCTGGGGCGGGGCCGGGGCCAGGCTGGCGCCGCCATCAATGGGCCACTCCTAGGAAGAGAGACCGAGAGGTCCGCGGGGGGCTGTGCCCTGAGGTGGGGCCGGGGCTTGAGCGGCACCTACCATGGTGGAGAAGTGCATGTTCTGCCGGCTGCCGGCGGCGATGACCCGCTCCCACAGCTTCAGGGGGATGTTGGAGACGTGGTGGGAGCAAGTGATGGCCGAGCAGTGCAGGGAGGCCAGGTAGGGCGGCTGGACCGGCGGCCAGCCCGCCGTCTGCAGGTCAATCACCACCAGCTCCTCCTCGGCCAGCACCACCAGGGCGTAAGGGTCATCAAAGGCTGGGGAGGACAGGCCAAGGGTCAGGGGCGACGGGAGCCAGCGGGCAGCAGTTGGCCCCAGCCCACCCCTGAGGAACCTGAAGCTCTAGGGTCGGGCCGGGGAATCTGCATTTTAGGATTAAGCTCTAAATCCAATGACATACAGAAGTTATGTGCCACAACCGAGCGTGACTGGTCCCGGCATGCAGGGCACGAGCCGGGAAGGGCAAGGAGAGCGGGCAGCAGCCAGAGGTGTGGCCGGCTCGGCGCCCACCAAGGAGGGGTGCAGCGGGGCCGAGGGGCTCGGGGAGTGGCAGGTTTGAGAACACCTTTCGCCTTACTTGCAGACAGCCCACACCCCCCGGGCCCACCCCACAGCTGCCTACCAGCGGCGGGGTCCTCCTCGGAGAGCACAGTGAAGTCGATGACGCGGGAGGTGAAGTCGAAGGCAGTGTGCCGGCTGTCGTGCACCACCGAGATGCAGTGGCGGTCCCCGTAGCTGGCCCGGGGCATGCCGCCCTGGAAGATGGTGAAGGGCAACCTGGCCGGCACAGAAGAGCAGGGGATAGGCTGGGCAGCCATTTGGGGGTTTCTGGGACCAGGATCAGTGGCAGGGCTTGGGCGGGGGGGGGGGCTCCCGGGTGAGCGCTCACTCAATTCCCAAGGAGGGGCTGGGCGGACCCCATCTCTTCCCAGTCGCACATCCTGGGATAACTAGGGGGTTGGGGAGGTGGATGCAGGCTGATTCTGCAGTCACTCCTGCCTCTAGGGGAGCACCCAACCCCCCTTTCTGCTCAGATGTTGGGTTTCCCAGTACAATTTTGCTAGAAGAAATGGGTTTGCTATAGAGCTGCAGGGTTTGAAGCCTGCTGACCTTAGTCATCCTTCTCGGAGCGTGAAGGGAAAGGATGGGGGTGCTGTGTCAGGCACTGAGCCGTGACAGGGAGGAATGCCCTCTCCTTCCCCTGGAGCCCAAGACCCCCAACATGGAATGCAAAGGTGCAAAAGCATTCACCAGATGCATCTCCCCCAAACAGAGGCCTGAGGGGCCTGTCCTGCCCTCCCAGAAGGCTCTGCAAAGGGAAAAGGACAGAGCATGGGTAACCTACCCCTGCTTGGTGGTCAGCCAGAAGACTTTGGTAATAGCTTTGCAAGGAAAAGGACCTAAAAAGTAAAGGTATTTGCTTCAACAGGTCTTCCCGCCATCAGAGTCAAGGGCTACCCACAGGCCAGACCCCGGACATGCACGTCTCAAGGAGACCTGTGCTTTCCAGTCTTGCTCCGAGCACTTCCGAGCAGGCATCAGAAAGCCTGGGTGACTCTGGACAAGCCCAGACACAGGAGATGCACGGGGAGCAGAGAGCTCCGGCCCTGCACATGAAAGGCGGGCCCAGGGAGGACGGCGGGCCTCGGGACACTGACCGTAAGGCATGCAGCTGCGCAGGGGCTCCAGAGGCTGGGCGTCCCTGGACACAGGCCACTGGCAGTAGCTGCCGTCGGAATGGCAGCTGACAATCAGGCGGCCATCCCGCTGCCAGCTCACGCTCTCCAGCTGCTGTGGGAGTAGAGGGGTGTGTGGGCTGGGACCAGGGCATGGCTCCTCACCACACCCTGTCTCGGCACAGAAGCCATGTGGGATACTTGAGGTCCAGGAGAGCCACCTACCTGGCTGCTGAGGAAGTGGCAGAGCACGAGGCTGCCCTGCAGGTCCCAGACCACAATGAGGCCCCGGCTGTAGCCGATGAGGATCTGGTTGGGGTCCCGAGGGTGTTCCTGCAGAGCCTCCACCATCTCAAACACCCGCCGGTGGCGGGCCTCCTCGGGCAACCTGGGCGAGGGGCAGACAGTGAGCCCAGCGGGCGTGGCACCATGCAGCAGGGGGCCTGGGACTTGCCAGCAGTGGAAACATGGCCAGGGCGCAGCACCAAGGGCAGGAGGAGAAACGTGTAGTGTGAACCCGGAGATGCAAAACCCACACGGAGAAATGCAGGAGGTACAACTCCAAGGAAAGTGGATGTGGGGGTACCTCGGGGGAGAGATTCCTTGGGGGGAATGACAAACTTTGATCTCACACCTGGCTGGCTGCAGGGATTACAAGAATCCCCCCAATGCATGTTCATGCTTAGCGCACGACAGTAAAGAGGTGCTATTTCATGACAGAAATGTTTCAAGATGCACAAAGCAAAACTGTATTAGTAAACCCGGTCTTAAGCCTTGCTTGACTCCCTTTCTGCCTCCTTCTCTGGGCCTGGAATGCTGATGTGAAGTCTGGGGGCACTGCAGCCAGCGGAAGACCATGAGGTGGCAGGCATGGGCCCAAGACCTACCACCAGGGATGGAAACAGAACCAGCCCCTCACCTCCGGCCAGACCAAACCTGTCTGCACGAGCCCCCCACAGACCAAGATTATACCCACATACTGCAGCCACACCTCTCTGGAGTGAGACCGGAGAGCAGGAGGTCAAGGGGCCTTTAACCTGCCCTGGAAAGGTCTCCTTTTTAAACACCGTTCTATCACCGTCTACTACTTATATTATTGGAAATAAATTTCTTTTAATCACAAGTAAACAATGCAGGATAACACATCTTGGAAACATCCAGGCGCAGCAGGAAGAACAGCAGAGAGAAGTGTGGCAGGACAGCCACCCCGCGAATCCGCCCTCCAGGTGCTCCTCAGCGAGACTTGGGTTTGCTCGGCCACCTCCGTTCACTCACGCAACACTGGAATTGTCCTCTAGACGCCGTTTTACAATTTGCTTCCCTCCCCTGCCTGGCACCTAAACAGACCATGGCCGTTTGCCCCTACGTTTGAGTATCTTCAAAATAGTCTTAACACATGCAAGTGATGTCCTTACGGAGACAGGTGGCTAAACGATGAGGCGGTTTCAATTTTTTTGCCACTTAAAACAAACCCACGCATGCCTTTCCCCCTTAGGACGGAGGCCCCCAGACTTGCTAGACTGAAAGTTTGGATGTTCTAAAGTTTTTTAGACAAGTGCCAAAGTGAACGAGGACATGGATTGGTAGAAGGGGCTCCCAGAACACTGAGGCTGAGAGAGCCAAGTGAGGGGTTGCGAGAAACAGGGTGACCTTACAAAGAACGTCGGTCTAGGAGGTGTGACGTTACACAGTCCTTTGCGGCCACATCTTACCCCTGCGAGTGCTGTGATGCTAACACACTAGGGAGTGAGAGTCCCAATTTGGGGGTCAAGTGGGGGTCTGTGTCCCCACAGATTTCTCAGGAGAGAAACAACAAGCACAGGAGATATTCCTGGGGCCCAAGAGGAAACGGGCCACCCCAGCTGCGGGGGCCGGGCTCACCGCTGCAGCACTGAGTCCGAGCTGATGGCGCACTCCTCCAGCGTGTGGAAGGTGGGCAGCTGCACCACGAACACGTTGCCGCTCTCGGTGCCCAGGTAGAGCAGCTCTCGGGAGGAGTGTGGCAGGGCCACTGTGATCTGCGTGGCGCTGGGGGCAGCCCTGCGACGGGAGGGACAGCTGCCCATGAGCTGGCTTCTGCCCGGGCAGGGTGGACCCCATGGAGGGGATCCCTGACTCCTGGCTGCCAGCATCTGCCCCTGGGGAGGCCAGGCCCCGGGCAAGCAGGCCCCTGAGGTGCTCTGATGGGTCCCACGGGGTCTCGGGCCTGTACTGGTCAATCACTTTGTGCCAAGACAGGAGGCAGATGGCCGAGAGCTTGGGCGAGGGACATCCCAGCAGAGGCTGCGGGATGCAGGAGGAACGGGAGTCTGGCCAGGACCCACCCCCTCCGCCCAGAGCACCTGCGGGTGGAGGAACATCGGCTCCAAAACCTGCAGTGCTTCGGGCTCAGCAGACACTTCAAAGTGTGAGGTTGAGTGTTGGGTCCACTTCCGGGGAGGGGACCTTGGCATTGGGGGCACAGCCAGGCTGAATGGGAGAGGAAGGGACGGAATCCTCACCCGGGGGGGCCTCGCAGCGTGAAGCACTCGTCTTCCTGCAGCTCCGACACCCCACCTCGGACCTTCAGGCTCCACAGGTGCAGGCTGTTGTCATCCAGCAGCGTGATCAGCTGGCACTAGGGAGGGAGCGGGCACACAGGGGAGCTGTCTTCTTAGCCAGGGTGGCCAGCAGCCAACCCCAACACAGGGGCGGCCTGGCTCGGGAGTTCCAGAACCAAAAGTCCCCTGGCTGTTCTCAGGGTGGCTGGTGAACTAAGTGGGGTGGGAAGGTGATCACAGAGCCTCCCACTGGCACAAACCCAGGGTTACCAGATACCTGAGCCCCTTCTGGGAGCGAGAGAAGGCCAGGCGGCCCCTCACCTGGCCAGGCAGGAAGTAGATCTGCACCACGGCGTTGTTCTCCCGGTGCAGCCCCATGAACTCCACCCCCGGGGCGCCGTAGCTATGAGGGCGTTCAGGAAAGGCTGAAAAAGGCAGGACACTGCCCACCCCTTGCCCGCCTGGCCCCACACAAGGAGTGCAAACACCAGGCAGCAGACACGGGCCTGCCCTTCCCACCAGACCCTGGTCTGCAGCTGTGGAGAGCAGGGGAAGGCCTGGCCTGTGGGCTCCCACCAGTGAGCTGAGCTCCAAGGTTGGGGCCAGCCCCCCAGGGAGAGCTTCCCAACCAGACGGATGGGGCTGACTCCCCAAAGTGGTGAAGCCTCCTGGCAACTGCAGGCTGCTCACTGCACCCCCACCCACCTGAGCTGCATCAGTTACCACACGGTGGCACCTGTGAGAAACCACAGGCCACCCTGGGGGACGGAAGGGGTGGCCAGCAGCCATGACCCATGAGTCTTAGCACCAGGGATTGGTAACCAGGATATGGCCGCAGCCTGGCAATGATTAACTGGTCGAGGGAGGGCTGAGCCCTGGCGGGCCCTGGGCCCTCCTGTGTCTCCACTTCTCCAGCAGAGAGCAACGGAGTGAGTTACAGAGTGGCTGGAGGAGGGCTGGCTGGGCTCTCCAAGGGTGATCCCCATCTCCCAGTTCCCCTAGGTTTCACGCTGGGGTTCAGGGCAGATTCAAGGGCGGGTGGCTCCCACACTTGTCACCCAGTCCATGCAAGCTAGAGAACCAAGCAGTGACCTTCCAGCCTGGAACCTGGGGTGACCCGACCGGAACAGGCATTACCTCAGACCAGGGAAGGGGCATCCCTGCCAACTAGGGATTCACTGCACCCCTCTCTGGTGGTGGGGTATGCGCGTGGTGGGGCAGAACCTGGAGGAACAGCCACCCGAGCGCTGCTGCTCCTCCGCCCTGGACAGAGTCCTAGGCCAGTGCACTGACTTGCGGGAAAAAGGTTAAAAAAAAAAAAAAACTCGGGCCCATCCCCTGCCTCCGTGCACTACATTCAGGGCTGACTCTTGAGAGACTTTTTGGAACATCCCAGGGACAAGAGGGGCCATCTTGGTGAAGGTGAGGACCTTTCTGGAATCTTCTGAATGCCCAGGTGCACGCCCTCCAGGGCCCCAGGGTGGGAGCTGGGAGAACAGGAAGGATACAGTTTGACTGCTCCAGAGCGTGTGCCGATGGCCAGGAGGTGCAGCGTGGGGCTGTAGCCAAGGGCACTGGGCTGGTGCGGGAAGCCATGCTCTACTGTCTGTGGAGAAGCAGGAGGCCGGGCGTCAGGGTCTGCATGCGCTCCTCCACGGCTGGACAGAGGAGGTGCTGCGCAGCTTCCCCGGGGGGAGGAGGGTCCAGTCGTGTTCGGGTTCCTACACGGAAAATCCCAGACCCACAGGGCCCACCCTCAGCCCATCTCTGCCCTGTGCGATCCTTCTCCCTGACACCATGGTGGTCACTCGCCCTATAGGAACTGGGTCTCTCCACCACACACACACTGTGGGTGCCCCAGCCCAGGGGGCTCTGCACAGTGCGGACAGTGGTCACTCTGAAATCCTGTGGCACCATAGCTCCGGCTGGCCCCTGGGGTCTCACGGAACTCCCAGCAGCCCTGCCCAGGAGCTGTCCTTCGCCCTGCTTCCCTGAAAGTCAGCTTTCTTGTCACTGCATTCGCCACCATCCTCCTGGAGGGGAGTTTCTGGAATGTCGTTGAGGACACAGGCTTTTGCTCATGTTTTATTCCAGAAGTAATACACATTGTAGACAACTTGGAACATATAAAGGAGTTTGAAAAAGCCCCAAACAGCCTTTAAAGGTGTAAAGAGCCTCCCCATGTGGAGTGCGCTGGCCTCTACGGCTGAAGGCTGTGGGCTAGAGGATCCACGATTGCTCACTGCAAGGAGGAGCAGCCCTGGGGCTCCTGTCCCTGCCTGCGACTGAGTCTTTCTCCTCAGGCAGAAGTCCCTGGATGGGATGGAATTACAGGTTACAAAGGTATAGATTTAGACGAGCAACCTATCTTGGGGAAGGTTTTCGGTTGTTCCTTAATTCGAGAGCCCTAGCCCCATCTCCACCTCCCACCCCGGGATACTGAACCTACAGAGCTTGATCAGGGCCTGGCAAAGGCTGCCAGCCAGAGGCTGCAAATACTCTTTTTTAAAAAAACCAGGGAGGCTCTGCCTACAGGAAAAACTTGCACCAAAGAGGCTGCCCTGTTAGCCTGTTAGGCCGCTAAAGAGCTAAGTCCTGGTGAAATAACAAATTCTACTGCTCGTACCGTCCCGTCCTGACTGGTGATTCGTGGAAGGAGGCCATGCTGGGGTCAAGGCCAGCAGGGAGCACTCCAAAGAGTGCCTAAGCCAGGGACTTGGGGTCACACAGGTGGGGGCTCCCACCCCCACCCCAGGCTCTTTGCCAGGAACATGATCTGCCCCACAAATGACTGTACCTGGAACAGCTGGGAGGGCAGAAGCGGCCCTGCAGGACCCTCCTCCCTGCCAACCCCAACCCAGGTTCCCGATCAAGTATGTAAAAAATGCAGAGCGGGAGAAGCCCTGGAGAGATAGCAGAGTATCTGGAATGTAAACATTTTCCAGGAAAGGAGGCAGGGCTCCCGTGGGGGGTGTGAGACCAGCTTCCCCCAGGCTCTGCTGGACTCACCATTCCCAGGTTGCTGCGGCCTTAGGGCCTTAGGGAGTCGGCAGTCAGAGCTCAGAAAAGGTGACTGTGTCTTCCCGCCCCAGGAGCAGCTCAGGGCCAAGCCTCTAGAACTTACTGGGAAGTCCAACAGGAGCCGGGTGCGGTAGGGGGTACCAGCCCCCCACCCTCCACCCACTGCCCAGCACAACAGCTACCGGTCAGTAGATGCCAAGCACCTCCATATGGCTAATGGCACCAAGGAACAGAATGTTTAATTCTGTCTAATTCTAATCAGCTTACGGTAAAGAATGGGCGCTCAATTCAGTGACTGCAAGACAGTTCATGTATGTTCTTGGGTCCAAAGGAACAGAGACTAGAGTCAGGCAGGCCAAGCTTTGGACCTTCCTTTCCAGTCAACCTCCCAGACTCTAAATGCAGGCCACGCCCACCGAGTTGAGGTGGGCTGAGAGTGTGAAATACAGCCAGGATGTCAAAGGCTCAGTATGAAAACACAAACACAAACAAAAAACCCACGCCACTAAAATACCTCTTACACTGGAGCGCATGTCAAAATAATCATTAGAATATTTCTAATAATTACTAGAACATTTTAAATCACACGTGTGGCTGGTCCTAGACACCCGGCTTCAGGGCCTGGGTGGTCAAGTCAGAGGTGAAATCCTTTGTGAGGCCCCTACTGAGCCGCGGCGGGGGGACCTCCCTGTACCTCTTTCGCTCCTGTCCACCTCTATGGCCTGGCTTCCCAGAGAGTGACTCACCTCCTTAGGGTCCTGAGCACCCTGGGCCACCTCTCCTGGCCCCGCCGCCTCCTCCTCCACAGGCTGGTTTGTAAAGGGTCCAGGAAGCTTTAAACCCCTCCTGGCCCGGCACCAGCCCCTCTGAGCCTCCAGCCGCTATCAACTCCTGCACTGAGCAGGCGAATGCCCTGGCTCGAGCTCCCTGCGGCTCAAGGAGACCACCCGACGGGCTGGCCGGCTCGGCCGCCAGGGCCTTGTCCATAAGGTGTGGCTCCTTCTTAGGGTCTCCAGCATTCTCCTGCATCTCTTGGTATCCTCGCCTCTCTGGGGGGACCACGGCTCTCCCTCCAAGCAAAACAAAGGGCAGGGATTTCAGTTGACCCTACCTGGCCAAGGGCCAAGTGAGGGAGCTCAAATGTAAATTGTTAGGTGACAGGGGCTCCCCAGGTCTGAGCCTCCCCCTAAGAGGATGCATATGAGACCCAGAACTCCTTGAATGAAGCGGTGAGGTAAAGTGAGCGCTCTGGATACAGGCTGGACAAGGTGTGGGAGCCCCGGGTCAGACAGGGGACATCTTGCTGGAAACGGGGAAGGAAGGGATTTGGCCTAAGGACCCAGGTCAATTAAGGAGACAGGGAGGAGTTAGCCACCAAGGCCTGAGCAGCCCGGGGGAAGCGGGAAGGTTCCATGAGGCATCTCCGGCCAGTGCTTCCTGTGACCCTAACCTTTCCCTTTCCATTCCCTGGGAGTCCCCCCGCCCACCAACTGCTAAATGCCTTTCAAACTCCTGCTCTGGAGTATAAGGGGCAAGAGGGTGGGCTCAGGGGTGCCCTGCTGTGCAGCTTCCCAGGCACAAGGGACCCCCAGGCTGCCCTCTCAGCCTCGACCCCAGCCACCTCCAGCTCAGGTTCAAGCTACTGGGGTGACCACTGGGGCCATCCCGCCCTCCCTCCTGAGCTCAGCACCCAGTCTACCTGGCCCTGCCCCCACCCTGTTACCTGGCTCAGGTGACCTCTGCCAAGGGAGGAGAGAACAATGTGCTCTTTTGATGAGGAGTTGGGAAAGCAGAGCAGAGATGTGTTGGCGCCACCAAATTGCAATACTAGCCTGGTGTGGCAGAGAAAGCCCTGTCTGTCTCTGCTTGCTCCGGGACCCCATTTCTGGCTCCCAGAAGGGAGAGAGTGAGGCTGTCAGAGAGCACGGGGGCTCTTCAGCCTGCCCCACACAAGAGCAGGCCCCGTCCAAGCTCCAGGCATCCCTGGCACTAGTGGGGTGTGGGAGGACGGGCTGCCCAGGGTCCTGGGGGTGGGGGCCCAGCAGGGCTGGGTCGAGAGGCACTTCCCCATGTGGGGTGTGGTCAGCTCAGATTCCAGTTGGTGGCAGCAACCTGGTCCTCCCTGTGTGGCTGTCACCTGACACCAGGGGCCCCACCACTCAAAAGGCAAGACAAAGCCACTGGGCCTGCACGGGCAGCCAGTCAGGACACTGTTCAGGACCTGAGAGTGGGGAGAGTAGGGAGGGTGGGGGAGGTGGGCCCGGCAGGAAGGTCCAGACACTTCTGAGGCAGTGCGGGCTGCACAGGGTGCCCGGTCCATTTCACCAAGGGAGGATCAGGCCTCCAGGGATTTTCAAGGAAGAGCTTTCACTTTGGGGTAAGCTTGTGTCCCTTCCACAGTCACATCCTATGGGGTGGCCCAATGGGTCACACAGTCCCCTTGGGGGTTCTCAGTGTCCCTGTTGTGTGGCTAACTAGTCTGTGCGCCCCACAAGCTCCAGGACCCACCACACACAGCTGGTGAGTATTCCACAGGTAAAGAAACTGAGGCACTGGAGGTGAAGCACAAGCCATCACGGGTAGAACCCCAAGTCCTGGTTCCCAGCCTGGTTCCCTTCACCATGAGCTCCTGCAGATTGGGCCAACCCCTCTGGGAGGCATCCTGAGGACCAGGCACAGATGGAGTGCCTGGATGGAGTGACCAGCCCGGATGGAGACCCTGGTGACAGCCACTTTGCATGTGGGAAAACTGAGGAGCAGGGAGGCTGAGACACGTGTACAGCCGCTCAGGGAGCAAGCAGCACAGCGTGTATAGACATAGGCCTCTGACTCTGAATCCCCACCTCTGACCACTGCACCCCCAACCCTTGGCTTCTTGGCATGGAGCCCTTAGCGAATGGGGCGGGCAGTTCAGAGCATCCGTCCGCAGACACAGCTCCTTCCCAGGTACCAAAGCCAAAGAAACAGGCCGGGCTGCTCCCAGCCCCTAGGGCCCCATCCTGCTCTTTGAGGCACCCGCCTGGTGTGGGTGTTGAGGAGTTTGGCCAGAGGTGCTGGGGGAAGAGGCCCTGGCTTAGAAGCTGGTGTCTGGAAGCTGCTTGGGACAAGCCCGTGAGGGTGCCCAGTCCCGCCCCACAGAGCGCACTTCCGGGACAGAGCTCAAATAGGCCCGGCTCCCTGTCCCCAGCAGCCCCACGGGGCTGCATAAGCCACTGCCCCCAAGAGCCTCCTCGCCCGAGGGGCCCAAGGCTCCCCAAACTCAGCCTTAAGCCAGATAACGTCCACAGAGCTGTCACTGTGGCCACTTGCCGCGAAAGGCCTTTTGACTGATCCATGACGCCATTTTCTCCTTGCCCTGACTCCTGAGAGCATCTCAGAGACGCGGGGCTGGGCCAAAGTGACCAGCTGGTCATGCCAGGCAGTCAGGTGCCAGGGTGCCACACCAACCCCTGGACGAAAGCCCCCCTTAGTAAATGGAGACCGTCGTGATGCAGCTCTGTCCCCATCGAATCTCATGACTTTCCCTCATCGCCCCGGCTCCCCATCCCAGCACCCAGCACCATTACCCCCCAAGATGAGACCTCAGTCACTTGGACACTCACCTCCCCTCTGTGCCCTTCACTCCCAGGCTCTCATCCACCTCCCTCCCTAAGTGGTTCTCTGGCAGGTGGTCCCCCAGGGGCCAGAGATGCCGCCACCTGGTCAGGTCTCCTAAGGGCTCTGAGGTTACCTGCTTCATTTAAATAAATGAAACTTTAAATAAAAGGCCCAGGGCAGCCCTGGTGGTGCAGGGGTTAGTCTCAGCACTATGAAGCTATTGGCAGCCACTGCAGTGGCTGCCCAAGTTCGATCCCTGGCCGGCCACGGAGTTGACCCACAGGGCACGGCAGACCTCTCCTGTCTCCCCGCTGCTCCCCTCAGCAGTGTGTTTCCGTGGATCCGCCTGTTCTGTTCCCCACTGTCTCTGGTGAATCCTCTCACCCCCCACACCTCTGGCCTACACCCCAGCTTTTGTATGCATAAACGAATCTTTAAGAAAATAATAATAAAAAATAAAAGGCCAAGAGTTACCTTCTGTGAGTCCTCAGTCCCCTGCTGCAAACCCACCAGGGTCTGGCACGGCAGGCCCAGCCTCCCTTTACGCTACAGTTCTGGGGGAGGGAAGCCTGAGGCTGGGAGGCACTGGGAAGGGCGGGCCCACCCTTATCGATCAGGCCTCAGCCTCCAATTGTAACCCTCTGGCACTGTTTGCCCAGAGCCTAGGAGACTGACTTCCCTCCCCACCCCCTCAAGATGTTTTTCTGCCACCTCTCTACTCCCAGGAAATAGAATTTCAGACCCTCCCCCACCCACCACACCAGAAAAGTCCTGGAGGGCAAAGGTCTTATCACCTGAGGTTCCCACAGCCCCAGTGTAGTGGGCAGTGTAGACAGTAGGTGCTCAATGCATGTTACTTGCACGTGAATGGAAGGAGAAAGGATTATCCCAGGAGTCTCTCCTCCCCCTTCACCCCCAAATTTGGGGACCACCAGTTGGGGGGCATAGAGGTGGGGGACACACATTTCTCTACCTCAGCCCCACCCCAGTCTCACCCCACTACAGTCAGAACTTGGGGCGGGGGTTTGCTCCTCTTTGCTGAGCCTGTCTATCCGGTTTGCAGTGAAATTGGCCACCTTTTCAGGGTGTGAGATCCACATGTCTTGAGGGGCCGTGGAGGTGTACCAGGCTTACCCAGGTCCTGGGGCCTCCGTCCCCCCACCACCCCCAAGGATGCTGAGACCTGCACCCATCAACTTCGGTAGCAAGGGCGGCGGGCCCCAGGGGCTCTGAGATTCACCACTCCAGCATTTTCCGGGGCCCCAAGCCCTGCACACAGGTCCTCTGCAGTGGGGGTCAGCACTCGGGGCAGCTCAGATCCAGCAGAGCCCTGGCCTCCCCACAGGCCACCACACACAGGCCAAGAAAATCAAGAGGGAAACTGCCCGGGAACCTGGGGACTCCACCCACCTCAAAGAAGCTCTCTTTCTAGGGAGGCAGCCCCTCAAAGCAGCAGGGAACGTTCTCCGCATGTGAATGACCCAACTCCCTGTAATCCTCAGAAGCAGGTGTGGGAGAGTCACTCAGTTCCTGAGATGCAGAGCCAGGTTTGAACCCCACCATCCTGGAGGGGTCCCCTGACCCCCAGGGGAAGAACATCCTATTTCTCCCCACCCTGTGGCCCACTTGCAGGGCAGAAGGCAGCTGAGGCAAAGAGGCCAAGAGCCTAGATCAAAGCAGAGGTAAGAGGCTAATTACCCCAGAGGCCGCAGACTGCAGAGAGGCCGCAGATTGCCAGGTGGCCAGGGCTAGTGGTAACGCCCGCGCCCTCCCAGTCAGGCCTTCTCGGGCACTGGCCCCTGTGAGGAAGCCTGTGCAGCCTCTGTGCAGCCTCTGAGATCTTGGGGGGTGCCTCAGGGGCAGGTTTGGGGTTGGAGTGGTCAAATGCAAACCGGGGCCCATTCTCCCACTGCCACCGCTGCCCCCTCACACCTGAAACCCACCAGAGGGAAATCTGTCCTGCCTGTGGTCAAAGCCGCCTTTCCTCTGGGCACAAGGTGAGGCCCTCGCAGCCTCGGCTTGTGGCCCAGAGCGCCTGGCATTACAGAACATTACACCCCTGGGGTTCACCGTCCTTTCATCTTTCTATTCCCAGGTCTCAACAACCGCGTGAGGTGGGAAGCAGGCAGCTTGTTTTAGCCTCATGCCACAGGTGGGGAAACAGAGGCCTGGAGAGATGGGGTGACTGGCCGAGGGCCCAGAGCCAGAGAGAGACCTGGGGGAAGTCCCAGCTCCCGGGCATCCTGCTGCCCTTTCCCGGGAAAGCCCTCTAGCCAGACCCCAGCCCCGAGTCAGATTCCGGGGAGGCGTGGCCCGCAGGGGCCAGGGAACCCGAACCAGGTCCTGCTCCCAGTACCGCTGACCGGCCCAGTCGGCGCAGGCTTCCCTTACCTTGTTGAACTGGAAGAGGTCCCGCTTGAGCCGCTCCCGCACAGGGTCAAGTCCCGACCTCAGGAACCGCCTCATCTTGCTGGGTTTGCAGCCCCCTAGAGAAAGGGGCATGGCTGCTGAGCACCAGGGAGCCCCAAGACTGGCCAGTCTCACCGACCGCCCCCTGCATCTCGGCATCCCCAAGCTCCAGGAGAGCCCTGCGCACCTGGAGGCTCTGGCCAGCGTTGGCCTCAAAGGCCGCAGGAGAGGCTGGGGGCAGAAGCCATTTAACCTGGCTTTATAGGAACAAGAGGGCCAGGGGCTCTGAGGTTAATTAGCTTAATTGTTAACCTGTTTTCTGAAAAACCATAAAACTCTGGCTAAACAGAAAGGGAAACTTCACAGGGCTCCTGCAGGGCCAGTTGGAAGGTGGAGAAGCAAAGGCTTCCACCTGGGCTCCCACGTGGCTCCCGGATGGGGGCAGGGGAGAGGCGAGCAGTTCCAGCGCTCACTCGCTCACTGCAGGGAAGGCTGTCAAGGGGCGCCAGGCCTAGGCCACGCCCACCAGCCACAGCCGTCAGGAACCTGAGTGGGAGAGCTGCAGCCGGGGTGCCGGCCCATCCCACCCACACCTGGGGCCCACGGCAGACCTGGATCTGACCCCGCGAAGCTGCTGGGGCCTCTGCCACCACAGCTCTAGCCCCGGGCTTCCAGCTGGTCCCTGCCTCCCCCTCTGGCTATCCCAGTGCCAGCTCCCCTGAACTCTCATGGGGTGCACTCAGAGGTTCCCTTTCCCATGGCCCAAGTGGAATAAAATCAGAAGAAAGCTGCTCCCAATAAGGAAACCCGCTCAAGGCCCCCAAACCACCGCCCACCATAGAATACATTCCCAACCCAAGGGGAAACTATTTCTGGATCATCCTTGGGGGAGGGGAGGGCTCATCTATGCTTCGGCTTCCGGCTTCCAGTAGCACGGCCTCCCGCTGACCAATGGGTCCTGGAAGCCGGGCTCAGATCCAGGCCGCCCTGCGGGACTCACTCTGGGTAGGGGCAGGTAAAGGCAGGCCAGTGACAGGCCTGGAGCGGAGGGGGGCAGGGGCACTGGCCCACCTGGGGGAAGAAGGTGACTGCGCTGAGACCTGAAGGATGTCTGAGGTTTCTGGCATGTGAGTTGGGGTGTAGGGCTGGCCTTGCTGGAAGAGGTCACCCCACCGGGCAGACATCCTGGGGTGATCTTACCCTCTTCCAGGTGGGAAAAGGCAGGGACCAAACCTCAGCTCTGTCACCTTCTGCAGACACCAAAAGGGAGGGGATAGGGTGGATAGCGGCGGTTTGTGCCTTCACGCACGTTTTGGGGGAGTCAGAGCAAAGGGCCCCTCTTCCACACAAAACAGCGGGTAGTCATGGGAACTACCAGGCGGCCATTTGACCTGAGGCCCCGCCATTGGTTGAGGGAATGAACATGGTAAAGTGTGGAGGCTCCTGGGAATGAAAACAAACTCCCTGCAGCCGACCTGGGGGGTGGGGGGGCTCCCGCAACATTCCAGCTGTGGGGAAGGGCAGTGGGCACAAGCTCCAAATCAGCCAGTGGGCTCCTGATGTTCCCTTCCCGGCCTGGTCACTGGGTCAGAGGTCAGAGAAAGGGGGGAGGGGAGGGCAGTCCCAGAGGAGAGGAGATGCCCTGGGCTCTCCCCCCAAGACCTGAGCAGGCAGGGTGGCACAGGCCACCTGCCCTAGGACCCAGGCAGGCTCCAGGGCGACATCGCACAGCTGGGATGGGAGGAGACGGCTCCACTCGGGAGGGCGGGGTGGGCACCAAGCACCCCAGTGGCCCTCTGTGCAGCTCTGTGGCCCCAGCTCCAGCCCCTTGCATGGGATTTCTATTACTTCTAAAACATTTTGCCCAAGTAATCCACGCTCATGGTAGAGAAAGCAAACAACTGGGAGAAAATCCTCCCTAAATGCCGCCAGCTGGGGCAGGCCCGCCGGCATGCGTCCTGGCCCTCAGCTCATCTGCTCTTGCATATGTGCGTTTGGCACACCTAGACCTCATCCCGGGCATCTGTTCGCCTTCTAGAATCTTCCCTGGAAGATGAGTGGAAAATGCCATTCTTGGCGGACAAGGAAACAGAGGCTGGCAGCTCATCCAAGGTCAGCATGTAGGACCCAGGACTCAGATCTGAGTCCCAGGCTGGCAAACTCCCAGACCCAAGGGTTCTGGGAGGCAGCAAGGTATGGTTATGGCAGGACAGAGGGTGCCTGATCGCACCCCCGTAGCTAAAGGCTGGCCCCGTGCAGGCTCCCCTCACATATGCCTTCAGCTCAGAGTCAACCAAGCCTGGACACTGCTAGAGGGGTGCCGGTGAGGTCTGGCTGGGTAGGGCTGGTGGGCTTTGCATGAACCTGTGCTCATTCCCCAGCGGGAGAGGGGCTGAGACCCCGTGACGTGAGGTGACAGACGGTCCCTGCACCTGCTCTTCACTCTCGCGACTCCTCAGTATAGCTCCCCAAACAGAAATAACTGCCCAGGTCAAGCTGTAAAAAAGCACCACCCCTTCCTGAAGGCGGGTGGGGGGACAGGTCTAGCCAGGCTGGACTCACCTCCAGGCAAACCTTGGCCTCCAATCACCCACACCTGGAGGTGTGGAGGCGGCTCAGCCCACTCCCGAAGGAGCGCAGGGAGGCAGGGCATGTAAGGGAAGGAGCCTAGGGCTGGGTGCCAAGAGCCACCATACAGCCCCTTCATGCTGGGTGGCCATGACAGCCCCCAGCCCCACGAGCTGGTCTGTAAGGAGGGATGCACGCCTTCCCGAACAGGTCTATTGGGAGGCCTGGGAGCAGAGCCAAGTGCCGGGTGCCTGGCATGGAGCAGGCACTGGCCTAGTATTGGGGACAGCAGTGACAGACAGATAGGATCCCTATTCAGGACACTCTAATGGGGAGGCCAATGACTCACTGGGACGCAAGTCCGCCGGCAGGATGGTTTCAGACAGCGATCAGGGCCAGCCAGGAAATAAAGGAAGATGCTAAGATAAAGACCTGAGAAGGGGCCTCCCCAGTGGCGCAGACCTCTCCTGTCTCGCCTGCTGCTCCCCTCAGCAGTGCCCTCGGTCCATCTGCCTGTTCTGTTCCCCACTCTGTCTCTGGTGAATCCTCTCACCCTCCAATGCCTCTGGCCTGTACCCCAGCTCTTTTTTTTTTTTTGTAAATTGTGATCAAATTAGGACTTTTTAAAATTTTTTACTTTTTAAAGATTTATTTATTTATAAAAGAACTGAGGTATAGTCAGAGGCACGCTGTACCCACAGTTGTATAAAAATAAATCTTAAAAAAAAAAACAAAAAAAAAAACCTGTGTTTAAAAAAATAAAAAAGACCAGAGAATAAGGCTGGAAGGCTCGTGAACATTCGTCATGTCCCTTCTGCCCGAGATGCTTTTCCTACAGGTACTCACAGGCCTCCTTCACCTCCCGGGACATCCTCTCCTCCACTCCCCGCTTTGCTGTTCTCCTCACCTCGGTCACAATGGACTAGTGAATGGTTTACCGAGTCATCTTGCTTATTACCTGCACAACCCTCCCCAAAAATATGCTTTCTTCTAACTCAGGGGCTTTCTTCTCCCTTCCCACGGTGGAACCCCAAGTGCACAATGAATGAATGAATGGAGGCGGCAGCATCTTTAGCCAGGGACCTGAATGATAGGGACTGGTCAGACTTGGAAGCTCGGGGCAGGGCAAGTCAAGCAGGGAGGGGATGTGCATGTTCTGTGGGGGTGAAGACAGCGGAGGGGCCTTTGGAAGCTACAAGGAGATTTGAGGTGGACTAGAATGAGGGGGGCTTCAGTTTCATTCACTGGGAACCAGACAGCACTGAGCAGGCTCTGAAATACCTTCTTGCCTTGCAAGCATCACATCCAATGTCACCTACCAAAAAGCCATTTCAACCATCCCGCCGCTTTCACTGTCTTGCCTGGGCACCTACCCTCTTTTATGTTAAATGGCCCCTAAATCACCATGGCCAAGGGCACCTATCCAGGTCCTCCAAGGTTCTCCCCAGCCTTGCTATCCTGGTCACTAATGTGTTGGGAAAAATCAGATGCAACCTAAATGGCCAACAATGGGGTGTGGGGGGGTACCCCATGGAAGGTTCCAGAACTAATGGCCTGGAACCATATTTACCCTAGGGTGGGGGGGGGACCTATTAAAAACATTTACCTAAGTAGACAACACAGGGAAGGGTTATGGGATTAGTGGTGTTTTTCTTTTCTTTTGGTTTATCTCCCTCCCAGGTAGGGTAGATAAAAGGGTCAAATGGGGGAAGGGTTGAAGCCCCAGGCACTGGTCAGGAGGCCTGGGGCTCAAAGTAAACAGTCCTATGGAGGAATGGGGTTCCTCTCTAGCCACCTTGTCCTGAATAGGGGAGAACTCCCATCCCTCGATGGACACTATGGGATGCAAAGGCAGGGAGGAGTCGGGCAGGTGGAACCAGCTGTATGACTGTGGGCTTCAGGGCCATGACCTGGCAGGGCCAAGGTGAGGCTTCAGCGGGAGGGCCAGCGAGAGGGTCTGGCAAACTCAGGTGCTGGGTACTTCAATGCTGCTTCTGCTGGGTGGGACCAGGGGGAGGAGACAAATTCTGGGGCCCCACCAACTGAGAAGTCCCCCAAGTCTATGCCAAGAAGGGTCAGGGGCAAGGTCACTGGGGATATGGGGAGCTTTAAGGGTCCTGGCCTCCTGCACCCGGTCACCATCTAGCTACAGCAGGACTCCTGAGAGGGGGCCTCCTAAAAAGAAACATCTCCGGGGCCTCCCCTGGTGGCGCAGGTGGTTGAGCGCCGAGCTGTGAAGCTGTCTGCAGCCTCTGCAGCACTGGTTTGATCCCAGCCTGCCGGGCAGGCGTGGCAGACCTCTCCTGTTGCACCTGCTGCTCCCCTCAGCAGTGTATTTCGTCAGTCTGCCTGTTCTGTTCCCCGCTCTGTCTCTGGTGGATCCTCTTACCCTCCCACGCATCTGGCCTATACCCCGGTTCTTGTATAAATAAATAAATCTTTAAAATATAAATAAAAAGAAACATCTCCTTCACCGCCCCCCACAACTTCTAAAGATTGCCCAGCCTCAGTCTCCCTTTTTGCCCAGGACATCCTCTGTGGTCTGACCCAGCCCTGCTGTGTGTGCTCACGAGCGTGCAGAGCCGTGGTTTCCACACAGGTCCGCCTTGTGATGGGGGTGGGGGGAACCAGCCTCAGAGCTCCCTGTGGGCAGCTTATCAGCAAGATCCTTCCCTTCACCCTACCCCAATCATCCACTACACTGCCCATCAGCAAAGAAAGCTGCATTGAGGAACCATATCCCTATACCTCGATGCCCACATGGTTTGGCAACGGGCTAGCAAATTCACACACTGTCTTTCCTTCCCATTCTGCCCAGACCCTGTGCCCCCTGCATATCAAGAGACCAGTGGCAGAGGCAGAAAAAGAGTAACTGTTAGGGGTGGGCTTGTCCTGGCCCTGCCCCAGGCAGC